CACGTCGTTTTTTATTAGGCGGTGGTGATTAATGCGATAAATAAAGTGTGCCGCCACCACCCTACATAACTCATAAGTTCATAACATGTGGAAATTACATTGAATTCACATATTTGCCCATTTGCAACCGCCCATAGCGGGTTAATTAAGGAAATTAAATCCTAGCAGCAACAGGTGCGGCGAGCTGGCGAGCACCCCGCGCCACACACACACACGTATACACCCCTACAATGACACACGGAGTTAATGCAGACAGGGTGTGTCGCGCCCGAGCGCCAGGATCTACCACAAAATGGATAAAAACAGAATGTTCACAACATATAGATGAGAAAGGCATTATGTTCCTAATATTTCTCTTGCCCAAATCAAATCAAATCAAAATCAAATCATTATTTACTTGTCAAAGATAGAAACAAAAACTTGGTTCAAATGTGGGAAAGCCAAGTTTCCGGTTATTGGGCCGGCTCGGCCGGAGTGATACCACGGCCTCATAGAGTCCCACTTCTAGTTTTGGTTGTTTTTTCAAAGTCAAAGTCAAAGTCAAAATCATTTATTTCAATTAGACCCATACAGGCACTTTTGAACGTCAACACAACTTTAAAGATACAAAGTGTCAGTCTGTCGGTCAGTCCTCTTAGTGAAGCTATTCGCTCGTTCCAAAGTGTAGATTCCGATGGAGAAGAACGAGCAAGAAACTCCATGGTTACTCTTTTAAAATCAGTGTCACATAAACATTCTTTGATACATTATTTAGTTGGTTTGAATATGTGAGAACAGTGTAACGCGTGTATATAGAGAAACATAAAAATTTTCTATTCTATTCTGACATTAAGACACATCATTTATGTAGAGTTAATTGTGTAGTGATCCTTCTGCTCCCGTCCGGCGACTGTTACACTAGTACCTACTCATGACGCGGGACGTGCCTAGTTAAGGTATGTAGGTTCAGAACAATCGCCCCTAGGTAAGTTGTAATGTTTCGACGCCTGCAGTACTCCGGTAAAATTATAGTCGCCATTCCGTTCATTTGCTAATACTCGAGGCTCAGGGTGAGCACTGCTAATAAATCACCAGTACGTCTATTGTCTCATTGGTCATTTCTGGACATTATTGGACATACATTAATATTGGAGTGTGTAAAAAGAGGACGCGTTATGGAGATAATGAATGTGCATGTTTATTCAAAGCTGTGTTTACAGCTGTTTACTAAGCATAATAATTATCATGGTTTTAATAGGAACCGATCTTGTGTGGGCATCACAGCTTTTAATAAATTATCGTAAAGATTTATGTCTGTGATATAATTCTGTTTGCTTGTGTTGATGATAAATAATTCATTGTTTTATTCTTTAACTGGTACCTATTTACTGGTTAGTACAAGTTTTTAGAAGTCGAAGTAATCTCTGGTTATATAGCGTATGGCTTTATAGGATACATATTGTTCAGTTAGAAATGATAATGTTTGCGAAAGTTATAATAACAACCTTTCTGCAAAACAGTCATACTCGCTATAACCAATAATAAATGGAAAGGTTGTGTTGTGTGTATCGTCCAAGTAGAAAATTATCTATACGTAGATATAAACAGGCACAGATAATGTAGCTATGATTTTAGTAGGCATTCTTCATACGTAAATAAATTTAAAAGGAACCGCGGGTAAAAGTAAGTCAATAATTATCTGTAAATAAGTCCTTGGGATAATGGCATACTAAGGTTTTATATTGCTTATAAAATATTTCCACTGTAAATATTAATGCGCAGCAAAGTTGCAGTGGCGTGATTAAGGTGTTGTAGTAAACAGGCGCCCACACGGCAACGCTGCGTACTACCGCCCGCGCCTGCTTCTCTCCTGGTACTTGCACGAGGAACTGCGCTTGTACGATATTTTAATAACAAACTATTTATTAATATTAAAACTGACAATAAATTATCATAATATTGTGCACGTGCAATACAATATCGTACACCTACAATCCCGGTAAACGCTCATTTGTTATCTGCTCGATAATAATGTTGAAATAATTAATTAAGTAGTATACCGTATACCTCATGTTCGTCGAGTTGCAGTATAATATCTAGAACTTTGGCAAAGAGATTTTGAGCTCTGTTTTTTTATACTCTTCTGTCGTCTACCCGTTCAAGGTGTCTCTCGCCTTACATTTAATTTTATTGTTAAGCCATGCACATATCTAGGTATTTAATATGATTGACAATAATTAATTATAACTTACGTAATCACCATTCTCCTGTATTCGTCGGAAAACCGTTTTCTTTTGCCGTCTGTCATGTATAATGTACTGTGTGCCGTCTGAGTGAGGTTACCGGAGGCCCAGTTCCAATATCCTATGAAACTCAATTTACGACTGAATTAGCAGCTCTGCTTTAGCAGAAAAACAATATTTTCAACAAATTGGCAAGGTAAAAGAGGTTGTGGGTACCACAAGGACTCAATGATCCCCAGCCCTGTGATGATATTATTATGATGTCGTTATGATGAGGTCCATTCTAAACCGCATTATTACTTGTATCGAGAAATGAAATAAATAAATGAAACAACAACACATTATACCTACTCCGGTAACCAGGTATAAAAGAAGTAAAAGTGTTTGGTTAGTCGTGAAAAAGTGCCATGTTTGCAGTCATCCCATTGCTGTGGTTCGCAAACTCCGCGTGCTCCAGTTTGCAAGCGGTTCGTGTCTTGGGGCTTCAGGCTTGGCTCACTTGACCGACTTCCTTAGAAACAGCTCGAGCTCTACTCCGTCCACACGACATTATCTTCTAGTATTTATGAGTGTTCTTAAAAGAAACTGTTACGACAAACTTCTATGAAAATGTATTTGGAAGGTAAAAATACATATTCTCACGACAGTTTTAAATAAATAATTTAATTCAGTTTTTGGGAATCAATATAAATAGAATAAGGAAGATTAATCATCGACCTACCTACATAAAACTTACTATTAAAAATATTGGAAGTTTCAGAAGTTTACACACCTATGTGATCTCTTATTACGAGTAGATATACTTAATAGATATAAGTAGTGTCTTATATCGAAATTAAATGCGATATCTACCTCGTTCTAAATTATTTGACTCAAATGAGTTTTGCTATTTATAAAGACTAAGGCCGCCTAATGTACATATTTACAATAACAGTTAAATCTTAGTTGCTTAATTCATAAACATATCAATTAAGATCTGCGCCTGCTTAATGCTGGTAGGTAGAGATTTGTTATCTCTGAAAGTCGCCCCAATAACCTAATAAAATCACCCAACCTATAAAAAAATTGAAAAACAGCTAAATTCCATAACATCATCGTCGACATGTTGTAGTGGTGTACCTATGTGTAGGGTCTGCCAGCGACCTCCACGCCTTGCACCGCCAGCCTCCGCCCGCCTCGTGGCGTGCCCTCAGCCCCTCACGACTCACGATGTACACGTAAATAAAGATTGATGTAACCACTTCGCTAAAAACGCACGAGTATTGGCATTGACAGTTACTGAGCACTTACCGCTTTATTCTTTAGTCTCTCAAAAATTCTTCGTGAGACGTAATTTATACCAATATTATAAACCTAAGATTTTGTAACATGCTATTTTCCGGAACTACTGGTTTTTGTATTAAATACTCTGTTTATCAAAGAGGCCTTTTTGTCAAAGGGTAATCATCAAATGACTTGTCTGGCCCTGAGCGGGGCGAGAGGGGGTGCCATACTCTTACTGTTCAGACCGAGACAGTGGTTATTTGCGCTTGAACCGCAACCCCGACTAAACATCAGCCCTGTTAGGCGCCATTAGTGGTGGTATAAGTATTGGCTCTGTGAGCCGCGCGCAAAGCTACGCGCCCTTGGCTTGGATGTGGTTCAAGTCAGGCAGCGGGATATTGGAGATATCCGATCGGCCGTCGGTCGTCACTCCACCCCCGAACGCCCGGAGTGTCTCACAATGCGAGTGATTGCGAGCATCACTGGTGAAAGAGGAGACGGTTTGCCAGTTCCCCTCACTCCACATCATGACCTCGACTTAAGCCAGGAGGACACGGCATCGGCAGTCCATCATGTCCTCCGGGTGGTCGATGCAATGACGGAACCCGGGCGTTTCCTTAAACTGGATCCGACAAGGTTACTTATCAAAACTTCAGTGTCCGGTAAGCACATGAGTCCTTACCTTTCGCCATGGTGACCTCCCTTCCGCCTAGAAAGTTGAGAACACCATGGCGTCTCTCTAGCCACTTCTCAAAGAGAGCTCTTCCGCTGCTGTCTGTCCCAGCCTACCTGGCACTCGGTTGCGACAGTCGCTGCTCCTACTCCGCCATCGAGGTAGGCTATAGGCTAAAAAACATTTTATTACGACCTAATCACATTTTGAAGCCGATAGGGAGTAACTAGTCATATATAGTCGGACGCGAGCGGTACGCGAGTGCACATCGACACCCTCAGTCAGCAAATGATAGTGTGTATGTTTAATAATAATAATAAATAAAAACAGTTTTATATTGTTCCACTTCACCAGTACCTACATACATATTATTATACGAACATCATACTTTTATGGAATAATGTTTATTTTATAGTAATTACGTAGTAACTTTTATCTAGGACTGCCCTCGAAGTGAGAGATTACACAATGCGATATGTAGCTTCCTAAATTTATGATCATAGACCGGTTGCGTGTAAACCAATATTGCGTATTAAAAATCCCGGTGGCAAGGTTAGGACGTTATTTTTTTTAAGGCGAAGTTTACCTATGATTTAAAAAACATAACGTCGCAACACGCAGTCTCGTAAAGAATTCTAGAAGATTCAAAACGAATATTTATTTAACTAGTTACCAAGGGCTAACTTTCAAGATTTTCTTTTGATATTAAGATAAACAAGCGATGAATACGACACAAGATAATAATAAATTAACATGGCAATATCTGTAACTTTCATTATGATGTCAACATTAATAGCCTTAACGTCAACAGCGTCATCTTCAAAATTGAAACGTCAAATTGAATAATTTGTACTACCGTGCCAAGTTGAATTATTTTTTAACCGAAATTGAATTTTTCCATGAGAGTCTTATTAGAATAATAACGTAATTTATAGAAATACAATAAAATGTTCGCTAAACCATATAAATTAAAGTCTAACAATACTTTAAAGAATTCTGAAAAGTAAGATCGTTTACTTCGATGGTTTTAGTGCCGTTATATATGATGTTGTTCAGTATTTTAATGGAAAATTACGTATCTTTCCCAGGAAACACCTCGCACAACGCATACAGGATGAGTTCCCGTCGACAACAGATGAGAAAGTAAAGGAAATAGTTTCCGTGAAATCGACCTGTATTTGCATGAGATTAGTGCTGCATTCGGGTGACTTAGTAAATGTTTACTCAGTAGACGGCATCCCAATGGTCATAGAAACTAGTGAAGCACTCATCCCTACAGTGTGTGCCCTGTGGAAGGTGCCTAACTTAGTCCCTGTACTGGCAATTCATACTCCAGTACTTGCCAAGGTTAGTTTTATGCTGGTAATTTGTCCTGCATTTAATAAAGATTTACTACTTGGAGAGGTACATCTTCATTTGTTCACCAGGTTCAAGGTGGTGCACCTGTTTACTTGCCAGGCGTGGCTATACCCAGTGGGGGCATTGGCTTCCCAATGTTTCAGCGAGGCAGTCTCATTGCTATGTGCACTCAAGAAAACGCCGCCGCCTGTATTGTGGGACGAGCTGCAATGTCCAGTGCAGACATGTTACTCAGACCTGCGTTAGTTATTCTTATTAAATTAATTTTGAATGCCTTTTACTAGAATATTTCATTATAATAATTGATACATTGCTTCCAGCGGTGTTTGTTTGGAAACTCTACACGTTTTTGGTGACTTACTGTGTAAGGACAGCAAGTTCAGCAAAGTAGAGAGGCCAAGACTGGGCCCTGCAGGGTACAGTCCCACAGACATCACTATAGACTTGACTGCACATGTTACTCAGGTATAGATGTGGTAATATGCATTCCCCAACTTGTTTGTCTCATCTCCTACTTGAAACAATGTGATCCTGTGTTACATTCACATGCTCAATATTTTATTTATGGGAAATTATTAATTTTAATGAATACATAAACAATATGTTTCAATTGCATGCTAGAAAGTTCCTGCATTTTTCAAGAAATTCATTACAATCTGCCATCAAAATTAGTACTTTTAATAAAACATTACACAATACTAGTACTTGTGGGCAATTGCTGACAACTTCATCCAATCCAAATAATTAAACCTTGCAATGAGATGGAGATCATTATTTTTGGGACTATGCGAAAGTGCTTACATATTAATTTTTTCTTTTTTGTTAATACTAGCCATTTTGTACAATTACCATTGACTTATTGCAATAATTGTAGAATTGAGTCATTATAATGCGTAAGTTTACCTTATTTGTTTGTTTTGCTCCAAATAGGTAGTACAAAAATCCTTATTTTTTTCTGTTAATCCTTACTTTCAGAGGTTTTGCAATAATGTTTAATGTTTAGAGCCTTATATGATGTATGATATCCTTTGTACTGTGATTACAGCTAACTATTCAGCCACCACTGAGAGAAGAGTGGCCCAGCTTAGGCAGGCAAGAGGCGCCTGCGCCGCTACCTGTACAGAACGAACCTTCAGTGATACCCGACAATCTCAAGGATGAGGTCCCATCCACAAAAGAAGAAAATGCAGATGACACACTTATAACTGGTGATGTATTTAAACACGCACACATTATTACGCAGTTTATCCTTATATGCGAAAGTGTGGAAACGAGGTGACGGATCACCTGAAGGTAAGCAATGGGCTTTACAATGGATACTAGCATGAGTTGCAAGTGTGTTGCTGATCTTTTGAGATTATTTATTTGAAAGAAGTAAGGTATGGGCTTCTTACCAGAAGCCCATACCTTACTTCTCCTCTGTTCACCTCTGTTACTGCGCGAAACACCACGCTAGCATTGTTTCACGCCGGTTTTCTCTAAGACAGTGGTAATACTTCGGTCGAGCTGATGCACAAGTCCCGAAGCTTGGCTTTCGGAGCCAAACTTTTTGATATATTATATGTCCACAATTTAGAGAAACACAGCTAACATAGCATAATAATTAAAAAGAAATAGTGCTCAACAAATCTATATTATTAATTCGCAGACGACTCGCAGATGGAAGAGGATGATATCCCGACAGATATGGATGGCCTACTGCAATGGTGCCTTCTGTCATTCTTAAAGTTAGAAGCAAAGAACATTGAACTGCCACTCAAAACTAATCTTCTTTATAGGTCAGTGATGTGGTCAAGCAATCATATAAGTCGCTTTATTATTGCAGCCATCTCTGTAAATGAATAGTAACAAATTGTGTTCCTTTTTTCAGGAACTATTTAGTAGCGCTGTGCCCACCTGATCGATCGTTAGAAGTAAAAAAATCGTCATATAAAAAATTAGGAAAATTCCTTGAAGTAATGCAACAGGTAAAATATGCACTTACTTAACATTGAATAAAAGAATGATGAAAAACTTATGTCATCCACGCCACGACACATAATGTATCTATCAAGCATAATCTTATGAATTAATCTGTTTAAGGAAGGTTTGCTCGAGGTGCGGGAAATAGAAAAGGGCGTGGATGCCGTGGTCGCGGTGAACGTGTCACACCCTAAGGTGCGCGCGCACGCCCCCGGCGCGCGAATTGCGCCCGCGCCCGTCGAGCCCGCGACTGACTACGTGGCGCCGCAAGTGCGCGAAATGTTCTGCGTTACCGCTAATGTCGCAGACATCTTCGCTCCGCTCAAGTCAGTAAACAGTTGCCCATCTCTGGCCTAGTGTTTGCATTCCATTGTATTCACATCAATCATTTTATTTAAAACTAGCGGCCCGCCCCCGCTTCGCACGGGTCCAACTATCTCGGTATCAAAAGGTCTCTTTTTCCTAATCTTCCCCTCTACTTTTCTAATATTTTCTTTCATAAAAACCTTCTCCTGACAATAACAAATACAACAAAAAAGGTTTAGCAAAATTGGTCCAGGCATTGTTAAGTTATGTGCTTACCAACACATTTTGCGATCCATTTTTATATATAAGAAGATTGTATTAATAAGAACAGTTTCATGGAAGTGCTTGAACAACTATAGTGTGTATTATTCAGGAAGGGCACAGCGCTGACGGCGGCCGAGGTCCGCACGACGCTCACGGAGTACGTCAAGACGCGCCAGCTGAACTCGTCGCAGCTGAAGGGAGCAGTTGTCTTAGATGCAGTACTTGCTAAAATTACGGGGAAATCTGAACAGGTGATTACTGAGGACATTTAATTATCAGGAGGTGAACACTCAGTAATTATGAATACATAATTATGTGCATTTACTTGTGTCTTACTATTGCCATCATATGATTTGTTTTAGAATGCAATCGAAATATGTCAATGCAATGTATTGTGTAATGTACAGGAGGCAGTTAAATGGGACGTGTTGATGTCGAGCGTGCAGGGCAAGATGACTCCCAGTACAGAGATGAGGTTTTCTGACGGCACGGTCAAGCTCACCAAGACCAAGCTCGAGCCAGTCAAGATGCAGGTCGCGTCTCGGAGCGGGAACAAGAAGGTACACACCTGGGTACTCCTGGTTATACAGGTTGCTATTTCATCCCATACGAAATTACAACATTTATTTTGTTTGTGCAGGTGACATTAGTATCAAACTTAGAACAGTTCGGGTTCAACCTGGCAGCATTGAGCCACGTGTGCCAGACGGGCGTGGCGGCCTCATGCGGTGTCACGCGCTCGCCCGGCGCGCGCGCCGATCAGCTCATGCTACAGGGAGACCAGGTAATATTACATGTTATGCATATTCATGTCCAAAGACAATATTGACTTATACCAAGTCAATATTGTCTTTGTATTTATTTACATGTATGTATGTTTATACATAATTATGTGTGTGCCCTGTGTGCAAAAATAATAATTGATGTATTTTCTTTTTACAGACATACTTCGTAGCCAAATTGCTCATAGAGAAGTATGGTCTACCAAAGAAATTTGTGGAAGGAGCAGACAAGGCACTCAAGAAGAAGAAATGATTTAGGCATAGTACAGAAGATAACATGGACGCAAGTGTTAGTAAACAGTGCAGTGATAATCTGTGTGATAATGAAATAAAACAATACAAGAGCTTTTTAGTTTATACTTATATTTACCCTTATTATCTAGTGCACCAGCAACCAGTGAGTTGCAGTGGTTTATACAAAACTACATCTACAATGGCATACCAGTTACATACTGAAATAGTTTCATATCTATATATTTTCTTAACAACTAGAACTTCACAAGTAATTTTATTTAAAATAATACTTATTTCAATATAAGGAAGACAAAAGACTAAAATTCGTATTGCCTTAACCATGATTGTATAGTGATTTAAAAAATGACAATTCATACATCGCATTTGCATAGAGATAAATCTAATAAACTGTACATACATAGTTGTTAAATCACAATTATTTACAATGACAAGGTACTATAACACAATTATCATTAGAAATATAAAATGTTTATATAAAAATATTCTTTTATATAATTTTACTATTCTAGGGTTAGGGTGGGTTGATGTCCGTATTTCATTTTGTTATTTACTAATAAAATGTCAAATCATAGAAAAAATTAATTCTAAAATAATGTTAAGTAATTCATGTTGCTTACTCTAATATTATACTATATGGAGAACCACAACCAAATACTACTCAATGCCTTGTAAACTAATTAATATTCATATAATTTCCTTACTACTATACTACAAGTAACAAAAATAAATTTCATCAGAGATCAAATTTACAATCACAAATTGATATATTGTTCTGAACTTTTTCATTAAATTTTACTGGAAGACATGAATTTGAAAGGTGTTTTAAAGTTAAGCAGTGACTTGCGACTTTTAGATTTCTTGACATCAGGTGGTGCTACAGGTGTCTGTGGAGCACACTGGCGCATGGCAGAGCGAGTCCTCTCAGAGATACTGCCATCACTCACCTTGGTACTGGTGGACTCCATGCTCCAGTGGCTCTTGCAGGAGAACATGGACTGCCTAGAAGTGTTTGAGCTCCTTGAAGTGAGGCTTGTTTTAGAGGGAGTCTTCCTCATACTGCCATGGTTTATGTTTGTGATGTCACCAAACACATTCTTGCTTGTTTTAGCTAGCTTAGAGGGAGATGAATGAACCCACTGCATTGAAGCTCTTTTTTCAGAAGGAGACTTTTTTAAGTCTAAGTATTTGAATCTGCCAATGTCTTTAGCCAGAGCCTCCTGCCTCGGAACTTGATAGCCTTCTGCATCCACATTATCCAACTCATAAAAAGTTAATGTCACACTGTCATCACTCTCTGTGAATGGATTGTTGGATGTGAAGTGAACTTTCTTAGTGGACACCTCAGGGAAGATTTTGCGGCGCGGCATGTTGTCTGCTGTGAACTTGGCGCCAGTCACGATGATGCTGCCATCTCCGGCATCGGCTGACAGTGAGCTATCCAGGTCCTCATAGCCACAGCTCTTCCTGCGGCCCTTGGAGCGCGCTGAGGTGCTTCGTGGGCGTCGTCGCCGCGACACCCAATCCCTTCTATCATCTTTAGCCTGTGTTAGCATCAGAGGCAAAGTTATACCGTTACTTTCACTCTCACCTGCCAAGTCTAAGGCGGCCCTGCTTGGCACAATTTTGGTAGATGGACTGTTCACTATTTCCTTGGCTACAAGATCCCTCTCTCTCTTGTTGAGCGACTCCTCGCGGTGGCGAAGCGCTATCAGACGTGACATCCATTGCTGGCTGAGAGTTTCTTCAGACACTTGCTGGGGACAGTTGAATGTATCCAATGTGTCTGTGAAGGGTCTCCTGCTGCGAGGGACAAAGCCAGGTAACTCCAGAGCGAGTGCAGCCAGTGTAGGAGACAAGGGACCGGTTGGCGAGCTTGCCTCAGCTGTTTGTATCTCAGCTTTTCTCTTTGGACTGATGTTACAGTAAATAGGACTGTCCATAACATTGAATAGTGTCCTGGGCAGAGGCTCTACAGCTCTGCATAACTCTCCAGCCTTCTCTGAGTCACATTTATTCACTTCAGATGTATTGTAAGAGTGATCACCCGAGATGATTATTTCGTTCAAACATTTAGGCTTCACTTTGGATTCCAGATTCATAAGAACAGTAGGATGGTATAGGACGACATCAGGGCGCATATTGGTACTCTTCTCATCCACAAGAAAGCCCACAATGTCCCTGAGATCATCACTGTAGGGAAACTCCTTAATCTTGTTAGTGCCGGGCCGGTAGCACAACGTGTGAATTACTTCAGCGACCTGACGCATTACGTCTGAGGGCTCCGTAGACCGAGACAGCTCGAAGCAATTGATGCGCAACTCGCCGCTTTCGTTCACAAAGATGGATCCGGGCGTAATGCATTTCTGTACAATAAGGACGTGTATGTCTTCGATTGCCTTACAAACTCGAGCCAATTCGTGAAGCAGGTACCAGATAAACCCCTCTGCTATGAACTTGTCAGTGGCCTTGCAAACTTCTATCAATTCCTGCACACTTCGCCATGAATTATATTCAAGGACAAAGTACAATGTTTTCGAAGGAGTGTGGAAAATAGTATCGTAGTATCGCAATAAGTTCTTCGATGTCACTTTACTAATTGTTTTCACTTCATTTGCAACATTTTGTATTTGTTCGCTACTGAACGCGGAGCAATCGTACGCCTTCCACGCAAATATGTTGTTTGTGACCTTGTGTTTCACTTTGTAGAACGTACCACCGCAGAAAACGTCTATAACTTGATAATCCTTTAATTTTTCCGCCATTATACTAGTTATATTGAATTAAAATAAAATATTTCACATTTTGCGAGTGAAACAAAGCCACTGTACTTTTGAATACCGGTGACGGTTACAGAACTAGTGGTGCCCTGACACGATATTTAAAAGAATCGACATTTTGAGTTAACCGTCATGGATTTTTTTAATTTGGCACTTGTATTTTAGGTACATATTAAAATAATTTAATTTATTTGTTTGTATCTTTACAAAATGACATTTTCATGATTATATTGATGTATTGGGATTTATATCTGATTGCTGATATTTTCCTTTGTTCGTAACATTTTAAGAATTTACAGACTATAATTTCCACCACATTTCGTATTATCTTGAATTAAAAGCAATTTAAAATATTTTATTCGTCCAAATTAGATGAATTATTAAGAGACATGATTTTAACGATAACTTTCAAGTCTTTAATTATTATCGAATAATCACAGCACTACCAGTTGTTTAGAAATGTTTGTTCCTGTATTTATTCGTTCGGAAACCTATTGTTTGATTCCACGTTTGATTCTGTATTTCTTTATTAGAGGCGAGTCCGTGAAATATATATATAATCAAGAATATTTTTTTATAAATCTCATATGAAAGTTCAAAATATTATGATGTCTAGTGTTCTAAGTCAAAAGCATACTATCTTCAAAAACAATGACTTTAATTTGTTACTATGCTATTTGATGTTGTAAATAATAAACAAATTAAGCAATTTTTTTGTTGTTGATCAAGTAATAATATCAGCTCCACCATTTTTATCTAATTTTCTGTCTGCTACTGCCTTATACATCTGTGTACACTCCATAAGGAATTTATTTATTTTAGTAGCGGATTACCCCTCTTTAAGAAGAGGCTAGAGCTATGGCGTCCTCATATACTTTTTTTTTATGGTACCTATAAGTCGGCAAACGAGTAGCCGGATTACCTGATGGTAAGCAATCGGCGCCGCCCATGGACACCCGCAACACCACAGGAGTTACGAGTGCGTTGCCGGCCTCTTGTGGATGGGGGTTGCGGATATAAGGTGATAAGGATTGGGAAGGGATAGGGGAAGGGGAGGGATTGGGCCTCCGGTAACCTCACTCACACGGCGAAACACAACGCTGTGGGTTGTTTAACGCCGGTATCCTGTGAGGCCGTGGTATCACTCCGGTCGAGCCGACCCATTCGTGCCGAAGCTTGGCTCTCTCACACTTGAACTGTCACTTCTGCAGTTCTGCCTGATGCAGGTGCCTACCGTACACGGAATCTTTGATACGTACCATTGTCTGTGTGTGTACACGACTAGCACCACCGTGCCCTCAAGGAAGTGATTGGTGACAGCGACCTCTCACGCTCGACCCTAGTCGAGACCAGGCTACGGAGTGAAAGAGCAGGTATAACTCCGAGCGTCGGAGATTACTAAAGGTACTGTGGCGTCGGCCCTGAGCAGAAGAAGGAAAAATTGTTCAAACAGGGCCGTGCTGACCTCCTACAGCTCTTGTCAATATTCATTGTTTTTCAACCGACTTCGGAAAAAGGAGGAGTTTATCAACTCGTCAGAATGTATTTTTAGCTGATGCGCGTTCTTTTATCTGTGTTGTCGGACTGCCAATCGCAGATGATAGCGGAATCCGAAGCACAGCTGGCCAACTGAAGATATTTTGGAGCCTAACTAGCGTGCCATCCCCACGCAAAACTCGACTCCGCCTTCCAAAAAATAATAGTTTCTTTTACTTGTGGAGGCCCAATCCTTTGACTACAAATTGCTGATTAACTGAAGCATTTTGCATAATTGGTACCTATGGACCGATGCCAGGAAGGCTGGCACAGTATATATTGTATAGTCTATGGGCTGGCAACACTCATCTTGAGACATGCTAACAAACGTAGTGCTTATCAGCTATATTAGTGCTTATAGCTTATTTTTGTAGTATGCTAAAAGCTCTCGGAAGAACCAAATACCTTTGTCGGTTAGGGAACAAACTTACCCAGAAGTCAAGGCGATTCTAGAATCAAACTTTTATAGCCCTTCACTTCTACTGGTCTGTCCTACACCATTATTGAGAAAGCCTCAGAATACAGAACAAACCAGAATCCGCGTTCACTCATAATTACATGTCGTCAAATGTGTCCAAAAACAATACGTCAATCCCCCCGCCAGCCGCACTTCCCACCCGCGTAGTGTTGCCGACAGTGGAACAATTCCCTTGGTTTGGGGTAATTTTACAACAGGAGGGTAAGATACGAGTAAACCCAACAAAACAGGTAAACTTACGATAAATGCAACAGACTAGTTGTTCACATATTTCATAGAGGTATCATAAAAGTTGACGATTTCGGGCTGTGTTAATTTTAGTTACACCTACTATACACAACAAATAAAATAAAGCTTCAATTAGTAGGTACAAAGGTTTTATTGCGTTCCCTTTTGCTGGTTTAGTTTTTAATATGTATTGTCTTTAGACTCCGAACTAAAGATTAAAAGTCTACTTATTTACTTATGCCCGTTTTCACCAACAGCCCCTAAAATTTAAGTGTCTCTTAAGCCAATATAAGGGGCACTTCTCGCGAGTTTTGTTTTCACCAACGTTTAAGTGTCACCTATATCATTAGGGGTCCCTTATAATTTAGGGGATGAATTGACGACCCCGTAACGTTTAAGTGAAACATAGTGTTAGGTTATTTTGCGAATCACCAAACAGTATTTTATCCTACTGAATAAGATAAAAAAATAATAAAAATGGATAATAACCACTATTTATTTGAAGATTTTAAGCAATTGAAGATATGGAATTGTTAAGTAACCGACATTTGTATAGACGACCTCGTATTTATCGTGAAAGATCGAAAGATTTTGAAAAATATGATGAAAAAGACTTTTTCATAAGATACAGGTTCCCTGCTCAACCTTACTTGTATTTAAAGAAATAAATCTGTGGCACCGATTAACCAATTACTGTGTGCCCTTAGATTTTATGCAACAGGCAATCAATTATTATCTGCAGCAGATCTCAATCCCATCAGTGTATCTACTTGCAGTAGAATTATAAAAAGAGTGTCTGACGCTATCGTGGTTCGTGGCAAAGCGAATTCATACAATTTCCAGACACCGAAGAAAAACAACAAATAGTAAAAGAAGAATTTTACAGAATAGCTCGATTTCCAAATGTTTTAGGATGTATAGACTGTACACACATAAAAATTCAATTATAAGGTTGGGCGTTTAGAGAAACACAGGTCCTTACGAGTAACCATTTATTACTGAATCTCCTATGAAATAATACATGATTTAATAAGATGGATAGACACGCACACATACAGATACGGCAGATCTTTGTGTCATATTTATTGAGCCTCCAGCGAACACCGTCGTTCGCACACCTATCGTCTTTCTATGATGTCTCTAATAATGATATTCAAAAGTCTTTTAATGGTATTAACTAGAAACCTTCTTTACATTTATTCATGTGATAAATTATAGGAGGAGATGATGCCGAACTATTCTGGAATAGAAAAAGCAGTATGTCTATTAATATGCAAACAATAAGTACTGCAAAATTATTAATAACTGATGTGGTGACACGCTAGCCAGGATAAACAACATTCTTTATCTTCAAGTGAAAAATTTTGACCACGTTTCCTCCTTTTCTGCCATTGTAATTAATAAAAATTTGGTATTTTTTTAAAATACGCGAAATGATTGAAATGAAACTGTCACTGGATAGTGGCATCAAAATGTCACCGGCGCCGCGTCTTTGTAAGCTATGGCATTTAACATACAGCCAAAAAATAAAAACACAACTTTTTGTTACTAATCTAACATTCACCAGTTCAAGACTCTTCTTTTCGAAATAGGTAAATTGAAGTTAGAAAAGTAATTACTTGTTTTAAGGTTGTATATTTACGAAAATAACAATAGAATTGTCTAATCGATTCATTTATCGATAACTGTTTGCATAGTTCCTCAACACTAAACGTCACCTAATTAGGGGGCTCCATTGAGATAGAAAATATATAGAGGCGCCGTGTTACTATAGAAGTATACATGCTTATACAAATATGAGGGAAATATGAAACAAACTATGAAATATCATTTTTTCTCACTCTTTCTAAGGCAATAATTGTATTAGACAAAAGAGACAACAATATTTAAGTTGTTGCTTAATATGGAAACAAATCATTTTGACATTAGCAAAGTTGTAGGTAAGTGCCATGTCCGCCATCTTAAGCGCTCAGAGTACCTGAGTTTCATGGTAGTTGTGCTGTCAAACGGTTGTTTATGTTTTAAATTATTGCGGTTTTTCAGTAAATTACAAAGAACCATTTTTTTAAACTTCAAATATATATAGTGAAACAAAAAAACAATATGCCTGTGTGTTGTATTGTGCAGTGTGGTGCAAAAAAGAACGAAAATCAACCTCAATTGTCTTTGTATAGGTTAGTAAACAGTTTTCATCAAATATTACTTAGAATAATCCACATAGATAGAAAAAAATGTCACGGATACTTTAATCTATTGCCAAAGTATATATATTTACTTTTATTTCTGTCTGTGAGACAGTTTTAGTAAAAAATTGTTGTTTACAATAATATGTCAATATGGCATAGTTACGTACCATTTCACAAAAGTATCGATATAATCTCCCATTTAAAATTCAACATATATTATACTAAATAATCTATTTTAACAATGGATGTTTCCACAGTTTTATGTAACGCTAAAGTAAGACGTCAGTATTTTGGTATTGGTTTTAGTTACATAAGTAGAAGTTCAAATTATCTTGTTTTATAATTATACGGGCGCGATTGACAGAGCGACGTTGGCGACGATCCCAGTGCGACCACCAAGCGTAATAATAAAAAGTGAGATACATACAATAAGATTGACTTCACTACATATCTATTTTGTGGTAACGTAGTTTCGAAGATATCATCGCTTAATCAGACGCGCCGAAATTGTGCGCGTGCACTTCACAAATACCCACAGGTTTACCACATATTATTATATAAAGATAAACAAACAAACATTTAACAAACACTATCTTTTTCTATTTCACCATTCCATTAAACGCTGTTTATAAACACTATAACTATTTTTTTAAAAGACGCTTTACGTAGAATTATATGAATACAAATTCGACTTGAGAAAATCATTAGCCAATCAAGAGACCAAGTTAACCCCGGGTTCCGGGCTCTAGCTAGGCCGACGGCAAAGTAGGAACAGGAGTTAATTTTAGTCAGTAACGGTCTGTCCCGAAAAAGGCCGGAGATGACATTAGATGATTTCCCATAAAAAATACCGTTAATCAGCTGGCTAATCCCTAAAACTATACCTACGTAGAACTTTTACTCAAATTGTATCGATACTCGTTAAATACTTAGTCGGCACAACCCTAGCAACGGCAGCCATCTTATGCGACAATTTGGATTGTAGGTAGGCACCTTTTTTTCGTAGGTATTTCAAGTCCATATATTTCCTATGTCAATGGGGGGCTCTTAATTAGGTGACACTTAGGACAGTGAAACAAAATTTAAGTTAAGGGATGATTTGAACGGTCCCCTAAGTTAAGTGGCCCTTACTAAGGTGACTTTTTAGGGGCTGTTGGTGAAAACGGGCATTAGTCCTGAGATTAGCGCATTCTAGCAAACAAACAAACTCTTCAGCATTATAATAAGTATAGATATATCTTAGTAGGATATGCTGTTTTCAAACCACCTTTGTCATAAATATATCTCTTCAAAGTGAATTGAGCAAACTATGCTCTGGCTAGATGGTTTCCAAAATTAATCTAACCGTGCCCTTTGTATGATTTGTATTTATTTTTTTGTCAGGGAAACTAATATGACATAGGCTCCATAATGGACAAAAATATAACCCACAACAAATAAATAAGTGGGTAAAATTTTCATCAAAAATGACAACACTCACAAAATGGCCGTATCATTTTCATAGAAAAATAAATCGATAAAAAAAATTCAATAATTAATTAAATATACTATTGCAGTCGATGCTTGCAGATGAAATGTAATCTTATCCACTTTTTTCGTAATTCCAGTCGCATTTTTACTCGTAGTAATAACACAAGACGGCATAATGAAATTAAAATAAAATTGATACTCGTAAATATGTCACGACATGCCACGTGCCAAAATTGACTAATCGTAGAAATTTCATACTATTCTAGTTGAGAATGGTTTTAGTTGCTTTAGTTTGAAGCGCGATGACGCCTTCTGGTTTGTTCTGTATTCTGAGGAGAAAGCAAATCTGTTTGCTTCTTGACTAGCGAAATAGACGTGTAGATGCTGGTAGCACTTCAATCTCGCTCTGTTCGTAAGTATTTGAGTACCTACCTAGAGTATTTCCTAAGCCATCGGCAATATGGGTTTCGTAAACGATCGACGTGGAGCTTTTTACTTATAGCTACCGCTCAATCCACTCATATTAGGCGCGAAGTGATCGAGAAGCACGGCTAGGGGTCAGTGCTTCGACAATGACTGGCATGATTGCCTTATTAGCAAGCTTAGGTACTGTTGCATTTGCTGCTGGTCTGTGCAGATGGATAGGCAGGCTCGAGATCAATTAACACGTTTGGCCAATTAGGTACGTATTTTTCGGTATTCGATATCTTTGGGTATGCAAATGACAGCATAGTCGTTGAAAAGTATCAGATCTCTAAGAGAATCCAAGAGAGAAAGTTTGAACTTAAGCGGTCTTACGAGTGAAGTGATACTAAATTACTATCTTAGCTTCACAGAAAGAAGAGACGGCGGCGTCCCAGTTCCTCTCGCTACGCACCTTGACCTAGTTGACCTTTTCTTGGGCTGTTCAATGTCTGTCTTTCTGTGGTATTGTGCCTCCGGAACGTATGAACTGATTTCTTTCCGATATAACCACTTCGCTAAATAAATTATTTTCATCAAGTTGTTTTTTAATTGACATAGAGAAGAGACGCGAGACGCATCGCACGAAAATAAAGTTGTATACACATTATCATGAGCATGCACGCGGATATCGATGGAGACCGCCCTTGACGAAGGCACTCCGTTATTGATACGCAGTGTCTTTTTAACCTTTCGTGTTTTAGATGTGGATCCACACGAGTCGCAATGTGCTTCTGTTGTTTATAATATACCATCATTCAATGGGTTAATAGGACCTTAAGTGCAATTTTAAACGGTGGTAGGTATATTGAAATAGGTATAGACTCAACGAACGAGTATACATATTTATAAGGATTACGCAGAATAAGCGAAAGAGTGCACACTACCTATTTTGTAGTTAAATGGACGTCATTTATACAGAGCCGGAAAAATGTGTGAATTACACAAATACATAGTTGTACCTAATATTGCACGGCAGTCGGTCACCAAACCCTACACGAATCATGCAATTAATAGTGTACCGATCCTCTGTCACGCTGTAAATAGTTCAGGGTGAAAATAAACAGTCACACAATTTAAAATGTTTATTTAATTAGTGAGTATAAGCGTGTATGCGGCACGACTGACTAGCAGTTACCAAATTATAAATATCACAATACATGATCCTCTTCATTCATAATTTATTTAAATTAAATAAAAAGCCAATATAAATAACTCACAATCCCAAAATATAAATTGATTTAATTAAATTTAACGCAAGAAGAAATGTGTGGGAGACGTGAGCGTGTCTTGCGAGGTCCACGCAATCACACTCTGCCAATGTCCACCACCACTGGAGACTACCGGCCTCCACCGGCCACTACCGGCAACTACCGGCCAGAACCGAGCAGCGTTGACTGCCGGTATGCTCTCAGAGCGACAATGGCAGCAATTAAATGGTATTTAAAAAGTATTGTGCGCTAATTAGCAACCTACTTATTCTATTTCATAATCGATATTAAGGATACTTTTCAAATACCTAAAATATCTTTATTTACAATATTTGTATACAAGAATATAATTCATCATCATTGACTAGAAACTGTTTAGAAATTATAATTATCAACATATCCACAAATCAATTTACACATATTGAAACGAGAGCACCGAGCGGAGCTCTCCTGCGCCGACCGAGGACGGCGGACTCTTTGGTAACATGTTTGAACATACAGTTTGCATCACATCCCCTCTATGTACAACGGCTTTCAAAATAATACATTATTATAATACGGATCGACAATACCAACAACTATTGGTAACATTTCAATCGTTGTAAATGTAAACTACCTAATATCACTAGCTCAAACACTTGGGTTGGTACAGACGCACAAAATAAAATTTTACAAAAACAAAAGAGACAACAATGGTAAAATAAAATCTTATAAAACAAACAACAACCTAAACAATACGAGCAGCAGTGTGAAGCGACGTCTCGCCTGACTCGATCGTGCAATTTGTAGCTACGAATCATACATATACTTTATGTATTTAAACTAAATACAAAGCAATCTTTGTCTTTTAAATACTGGGAAATGAAGTGAGATCATGGTGAGGCTCGCGTCGCCGCGACGTCCTCCGGCGCCTCGCCAGTGCACTCTGGCCGTGCCAAGCTCACGTCGCGCGACGCAAGCGGCCGGGGCAAGCGTGGCAAGCTTCCAGGGTTCGATCAATCGGATTGTATAAAACTTACAACAAGGGCGGGGGCATCGCGAGTACGCGTCGCTCTCGCACGAGAAATGTACTACGACCATTTCCGCGGAGACGCGGGACGCGACCGGAACGAAGCGGGCGTCGGGCCCGCACTACCGCACGCCGGCCGTGCCCAGCCGCTGGTGCGCCGTGCTGGGCCGCGCGCCGCGCGCCGACTTGCGGGGCGCCGCCGCCACCGCCTCCACCTCCGCCTCCTTGCGCGGCGCCGGCGCCAGCCCGCCCGCCAGGCTGGGCGCCAGGCGCGGCGCCGAGTACAGGCGCGTGGTGGACGGCAGAGGGAGGGGCGCCAGATCCAGGACGTTTTCAGCGCGACGTCGAGCGGGGCGGGCGCTGGCGCCCCGACGCCGGCCTGCTACACCGGGCCGCGTCGTCAGTGGCTCTACGCCGCTGCACATACGATACATACATTGAGTGTGAGGTTGTAGCTTGCAATGCATGTCCCCCAAGCAGTACGTACGTGTGTTCCCGCAGCTCCCAGGCGTCGGTGTCGTCGTTGTACCGGGCGCGCAGGACGGCGGGACGGCCGGCCAGCGGCACGAAGCTGTCGGCGACGAGCAGACGGCGGCGCAGCTCTGCGATGAGCGCGGCCTGCAGCGCCTCCAGCTCGCGGCGCTCGGCGTCGTGCGCCTCGCGCTGCTCCACCATCTCCTCGCGGAGGCCGGCGTACCGCGCCAGGCACTTCTTCAGCCTGCAACAGTCCCGCCGTTAGCGCGCGTCCCCCCTCCCCCCTCGCAGTGCCAGCAGCGTACGTACCGCTGCGTCTTGTGGTCGACCTCCTGCTGCAGCGTGGCGAAGGTGTTGGTGACGATGGCAGTGGTCTCCTCCTCCAGCTCTATCTTCTGCTGCATCTCGACCTCCCGCTTCTTGCGCTCGGTGATCTCGCTGTTCCTCTGCTCCAGTATGAGCTGCGCCTCGTTGAGGTTGTTGATGAGATCCTTCCCCCCGCCGCCCTGCACCAGCCGCTCCTCCAGCGCGCGGATCTGTTGCTCCAACTCTTCCGTCTGCTTCTTCTCTTGTTCTATCGTAGACTCGGCCAGTATGTTCTCGTGTTCTATACTGACTGTCTCCTCTTCAGCTAGAACACGAAAGAATAACGACGTGTATCATCCCTCGTGCCAAGTACAGAGACAGTACAGTAGAGCGCAGACATACAGTTGTCGGAAGGCGCGGGCTGCGACTTCTGCTTGGCGGGCCTGCGCGTGCGCCGGTCGACGGTGCGGCGCTGCGAGATGAGCGCGCGGAGTCGCTCGATCTCCGCCTGGTACTCGCGCAGCTTGGCGTCCTTCGGGTCCTCGTTGCGGACCGGCTTGTTCTTTATCGCTGTGAATACACGAAGTACAATTACGTTTAGTTATTCGGAGTTCTAGGCAAAGCACAGTATAATATATTCCCCAGAGTAACTAGCTAACGGGTTGCTATGCCTGCCCCAGGGTTGCCAGTGCAAGCGCAATAATGTACCGCGGCTCCGGCTCGGAGCAGGAGAAAGAACGGGGTGATTTTTAGTCAATAACATATTTTTTAAAAGAAACCTGGCCCAACACTGATTTTCTTTTGTTTCGTAGATCACACAAAGCGTTGTTCGGTGCGGGCATCAAACCCCGCTTGTCCCGCGACACGTTGCACGACAGCCAGTTGCCCAGCCACCGCACAAACCGTGCAGTCAAATTTGTCACTCTCACCTTATTATTTTTTGTCAGGAGAATCATCAAAATCCTCCTACCGTGATTCGAGGCCGCGGTGCCTCATTGCGCTTATCCCGTAACCCCGGCTGAACATCAAACCCTCTAGGGCCCCGTCAGTAAGCCCCACCCAGTGCTGCATAAGTCATTTAATAAGATAGCTCCCTTTAAAAAGGCAAATCTCGCCTGTGACCAGGTTAGGTTAGCGTAGTGTAAAGGAACGGAATGAATTTAATTGGTGAGTATACCGTGTGAGGACTTTGCCGTGCTTTTCGACTGCTAACTGTCTCCGTTCTGACAGTTTAAGTATATGCGCGACCCATCCAAACGTTCTTTTGATCGAAATTTTTCGTCGGACAACTCAACAACACCAGTTAACTATACTGGTTGTACAGCGTATGCTTGGAGAGGGGCCAAGCGAATTATAAGCTGTGTTTGTTTCGGCATTTCTTTTCGGAGTCATATAGAAAATGCCGGTTTAACTTTGGCGTGTACAAGAGCCGTTTCGGCTATTTGCAAAAATAAATTGTTACCTTTAGCTCTGTGCGCGTACCGCAGTGTGGTGATGGTCTCGTCGTAGTTGTAGGAGGCGGGGCCGATGTTGGCGATCATGATGGTCTTACTGTTGCCGCCCAGCGAGTCCTGCAGGATGCGGGTGAGCTTCGAATCTCTGTAAAGTACGGCGACATCTCATTGCACATGATGCATCATTGGCTGGCTGGTATGCAACGTGTCACGAGTTCGATTTTCACGTCACAAACAACAACAATAATAAGTATGAATGGATTTTTTGATTTTGGTGTCGAAATGCCGATCGTTTGTTCGGAGTCAGAAAATTCTGCAGTTTTTTACCAAACAAACCGTCGTCGTCGGTTTGCCGTCACATTGGATCCAGTGAGTAACACGTACACACTTGTACATTATAATATTACCACATTGGAGCTGAGCTGAGTCTGGTATGGATTGCAATCTGCCATTATTCAGGTAACTTCATGTATTTACCTGTAGGGCACATGCGGACTGTTCTCGGCGAGCGCGGAGATGACGTTCCCGAGCGAGGAGAGCGCCTGGTTGATGCGAGAGGCCTCCCGCAGGCGCTCGGCGGACGCGCCCGTCTTGCGCTGCCGCTCGCTGCCCGCCAGGTCCACCAGGTTCAGCTTGCCCACTCTGCGGACACAACATTACCAACTATTATCCCGGCCACGCAACTACACCACAACGGTCAGTCACTGCCTGTACGACTACGTTTCTTTACAAAATTATGTTTTTACCACTATTTTGAAGATGATTGCTTGTTTCTATGTATGGGCAGAATTAACGATGCACATGTACAAACAACAGCAAACTATCCCGCTGCAGACATCCGATAGATATACATGTAAACTTATGTTATAGATAGACGCTTGAAGTGCAGTAAAGTGCTAATTAAAGTAAGTACGAGTCCCCTACATCAGCGAGGTATCTTCGGGGCCAATGCACTGGGTGTCACGTCGGATGTGACGCGAGGGCGAGTGAGGGGGCTACGCACCGCTCTTCTATTGACAGCTTCCGCCCGGTATTGGATCACGCCACAAACTACTATAGACCTTACTACTTACACATTTACCTACTTTGTTGGACTAAGCTGAAACCTATAAACGAACGGCTCACAAGAAATGCAATAAATGAGGATTGGCCCCATCTTGACGGAGCATGCTAAATTGAAATGGTGTTTATAATGTATGATAGTAAACCCAATATATTAATATTATCAGTACCTACTACTACGTACTACTATAATTTGGCTAAGCCTGTCTTTGTTGATTAGTTGTTCTGATAAGATTATAAATTAACCTTGGACGGAAATCGATTTATTTCTATTATTTGTAGCGTACAGTTGAGCACGACTATAATTTCATAATTGGCTCCACCAGAGGTCAGACAGTGTAGCTGGTTTTGCCAACGACGCTTTAATTATCTACCTTTATTTTTCTTGTGATAGGGCGATGCGCGGGTAGCCGGATCACCTGATGGTAAGCAGCTCCTGGAGTCCTGGAGTACCGTGTACCGTACCCGAAAAGACCGGTCTTTACGGAGTTGTTAGCAATTTAAGAAAGATTGGATTTCCCTCCGGTAATCTCACGAGCCTGAGAGCCGGCTCACACGGGCCTCGGCATAGTGTCTGGCATTCCCATATAAACGATACTGTGATATTACTGTACGCTTCTACACCCACCTAGCCCTTGATGCTGCTGTGAGCGTACACAGTGTGAACGGTCCACATTATTATACAGACACAATTTTGATTACCATGCTGAAATATACTAACTATTATGTAGTACCTAGGTGAATAATACATGGTGAATTATATAGCAAAAGTCTCGTTGATACTGAGTAGCTGTGTAGCGTGGTTGGCGGCCCGGGGTTTGGTTGCGAGGCGAGCGAGCGCGTAGAGCTGCCGGTGACTCAGTACGTGGCTGATGTCTCGTCACTAGGGACGATACGATATGTCTATACACAGTATATACTTTGTATCAACCTTTAAGTTTTTAATAATCAGTATATATGTCCACATTACAATAGCACACTGCTAACAAACGTGACATTAAAGTACATAAGACGGACATCACATAACGTCGCTACACATAGTTAGAACATGTTTATTGTATTTCCTCGATCGTTATTGTACCCACATGAAGAGAACCTTCAAACAGGTTAATGTTTGTCTGAGCTCAACTTGTACTAGACGATACACCAAGTGTTTTATACAGTGCTACATGTACGCTATGCAGTGTACAGGTGCTGGGGACAGCGCATTGTGGGCAGGAAGCAATGTTTGGTGTAGTCGCAATGTTTGGTGTAGTCGCAATGTTTAAGGATTAGCAAGGTGTTAAAATCTACCTACTCAGGCAGAGCAGGGACACCTTGTCTGCTTTGTTCTGCTGCGTTCCCTCTTCATAATTTAGGACTGTTAGAGTAGTTCTAGTAAGAGATGTATCCTACTTATGTTGGTCGCAGTTTATTTAATTGATTGAGGTCACCACACCTTGAGCATATTTATTGTGTCTGCAGAACTTGTGCCATCTGTGTTGTTGGTGCCAGCTTCTTCATCGAGACAGCGACCTACAACCTGGCTGGCCTCTCTGCACGTGATCAAACAAAAGAGTGGCGACCCATCGAGCATAACTCGAGTTAAGCGTACACACAATGGAGCTCTCAGTATGGCGTTTGGACCCCGAGTTGGGTGAAGCTATTTGAAGCATGAATTTGTGTCTGGTGCAAAGCGATTAGCTCGCCCTCTGATATACTTATGAAGCTTATAACTTGTGGAATGAATATTTATAACAAACAGCAACAAACTACAACGCGACTAACAATGACAATCGCAATGGATCTGTCGCAGCGCCTGAAGCAGTGGCTGTGTTGTCACCGTGTCTTAATTAACAAATGGAAATCGGTGACTCGCAATCTAAGGAAAAAATCTTGCAAAAAGACGTTAATCTGCCCTCACTTCCTTGTTAAATACACTCAATATCGTGACCTTCCAGTAGAGCGCGGACTTCCAGACTGCTCTGGGTTCCTAGGACAACACAATAATAGTAAGCATAAACTTAGTTCTGGGAAGTAAGTCGCCCTGCTAGCTCGTCCCAGCGGCTCACTGATGAACACTACACCATGATGGTCCGTGTTACAATATCTGCCTCTGCCCACGACCACAATGCTGTCCACCCACTGCGTGTCTGCCACCGCGTGCCTTCACCGCGACGCGCTCCTTGTACTCACTCTAAGCTCACAGCTTCATTCACATTTCGTTATGTAGGCGCATACCGCGCATACTGGATACTATGCTAATTCCACACCTACTGGCTGCCGCGCAAAAATCTATCTTATCAGACGAAGTAGTGCTCACTATAGTACACCACAAGTCAATTCATGTAGGGCTGGCGCTGAGGCCGGGCAGCTTGAGACAATCCTGGTGTGGAAGAAGCATAAAAATATAATTAAATATGATTTGCTAGAGACTAAAGACATCATGAATTCACCTAGTCATTATGTTATACATACGGTGCCTTGTTTTGCCTACTAACTGACATCACAAGGCGAGGGCAGTACGCGAAATACGGAAATGGGTAAAAATAAAATTATAACATTATAAAGGTAATTTAAATAAAGTGGTTCCGTTGAATATTAGACTACAAGCTAACACCATTTCCGAGAGTGGGCAGCGGCAGTGGCCAGGCAGGAGCTAGCGTCGCGAGACACCTGGCATCACAGACATGAGTAAGTCTCACCTTGTTCGAACAACTCACTCGATAAAAACGATCAAATTGTTTTACACGTAGATGATTACTTTGTTAGGTGTAACCTTGAGTTTATCGATTGCAAACAACGAGCTGAAATATAACTATTTTGTAGAAAGATCTTTTTGGTCGATAAACTATGAAGTGTAAGAAATAAACACGGAACAAAAACTGAGCAAGTACTAACATAGTTTTGTTTGTTTATACGTATTACCAGATTAATGTTCCTTTCTGGCATCGCATGCACATACAGGATCGATCGGAGCAGCGTATATTACAAAGAAGTGTAATCGCTACCTGATTCGTAACAAGTAGCATAACATCGAGGTCATTAACTGATAGCGCGAGTCGGAGGCTGGTGCACACTGCGAGCACTGTGTCAGCAATGAGACGATGTACACAAAACATTAACTCGCGAAACTGTGTCACTCGATGACTGCTGAACAGAATATTGTCTGAACTTGATTCGAGTTGATCCATTATCAACCTTTCTGTTAAACAAGTCAGTCTCTAGTCAGAGTGTAGTCACGAATGGCGTATGTAGTTCAATGAGTAGTATGCAGTAGTACAGATACAGATTTAAGACATCAGGATGCGACGAATGGAATATTAAATATCTGCCCCGAAATTTATGCAACACCTGGTTAATTGACCTACTGCCCACTCATACTACTGTTGTATGTCGGCTTACATAATATACTTCAGCGACACTCGGCCGTATATGTAATGTTTACATATGTCCGAACACTTACCGAAGTGTGTAAACGAAGGCGCGTGTGATGTTTAATGTTGCCTAAACAAATACAACCTTGTGGAATAGGTACAAGCATTGTGTCGCACGTTACATCATGTTTACTTCGATTGTGCCGCGGCATCGTCTCCAGCTGACCAATATCGTAAGGTGAGGGCTTCTGTATAGTAAACTAGTAGCAGAGAGGAGAGGAACCGTCACGATGTGTCGTCGAGGAACAAGATTTAGAAAGCGCAGTAAGCGAAGGTGGTTTTCGCACTATACGACGTAATACAATTAGAGGTGAGGTTTTAGAAGACTTGGCAGCTGCCTTCTTGTAGCCTACCAATATTCCGCCCAATCTGAGTATCACTGAGTGTCGACCTCAACCTAGTTGGGAAAAGGCCAAAAGATAGGCATAATAGCAAGGTTTCTATGATTTCAGTTTTGCCCATACAAGGAGGTCTGTTAGCGTTCTTCAAGTCCCCGGTTTAATGTTTGAACTACACTGAGTATAGAATAAATAAAGGAAACGAGTCATAACAAACATGACACAGATGACAATTACGTGACTGTGACTGAAGTCTACATGGGTCGCAAGTTGCAAGGTACAAGGTTTCTGATATATCGCGGCGACTGCATCTAACATACAATGTCAAACTGGTGGAATACAAAATATAATGATTTTTATGAACATGAGGAAAACGAAGGCAATTCGTCTACGTCCTGCGGCATGTCGCCACACAATGTAAAACAGTTCTAAGTTTTGTACATACATTGTAATCACCATACATCAATATATATGTATATACTGTGATTTGTTTCACAGAGCGCGCGCGTGCCGAGTAGCAGTGGTGCGGCCAATGCATCACCTCCGCAATAAGTACAAACATACGAAATTCGTCCTTGGCTCGCTACTGCCAGTCATTATGCTGTAATTGTAGAAACACGCAAATTACAATTACGCGCAATCGTACACTACACTATTCAGTGTGAATACTGTGATATCCACATGACGGGGGATCGCTGGTCCAAACAACGACAACGACACTTTTCTGTATGCGAAAAGCGCTATTTACGCGCTATATTCAGTAAATAGCTAATAGAGAGCTAACTATGCACCCAAGTACTGTATCATATAACAATGAAAATTGTAAAAACGACAAAACATTCGTTCCAAATGTGCAGTGTATCGAATAAAACAAGGTTACAAGCAACGCGCTACCGGTGCACCACCGCTACTGGATCTCGGAAAACATTCCGCCGTGGCTAGTCCACCACGCCTGAGTGTCAGGCCTACCACAAGGAGCATCTTTCAGTATTGCATACTTTGCGACATGTACCCTCGGACGACCACACGACATAGAACGGTATAGTCGCTGAGCTATTTGAATTCACTCGAGCGACACACGGGACTTATTATAATGTAATCAACGTGTTATCGGTGCGATAACAGCACGCGGATTGGAGTGCGAATCTATATTTTGTAAGCGAAACACTTCAACTTGCGGCAGTAAAGATACTCCGCGTATGGAGCACTAGTATCGCTACAAGACTTGAGATTAGATTCATTATCTATTGAGACCTGTCAAATTAAGTATTTATTGCATTTATTTCCATTTACTGCGTACACTTACACAAAGGTAGGAAGTGGATACTTTCAAGTACGAATACAATCCGACTCGACGTATGTACGAGTATTTTTAGCAATAAATTATTGTAATTAGATCATCTCACACAGCTTAGGAGTTCAGTGACTCAGTGCCTACACATGAAATGTGTTAGTCAGTCACTCATTTTACAGCCAATATGTCCATTCTTGGTGCACACTGGAGCTGTAGGTACCAGGACTTCATAACTACACCCAGCTTCACACATGACACACAGCCGCCGACGCGACGCCTCCACCCACAGGGTATATCGCTGCTCGTCGAGCCCAAGTATAGTACCTACTATTTGGATATTGAACTAGCAAAACATAGGTTGGGTAGTTAGGCTATACTCCTGATGACGAATACATATCCCCGAGTGTAGGTGTCTCCATTGTTCTCACCTCATTATTGTTGCTAGAAGAAGCAGGTGCTATTGTAGCGTAAAGCGATTTATAAACATGAAAATGTAATTTCTATTCAATGAAATATTTATTGAGAGTAAACAAAAAGACGTAGGTACAAAACACCAAGTACCCCGATATAAGACACGCATTCTGAGAAGTCATCTAATATCGTACGACAATGATATCGTTATCATTTTGCAAAACACAACTAAGGAAATAGCCGTAAACACGTCTTGAGCCTTAGACTCATGATTCAGAGAGGAACAGTGGATGTGGTAGAACATCAACGTCTCCGTCGCGTCGTCAAAAAAAAAACAGTCTTCTTCGCCTGCATTAGCACATAATATATTCAAATAGTTCTGCCTGTTCAGTTACTTGCATGTTTCCATAGCGTTTTCAGTGGGAACGAGGTTAATCTGCCGCGCGTAGGTACTACTAGTGCGCGTCATTAGGCTTCACAACGTTATGCTGTAACACGTCGCGTATGATACAGTACTAATTACTACTTCACATTATCTATTGCTTGACAAATACTACATAAATGTATCACAAGTGGCAACATAGTTTGAACCTCCTGCTATACTTCTTAAACGTTATTTCTTCAACTGTGTAATGTAAGACGGGAGGCAGGTAATTATTAGAATGGTTACATTATGAGCGAGCTAGTGACAATGGTGCGACTGAAAGTGTCATCTCGTTACATTAGCTGTAACTGTAACGTGCGTGGTGGGGTGTCCATTGTCTGCGCTGTGGCTGTACTGGAACTATTAGTGTTATCTAACGTACGGCAGGCGGGCGTCTTTGACGTGCTTGACGCTTCTGGACAAGTTGCAGAAGGCTCGCGCGTTGTGCAACATGTTAGGCTCGCTATGGACTTTGTATGGCAGGCTGCTACCCTCCACTGTACGTCAACTAACATTATTGTTGCTACATGTTGAGCAGACGGCGCTAGTAGCCGCAGCACCAACACAAATGTTTGAATGACGGACGACAGTAAGCATTAAGTTTTTGCCGGCGCGCACGTGGCGTGTCGTGACTTCCCTGTCGTGCATACATTAGCGTTGTTAGTGTTGTTACGGAATGAATTATTGGCCGTGCTTAGATACCGACTCGCGGCGCTCGATACTCTCCGGAGGAACGAATTTGAAGGATAGCGGCGGGCAATGTGGATATGAAAGGTGGTTTTTACGTTTTATATAAACAACAACATCGCGGTCGCGGCTATCTGTGGCTGGCGTGCACCAATGGTAACTCTTTGTACCAGAATAGACAAATTGATGTGACCTTACCTGTAGTCTTCATCTTCACTGCTCTCGTATGTGTCATATATCGAATACCTCATCTCATACGGACCAGCTTGGGCACGGACAGAATACATTGGATCGATCTGTACAACTTATTTATTTAGTACGTTCTGTAGGAACGTGTTCAGCTTGTGAAGGTTAGCGACATAATAGGTGGCCGGGAGCAGGCGCGTCATCCGCGAGCCTGCACCCACTCACCGGGTACTCTGATACATTTGGTGACGACGGCTCATTACTCCAGTAATTGCCACAATTTACATGTAGTTCGTACACCAACTAGTCTTTCATCGTTCTACGAAAGAGACTATATCGTTTTTTTTAAACCATGTATTAGAATAGAAGCAGTAACAACAACAATAGCGCGTACATCACAGTACAAGTAAAAACATCAAAAATATTGAGCACCGTCGAGACATACATTGGAAAGAAAATGGTATATTATAGTGTGTACTTGTATAAAATAATTGAAGATTCATTATATTACAGAAAGCTCCGCCAGCTTCGTGAAAATCGATTGGCGAGCGACGTATGTTCTTCCTAGAAATCAATAGATATTTTTCATTTATTTTTGTATTTAGATATATTTGTAGATATGCGGGTTGGCGGAGCGCCCAGAATCTTCCAAAATTGATGTTTTTATTGCACTGAATATTTTAGCTTTTCGTCTAAACTGTAACCGGCGGAGGACAAAGGCGGGTCAACGTTCCTCGTTTCATTGGATGAGTAAACCAATTTAGTACAAGTTGTTCAGTTTGCATCCTCACCTCTACAGAGTTCATAATTCGCGCGGTATACATTGCGCGGCTAATCAATACCCGAGTCTAGACGAGTTCATTCAATGGCACGAGCAAGCAACGAACCTAGTCGGCTAGCCGTGTGTTATTCCTCTAGGTATTGAGACACTCAATTCAACATCGGATGCTCTTAAGTAAAGAAATGTGTGTCTGTAGACTATAGGGTCGACGCGGGGGCGACGATGACGACGGATGGCACAATGGCTTCGGTAAAGTGGCTGAAATAATTATATACTAATCGCTGGTGGTAGTTATAGTAGTAGTAATGGTAGCAGTAGTGAATAAAAATATGCATTAGAAATACACGAGTAAACAATAACAAAGAGTACATCGATTACGCTGTTACAGCTGGTAAATGTTTTACAATAGGTTGTAGTATATTGTTTATCCAGTTGCCTGCCTACACCGTGATATGGTGTGTGTACGTGAAGCGGTGGCGTGGGTACTGACCGTATCCTGTTGGTCTTGCGGTGTGCGGTCTCGACGGTGACGAGGAAGACGGCGTGGCTGCGCGAGGAGTGCTCGTTCATGTCGGTGCGGCCGGCCGCGCGGTTGCGGTTGCCGGCGCGCATCACGCGCACCATCTCCGCCGCGCTCTTGCACACCACCGACGTCATCTCCGGGATGTAGAACCCGTTCAGCTCCTGCCACAATACCAGCTCTCAACTACTGCCACCAAAGCTCTCATAAAACAAACTGGACGTGTTTACACTACGGCATTACGCCGCCTAACACTTGTGTAAACTTGTTTATCACAATGGGGAAATGATTCAGGTTTCCTGAAATCTGCATTAGGTTCGTGAATCATGGCAGGCAAAAGTGAATGTCAAGCCTAAGCAGGCACAAGTGCGACATGTTAGTGGTCGCACAAAGAAAGAGAAACGTTCTCCGAGCACAGCTCTTGCCGTGGTCATGAAAAGACCAACATAGACCGGTCAACTTGTTTCCTTCAGTAGGCATAAAGAAGCAAATCGGTTTTATCGACGCACTCGCGGCTTTACGACTGATATTTTATGAGATAAGTATGGGGATTACATTGTACCTATATGCCAGAATATAAAGTGGCAGTTTTCGAATGCAACTTGGAGAGTGGCATTGATCTCAGTGCACACGAGTGACATTGGGGATCGAGTAAATAACTTATTGGTTGACGTAATGACGTCGTAAACAATACAGCACATCGTGGTCGCGTACCTATTGTTTAATGAGGTGTGTTACGTAGAGTAATCGTTTGCGCAATGTAGTGCAGAAAGCAGACATTTTTGGACGCATCCGAGTGACGCATACCAAGGTTGTGAGCTATCGCATTGCTCTTATACACACGAGTGCGTACGTGTATGTGTGTGTGATTATGATATTACTACATAGAGTATAGCGCATTAGCAGCGATGACTCAACAAGTTTCAAAATAAAATTATAGTAATGCACACAATGCATGTAAATAAACTGAGTCCAGTTTAGCACTATGTACAGCGGCCGCAACATTTTGCTAATTTGTGGGTTTGTTGATCTTAATACCTACTTTCGTTTTCGCCACACGCGTCGCCTCGGGTAATTAGTGTGCGGATTGTACCGCACGTGCTACGCCGTGGGGTGCGACGCGACGTCGCGACACAAGTCGCTTGTACCAGAGAGCAGCACCGCTCGCTGTCATGCCCGCCTGCTGCCTCCGGTACACAGGGAGGTGTAACCAACTACTCTACGTTCTGATATTGTCGTAGTTATTTACATTCTCAATTCTATCAAATTCAACTTAGTCGCCAATTTTTACACTAGCTATTGTATAAGCAGTTCCACTTGACAGACTATGAGTCATCACAGGACAGGAAAGTATTATTGTATACCCCATTCCAAGTGCACATTGTTTTTACTTTCGCCTCGTACGATCTAAGCTCGTAAAGTCATAACTCTTCATAGAAATACTTAAATAGACTAATGACTGTCCCCATATTGTCAAACTGGACAATATATGTCATAACTCAACGTTTTTTAAATACTTTACAGGGGACTGGGGAAGTGATTTCCTCAATAACAGAAAAAAGATTAAGTACTTAGGTACCTAACTTCAATAACTTTATGAATCGCATTGAATCGCGTGTATTTACGCACCGACACAGTGGCAAAATCAGTTAGTTTCCTTAATACATCTTCAACCTTTTTTTTTTGGAATAAGATATACTTAAAATGTGTGCATAGTATATATTTTACTACATATGAGCAAAGCTCCATAGTTTCTCAGTCACCGCGTAGGATCAGCACTCGCTGCCTTGACCCGTTGGGTGAGCTCGGTACTTCAGCTCGCGCGGAGTACGCGATGGTCAAGGTATCGCGACATATGATGGCAAATGGTCGCGACCCGCTTACATCATGTGATTAGTGGCCAGTGTGGCGGAGTTGCACGCATACACAATGTTACACATGTCCTGGCGCTTCTATTACACTGGGCCATTACTATTACACGAGATCAGATTTTATTTATTTATACTTTTTGCACAATGTACAATAGCGGACTTCTCTACCAGTCTATCTTTGGTTGGTGGAGAAATTGAAGCGATTTCCATCTTAGAATGGACAGCCACTGGGTTCCTCCCACTTTCTCGTAGTTCTTATATAGTTTCAGGAAATTATAATATTCAATGAAGTATAATGGCAGTCGTTGCGCAATGACGGCTAGTGACACAGCGTGGCAAGCTACACAAATATGTCGTTACAACTGTTTTGTTTTTGATTATATTTTTGAGTGGTTTGGACACGTGATGTGACAGAAAGATGACAAAACCATGTTGAAAAAGACATATAGAAATTAACTTCTTAGGTTTTCAAATAAAGCTTACAAGAAAATAGATGTGCACAATACGCGTTACAATAGCTCATTGTATGATTATAAAACATGTGTAAATATTTCGGTTCACAGTGAGGATTTATAGAGTGAGGATACGGTCGTGGAGAGCGCGAGCAATGAGCTCATAGCTATTTCTATTGGAAACATTTGCCAAATTAAAAGTTTTAGTAGCTTTTATACTTTGAGTGACGTATGAGCGTAAGATTCGTGATAAAATATTATCGTTTTGGCGCGCTGCCAAGTGCAACGGAGCTCATTACTTTGAAGAATGAAAGGAAGCGACGACCATAGTGAGGCAGTGACGGACGAGCTCGTGACGTCACAGTATCGCACGTATTGAACTGACTCCATTGATAACACGTTGCTTTCTGGAAATGGTTTCATTCCACTCGAAACACAAATGCAGGAGATGGAAGTTACCTGTCCCCTAATGGTCAGCTTCTTGCAGTCCTTGGACAGCAGGTCTCTGACGTCCTCGAGGTAGAGCTCGATGTAGGAGCAGGAGACGAGATGCGTGACGTCGGGCGAGGCGCTGTTCTCGATGTGTGCCCAGATGTGGCGGAAGGCACGCGGGATGATGCCCTCGTGGTCGGGCGTGCCTTCCATCGTGTGCGTCTTGCCCGTGCCGGTCTGCCCGTACGCGAACACGCAGCCATTGAACCCGTCCAGCACGGACGCCACCAGCGGCCGAACCTGCAACAACGATACTATGTCACTCATGTCAATACCATGCGCACATAAAGTTGTCTCATTATATACTAGCTACTCTCGCGCGATTTCAACCGCAACTCGTGATGTTTCATAGCCTATAATAATAGCACTCAGGAACATTGTATAGCTATCTATCAGTGAAAGAATTTTGGAAATCCGACCAGCGGTTCCAATGATTACGCCCCTACATACAAACTTACAAATTTTACCTCTTTATAATATTAGTATAGATATAGATTAAAGGCTCAGAATTGCAAAAACACAAACATTGTTTAACGGTGATGACGGCGACAGGACGGATAGCACCCGTATTATTCCGTTAGTGTCGTAACCGGCGACGAAGGGGCGGCACATTATACGGAGACAGTGCATTAGCGTTCTCTTATGGAGAGTATATTGTAAAGTGGAACATTTTAAACTGCGATCTTCCCTCTTTTGTAGATGAGCTTGATGGCCAGTATAATTTCATACATATGAACAAAAAGTTGCAACGTATGTTCATACTTACGTATGCTATTCATTAAAACTTGAGCGCTATGAATCTTGTCATGGAGTCGCTCAGTTCTACTTGGCAACAATACACAAATAATACATCAGAGGTCAGTCAACATCGATATTTCGCCGAACTATAATCGTCTTAAGTAATAACGTTTTGTACAAAATATGTACCTATTGTCATTTTATTAATGTAGGTGTTTACTTAGGTATGTATTGTGGTTGTTTAGGACTTGTTAGGTAAGTAGTGTTAGTGGTGACTTGTCAGCTTCAGGCCATCGGTGCCATCAGTTTCGTCATCGACTAGCCGCCCGTAGAGGTTAACAAATAGACTAGCCTGAACGGCCTATGTCAGGAGGAGGGTCGGCCTTCCCTACCTTTGTTGTGTTATGTTGTATTACTACGGAACCATACCGTAGCTGCCAACCATTGCCAAACATTATGCATGTATGAGGCCTCTTTACCTTGCGCTGCTGCGCTCAGAGCACGCGTCATTTCTTCATAATGCGTTGTCGATGTCGACAGTTTTCAGGACATTTTTAAGTTACATTTGTTGTCATCCGTCGAATCGTGTTATCTTAATAGAATCACTTGTTTCCGATATAACCCTGCACAATACATGACGCAGTTGCTCGCCGCGCGCCGATTCATATCGTTGCAATCGTTTCCACAATGCACTTTGTTTATCTGTAGTTTAGTATTAAATGAGTTTCGGTCTAGCTAGACGGTAAACAATCAAGTCGTCTAACTTATACCAAGTGTTAGTTCAGTAAGGCGTTATTTATATTTCAGTATCTCATTATTCTGGCAGTACAAAGAGGTCATAGATTTGATTTTAGCATGGAGAATATGTGGCAAAGATATGACATCACAGTACACAACGTGATTATATCGCCGCGGCGAGGTTGCCCCTACCAGCTGTTACCGCCACCTACGCGCCGTGCTTGAATCACAGCATTTTGATGAAAACATGGTAACATTGAAGGGACCTTCGGTGCTGTCAATGCCAGCTATTGAAAGTGGCACAGCTCTGCACGTAGGAGGCTCGCGGTAGCTACGAGATGCCACCTTCCGCCCTCCCGCACTGGCGGACCTACTTCCGCACACGCTGCCATTCATGTTGCGATTGCGAAACTAATATTTACTGTAAAAGGGGCTTGAAGGTACTGCTATTTATAAATAGTATCACTATTACTCGCAGACGCAGGCGATTGAGATCAGACTCGCGATAAGTGCAATACAGACGTGAATTTTAGCAACATTTTAATAATTAGCTGGACGTAACTACCTAGCCATTAATGTAAACACATTAACATGAGCCGCTGAAGTACTCTACCAAATAATGACGTAATTAGCATTTCAGGCGACCCTCCGTGATGTACTAACGTTATAATATCCTCACTAGCAGGATCGCGGGTAACATTTAGGGCCTAGCAACACATGGGTAATGGGACGGTCGCGTTACCTGGACAACGGCAACTCTCAACAACAAATTGCCTGCCGTCGAGGGCATGGTTAGCATTATGGACAGAAGTGCAACATCAACTGTATGAAACTTGAGCATAAGTATTATAAACTGCTACAAAACTGGGAAAGGTTTATAGCATTAGTCAGGCTGATTGGTGCCTGAAGGTTTTTTATGTACAATGAGGTTTTTGTGTGAATGGGCATAACGAAGTGAAGGCCACGCAGTAGTATGTATGTACTATCTCTGCCCACGTTGTTATTGTTGCTACTTATAGTCACCTAATAATTATGTGTTTACTTTAAAAGTTTAAATGTTACACTACTATGTACTATACTGTTGTGAATGAAATTCACGTATCGAACTAATGACACTCAGCGTCCGTTACACAAACGAGTGGTAAAGTTTGTGCATTTAAAATCAACAGGATTATGTAATACTATTTTGTAAGTTTCAACATCTATGTATGTGTATTATGTATTTTTTTACTAGCAGCAGTTTAAGAACTTAAAAGGAGATAAATGGTATGCCGATGTTACTGTTAGCTAACGAAAGTTTAGAAAGAATAGTCGATCTTTTTGGCTCCTGGGAGCAATATTTGTGTCTATAGCAACGAGGGTACATAGAGCGGCAGTAAGTATTGTCGGCGCGGTGTCGACGTCACAGCGCGGGGGAATGCGCCGCGCGCGGACGTACACACGGATTTCTCCTGATATTCATGCGTTTACGATATATTATACAACGCTCCGCTGAAACTGACACACTTCCACTATTAACCACATCTTTTTTGCACTTAAGTCTAATACAACGTTCTATGTTTACCAACTGAAAACTAAAATATCTGGTCCTATATTTGATTCTTTCAGAATTTTATACAAACTTGAGGCCAAGGCACAATACTGGATCCCGCTTCTACTGCTAGTGAATTATGATAAAAATAGTTTGTGTAACTCACCATTTCGTCGTACATGGTCTGTGTGTCGGCCGTGCAGTCGTAGGCGGCGTCGTAAGTGAACATCTTGTCCTGCCCCTTGGGGCTGTACACCTGCACGGCGCCGCGCTCCGGCCATACCTTCACCACCTGGTACCACACATACAAGTCACTTTATGCCTTACAATAATCAACAACTATAACAAACTTACTTGATTTGTTCTACCAAATTATTGCAAAGTATTATGTTATCCTAGCAGTTAGTAAAATGTTAAACGTAGTTTAAGTTTTCATATTAGGCCCCGATACACAATAATAGTCATACATATGTGTCATGGACATATGTTAGCTTTCGAATTTATGTCACCTTGTCAACTCAAAGGACGTGAACTTCCACGTGCTACACAGTAGTGGAGTATGCGGGAACATCAGTAATGTATGAACCATGGGACGCCTACACCTTCGTCAACTTTGAAGAAACATTTACCTTGTTTGATTTTCTCTTCTACTTATGTTTGTATGAATCCTATCCACATCCACTGCTATACTGTTATAATTAGTCTGTTAGTGACAACAACAGAATGTTGTATAGTATATCTACGATATAATTTGCTCGTTAATTTTAATCACTAAGATCTATTGTAATGTGTAACAAGCGTCCACCACCACTAGTTTTGCTATTACTTTCAGAAACTTCTAAAGTAACAATCCACATTGTGAGTCAACGTTAGGACTATGATACTACTGTAATTTGGCCGTGCTGCTCATCTCTACCTCACCAACAGCTGTCATAGATTGCATTGTCTATGAAATTACTGTTGAAGTGTTGAGTAGCGCAGCCGACCGTGCGTATTTGACCAGCAACTGTCGAATACCGTACATTAGTGTATATTTCCGGCGCGTGTTATATGAAAGCAACGACGTATTGATTTGTAGAGACACGTTACTCGTTTCCTTGAACAAATGAATAAGTGAGCACCGATACCGCCTGAACCACCACCGTGTTGTTATTGACAACGACTTTTAATATTCAACCACCTCAGTAATCCTTCAAATAGCTTTATCTCCAGGGAACCACTGCAACCACCTGTCTTTGTGTTAGTTAGATCTCCATTAAAACAATCAACAAACTAATTCTTGATAATCGAGAACCTCGTCCAAATAGTTGACGTAGTTATTGCCAATATCAAAATTGGAGGAAATTCGTACAAGGTAAGTACAGACGAGCGACTAGTGCCGGTAGCTGGGAGTTGATTACACCGTGTTAGTGCGGTAGTGGGCCGCTGCCAGCATGAGTTAGTGCCCGGGTCACCACCAGCCCTATGCCCTATAGCCACAGTCCACACCTGTAAACGGGCATCACATGATTTATTGTCCACCGGAGTCTTAGTGGACAGCCGCTCGTACCAAGTCTGCTCTGTGCGTTTCTTCTTCACCTAAACACAATTAAACAAAACATGTAAAAACCTAATTTCTCAAAATTTTATTAGCATATAGCATAGGTACCTAGGTGTTTTTATACCTAGGTGTCAAATAAAGTAGACCTACCTATATCAGTTTCAGGTTTTGTAATAGGTACCTAAATACTAATAGTGCATACCACAGACGACAGTGAAAAACATTTTCGTGTCTAATTATACCTAAAAGTAGTAGTTACGCAACATTTCTGACCAATGATCACTAATCTCTTCCAAGGTCGATGCTCGATTTCAAAGCTGTTAAATATTTGCGAGCAAATTGTAGACAACAACAAGCAACAGAAACCGCTAACCGCTGCTTAGGTTTCACCGCAACAAAAACTCGAGTTGGCATCTCGGCGTCGAGTACACTATTCAGAAAAAGAGGACTGTTCCAAAAAATACAGGCAGTCACTTAACAATCATTTCAGTTCAATACAGATACCTGCGTGCTACGTGATACCTACACTGCTACACAATATTCTACAGGATTTTAAATTGATGGAAGGTTTTTTAACAGAGTTCTACGTGAAGTAGCGAGAGCAATAACTAATATTATTTATCTTTCGAAGTGTGGATCAAAGTTGAGTACAGATATAAAGCGAGCTGCGTTGTCGCAGAAGGTCGGCGCGCGTACCAGATGAGCTGCGCCTAATATGGCACAGCCGCGTATGGACATTACTGCATCACTGCTCACCTACTTATGATTCTAACAACACTTGTTTGTACCTTCATACTAACTTTTAACAAATCCAAATGTTATTTAAATGTTCGTCTAACTTGAAACCGAGGATATCTTCATTAAATGTATCACTAAAGTGCACTTTTTAAACTAATGATAGCTTGGGTGTTTCGACGTGCGGCAAAGTGCGAGTATCCCGGACTCTCAGCACAGCAAAAGTATCCCATCAAGAATCAAGAGGGATACCTTTGTAGAATTTTATTGACTAAAAAGCACCACTTTCCTTCTGTTCCGAGCCGGCGTCACGGTACCCTACTTTACTTGCACCTGCAATTCCACATTTGTGGTGGGCTAACTCCAGCCGGGCTCGCCGTTAAGACATGGACATGGCACGCCAAGACCCGCTTATGAAGGCAGCATTACCTGCTTAGAGTTGATTATGGCAGTTGTAGATGTAGAATGTATGTACCGAGTGCGCTAGGCAATAGAAGGTATCGCCACACAAGATGTTTAAGGTGGATCAGTGTGTAAGGCATTTGTAAACACTAGCAACACGGAGTATATTACCATCGCAAATGTCGTGTTAGTTTTAAATTAACGATGCAGGACTGCGCTCGCGGAACTAGCCACGCAGCTTTGTCTCAAAGACTCGTCAGTTAGCGCCAGGATCACGTTTATGTAATTAAACCTACTTAGTAGAACCTGTCCACGATTGGCGAAGCATAATTATGACTCTTGTGTTTACGGTCGCTCATCTCTGCAGATGTAAAGAGTGTCTCTCTTTACATGCACATTATAAGTAGCAAGGCTTAGGTATGACATGTACATTTATTATTTAAACTTTATAATGAAATAGGTCCTCGTCGCACACATTCAAAAGTATACTGGTTTTCATATCAATGACACTTTCATTCACTACTATTCTAGCTACAGCTAACAATTATAACTAAATTCAAAAACTAACATCTTTGAATTAATTTGTCCTATATTATGAACCTACAAATCACAAATTGTGTAAGTATCAGGCAATCTGAATTCTTTATTTAATTAAAGCACATTATTTATTTATTGTATATCAATTTAAGTCATTAAACATTTTAAGTCTTTTTATACCAAAAATGTTAATGGTTATAAAAAATTAAGTGCTTTTGTTAATTATTATTTTTGTGTAAGTAAAATATTGGATAAAGATATTCTTAGTTACCAAAACAAGACTATATTGTATTGGTTTAGCCTTGCTTAAAACTGAAGAATATATTGTACCACATGCAGCCTTATAATCCAGCAGACCAAGGGTGAATTTCAGACAACAAAACCATTTCTAAACTCATATTTGTATGCCCAAGGTAAATAAATGCTTTCTGACAATGTAAATACAATCACATAGTTTACAAACAACACTCATTATCTTGAGAACATGATTCACACTGCAACAGAAGCCATGAATCAGAGCCCGACCCCTGATACTCGTCAGGCACAAGACAAGTAAAACAAACCTAACAGCTTCTGCTGCAGTCTTTTAATTATGCTATTAAAAATTGGTCCAAATAGTTTCCACAAAAAATTATGTTACAGAAAAATTTATTTACTACAAGAAAAATAGATTAGGTACCTATTATTAAAAAAATTGTTGGCACAAAATCTAATTTCATTGAAGACTACCCTTTTAGATTCAATACATAATTATGTTAAATTATAGTATTCTCTTTCTAGAAATTATTTAGAATACAAATTCAAAAAATATAATTAAGAGCCAATGAGAGATTTGGTAAACCAATAAACTATTGAATTATAATCGTAATTATTATTATTGTGTGTATAGCAATAAGATGTGTTTTAGGAGGTAGACACACAAAGGTTCAAGCCATGGTTTCCCCAACTCAAATTAAAATCATAACTAAACTTGTGAATCTAGCCGAGTTTTTCCATGAGAGCATTCTTCTTACAACAATAGACACAGCACGACTAATCATAACATACGAAAATACCTTTCATGTAAGTATCAGAGAGCCTGAGGATTCTCTCTTGTTTCTCCAAGTAGTAAATAAAAATATTTAAGCATATTTTGAAGGCAGGATAGCTGACGCAGCTCCACTGCGCAGCCTGATGCTCAACATAAACAAATTTAACCAGGGACTCACCTCCTCGTAGCCCTCATTTTTCTCCTTCTCCGAGAGCGGTCGACATCGAACCACCACCTTCACACACTCATTGAGAGCTGTCCGCGGCCGAGCGGACTTCTCCATGTTATCTACCCTTTTCTTGACGTATTTTTCGCCCTAACCCAAAGTCACCGATATCGATCCATTCGGAGTGCCCTTATCGACATCACCTGTTCGAGTAAATTCGTATAAGAAGAAACCTGTACTGTCGATACACAAATGCACAATATTTAAAACTAGAACAACACGGCTTAAGGTTTAGGTACCAAACAAAATAAATATAACTCGTAAATTTATTATATCAAGATGTCTCGTAGCCGACCGCAGCTGGCGGACATTACTTTTCAACTGATTTCATTTAATTTGACTTCAGTTTCCCGCTGCTGTGCGCATGTCAGAATCGTGTGACGTAATGAAATTTCATTTACACAAATTCAACTTTAAGAAAATGTTATGATAATGTATTTTGTATTAAATTGTATGGACATAAGGTTGAAAATTATAAGTAGCTTTCCGATCAAAAAGAAATACAGCAATGGCGATTCGAATACCTATCACCAACCATCACTTTAAGGTCCAATCAACACAATATATGTTTAGATATTTTACCAACAGAATTGGGGTAATTTGAATGTGTGGCCAATCCACTGAGATAAGAAAGTAATACGGACCAATCGCTATCAAGTAGAATTACGTTTAGATTATCGTTGTAATGATTTGCTTAGAAAAAAAAACACCTGAATAAAAATATGTTTTACCTATAAAGTATAAGTTATTTTACTAAAATAAGGAATTTCTGAACACCAAAGATGTTTATATAACATTTACTTGGTCAACGTTCTGATAATGACACACATGAACACATAAACAAAAAAAAATGGAACACATTTTGCATAAATAAAACGTATCGCTTGACTTGACGTAAACAAACATTGACAATGTCATTCGTCAAATTTTCTCGATCGAGCCTGCCTATCCTGTAACTTATTAATTATTATTTATTAATTTAATAGTCAAGAACACAGATCATTTATTAAGTCAGTGCATTTAGTAAAGGAGGACGTATAAAAAATAGTAAGATGTCAACAGTTTCAGTAGCAATCATTTTAAAAAGAGCAAGTAAAGTTTATCATGAGGGTGTAAGTATCCATTCACAAACTTTTATTTCAGAAATAATTTAGCAAAAACTCTTTTCTACTAAGTCAACTCGTCATCCATTTGTTTTTTTTTTAATATAAAACATTGGTATCTATAAGTAGTGGGTATTTTTATTGTCTGTTTTACCTAATTTTTTTATGGGCAAAGTCAGAGCCGACCCATTCGTGCCGAAGCTTGGTTCTCCCACACTTATAAACAACTGGTGTAACGGTTTTAGGAGACTATAGCTGGAGTGGTGGTTGTGGAGAGTAACAGTGATGTAAGACATGAAGGTTTGTCACTCACTATGGAAGGATCTGTCAATCTACAGCTCAGTTCCAAAAATGTGGGCATATTTGAGGCATTCTCTAATTCTATAAAGGTACAGTATCATTCATTGCTTTATAATGTAAATTTTGGTAAAACATTGACTCTAAAGTCAGTACTAGACATGTGCTTATTGAAGTAGTCACTTCTTTATAGACTGGTACATGCAGATGACAATTGTTGTACACATGACATATAATGAAAATATTTTGTAACTCCATTGCACCATCACCATTACAACACAACACCCATCTAGTGTTCACTTTTTATTTTCTCTCTGTTTGTATTTTCATAATACTTACTGTCTTTTTACATTAAAAAGGTTGTATTAAATACTAGTAAGTATCATTTTTCATTAACATCTTTTAAAATGAAAAAGCAGAAATAAAAATCTGCCTTTTCTTACTCCAAATAAATGGTTTATCTAACTATGTTATATTACTTATTTTCTGTATACATTTTGCTTAACATTCCTACCACTTCTTTTTAACAGATTTTATTTTTCCCACAAGTGTAAAGGTTACTTCAAATAATTATTCATTCTAGCCTATAAACCTTATCAATACAAGCATAGAGCTAGTGCCACCTGGCAAGATCCCTGTGGGAGTGACAGAGATTCCATTTGAGCTGCCACTGCGAGCACGGCAAGCAGTGTCGCCCGGCTACCCTGGCTTATTGGAAACCTATCATGGAGTCTTTGTGAATATTATGTACACACTCAAATGCAATATGAAGAGATCATTCCTAAACAAACCAGTGAATGCAAGCTGCCAGTTTTTTGTGCAATACAGACAGGTAATAAAATGTAATCAAAAAAAATTGTCATGATATCTTCTGAAGAAGTGTTTGCAATAATAGTATGAAAAAAATTGAGATAAATGTTAGCATGTATTCCTGTGGCAGCAAGAGCCGGCGCCCATGAAGCCGGTGCGATGCGAGATCACTCCGGCCAGTATCCGCGCCGCTGGCGGCGGGACCCGCCCTATGCCGCACTTCCAGGTCTACGCCGAGATAAACTCCACTGTCTGCGCGCTGGACAGCCCACTCACTGGCAAGGTGACCAGCCTCCCCCCACCCGTCTGCTGAGTGCTGCAGCATTTAGTCGTTATTCAGTGGTCCCCCGCTTTGCAGATCCGAGTGGACGAGTGCTCGGTGCCGATCCGGTCCATTGAGTTGCAGCTGGTGCGCGTCGAAACCTGCGGCTGTGCCGAGGGATACTCTAAAGATGGTCTGTATGTCTGTCGTCGAATAGCGGGCATCGCTTGTTTATTTATGGCTTTATCATTTTTTTACTTTTATCTTCTTATTCTGTGACGATTATATTATATATAGTTGTTGTTTGCGAATAATTTAATTTGTGGCGCAGCAACGGAGATTCAGAACATCCAGATAGGCGAGGGCGACGTGTGTCGCGCGCGCGACATCCCGCTGTACATGGTGCTGCCGCGACTCTTCACGTGCCCCACCACCACCACGCCGCACTTCAAGATAGGTGCGTACTACCCACTCTCGTCCGTCGTTAAATTAACACTTCGTTACTCAGCTATTACAGACATTTTTTTTTCAGAATTCGAACTGAATATTGCTGTTATATTTGATGACGATTATTTGGTAACTGAAAATTTTCCAATATTGTTATTGAGGAGTAAATAGCAAGAACAACTTAACTATGACGGCAGTTAGCAGCAGACACACGACCCATAGCTGGCTGCAACAGCAAACAGCGCAAGTGTACATCGTTGTTGCTAGAGCTCCGGCAGCATCTCTAGTCAAATAAAGTTTTGCATCATAAATATGATACAAACATGCTATGTACATATAATTATACAAATCGATGCAGAAAAGCGAATTTGGCTCTGAGGTACCTATATTGTCGTCTGGCGTTTATATTGGGTTACGCGGGCGACGCTGCTACTAGAAGCTAAGATGGTTTCCACGTAAGATAGCGGGAGCACTGCGCGTAACAACGGCGGCGCGCGTTGTGGGTACCGGTATCTTGGCAGTCAGTTGATGTGGGTCGAAAGGTCCGTGAATTAGAACTTTGGATTATAGGTACACAAGTTTTGTAGTTGTATATATGTAATTAACAATAAATTATTATATTACGAAAGATGAGTTGGTACTATAATATTTATTGAGAAATTGTAATAGCACGGTAAATTATATTATTACCGTGGTATTAGGTACCAGTCAAAACATCATTACGAAATGGGACTTGTATATTTTGTGATTATGAAGATATGCAATAAATATTTTATGTTAATTGTTATGTACCTACCTTTTTATTTTATATAAAAATAACACCCAGTCTGATACTGAGACGAAATCCTCCCCCTCCTCCAATCCTTAAATTTCCAAATCCGCCGGCAACACACTCGTTACTGTGGTGTAGTGGGTGTCAAAGGGCGGCACCGATTGCTGAATATCAGGTAATCAAACTGCTAGTTTGCGGATCCATAACATAAAAATAACTTAGGTTTTAGTGACATAAATCTTAAAGTTCCGGAAAATCACGGAAGTTACTCGACTGAGAGACCGTTGGTAACAAATAAAACCATGGCGCGGTATATTCAACACGTTTATTACTTTCTTAATATAATTATAATACTTACATTAAATTGCTAAGATGGTAAACAGGCTTACCTACTAGAAAATAATGTACCTCTTCACATTTTATTAATGATATCGATGATACGCTATTTGACACCATTGAGAACATGTTCAGTACGAATTTGATTATATTTATTGTATTGTTTGCCGACAGATTGAAACGTATTGTGATTGGTTGTTGGTTGTGGTTGTACGCTGCACAACATCCAACAGTAGCTGTTTCGTTTTTACAAATTCAAACAAAATAATATTCTAAAATATTATTTCTACAAAACATACCAACGGATATTAATTTCACAGAAATAATGTATATGAAACAGGTATCTGTATCTGCTTGTTTATTTCATCAAGGACGAGGTACAATTAAAAAAACTTCAATCAGTCAAACAGCTTTTTTACATTGGATATTGTTACTCATTACATACCCAATACATAGAGAATAATATTAAGCCTTAAAGTAAACATACAAACCGCCGACGTATCTTGGCGAGTCTGAAGTTAGCCGATTAGCTGCGCAGTACACAATTTTGTTCCTAAAAGACCCATTGCGCAGACAAACGGCTAACTTCAGACTCGCCAAGATACAGCGGCCGTACTGTACGAAACTGATTAGCATACAGATAACTTATACCTATTGCTATCTTAATATGTACAATGTAATAAACATCCCGTGGTCACTGCCCGCGGGTCCTGATACATACCAACTTGTATGTCTACAACACAACAAGTCACACAAATCTACATATTAGGTATATGCATGCAATATGTGTCCAATGCAATATGAAATTAGACGTATACTGAATTGAGGAGCGGAGTCAAAGCAAAGTACTGTATCCGGAAACTGAACATGGAACCTCCACCTACAAACATGTAGATACCTACTATCTGCACACACACAATCATAATATTGTACATTTCATTGATGACTACAACAATATTATAATTACTTAAAACAGCTGAACAGCAATGTAAATAGTTGAAATTACAAAGGTATTGAGCGAGCAGCGTTAGGGCTCTCCGCGGGCCTCGTCGATGTCGTAGGGCTGCACGTAGTTGCGGCAGAGTCCGTAGAACTGAGCGGGCCGCAAACTGCGCTTCAAGGCCTCGAACCTAAGCGGGAGAATTACATCACAGAAGTACAGCTCAAAGTATTTCTAGATCAAAATTATTTTCTTATATTTACATATTGAAGGCCTCGGAGGACTGCTTCGGATGCCTCCTTGTGGAGTTTTTCAGTCAGCAGATCTCGGGTCAGTCACAAAACATACCACTGGGTCATCGGTCAAGCATACCTTATTACCTACATGGACTTGGTACTGGTGAAAGTAGGTGTAACACATGTTATCTATGTATATCTATATATATAAAAGAAAGTCGTGTTAGTTACACTATTTATAACTCAAGAACGGCTGAACCGATTTGGCTGAAAATTCGTAGGGAGGTTGCTAAGAACTGGGAGATGGACATAGGATAGGATAGAGTAGGTAAGGTAGAATAGAGTAGGTAGAGTAGAGTAGGTAGTGTAGGGTAGGTAGAGTGGAGTAGGTAGAGTAGGGTAGGTAATGTAGGGTACATAGAGTAGGGTAAGTAGTCAAATGGCAGGAGCGACGCCGCGGGTAAGAGCTAGTTAAATATAAACCATTTGGAAATTAATAATAGAGATAATTTGCCATGTGTCTTGAAAATTCAAAGTGGGAGCAAGGCGGTGTAGCGCGCTTGTTGCGAGCGTAGAGAGCGCATGCGTACCTCCAGCCGACGTGCACCATGCAGTTGGCACAGAGCGCCACGGTCCACGTGTAGCCGGGGAACCACGAGTACTCCGCCGACGGCGCGCCGTTGGTCTCCACGTTGCACGCCTCGCTCACCGTCAGGATGTCGTGCATGTACCCGCCTGCGACACGCAATATGCTCGCTTACTATTTCTGTTGCAGAAGCGCGATTTGCCACTTTGACTCATTGCATTTGCGATTCTTAACTTTATCTAATAACTTAAACGTTTTATCTCTCTTCCAACACGTAACAATAGTATGTTCGATGCACTGATGTTGATGCTTTTTGTATATTAATGTTATGATGCTTTGATTTGGTCAAATAGGTACATTTTATAATATAATTTAATTTATATTAATTGCAATTTAAAAATAAAGCTAATTCGCATTGCACTACAACAACAGAATCTGTTTGCTTATTAGGTATATACCTATACTAATTTATTCAGTGCCCGCGTTAGGGCGGGAGGGGCTATGGGGCGATGGCCCAGGTCGACAAATTTACGAGTATTATATAGGTATATTATTTATTTATATAGTATTTAAATACCTATCCAACAAAATATCACACGTTATGGTTGAAATGAAAAAAAAATCACTCACTTCTTTACGTGTAGGGGGTACCCTAACAAAATATTCTTTCCACTTTTTATTTTATCACTTTGTCGGCGTGATTGATATACATAAATATTGGTACCAAATTTTAGCTTTCGAGTGCTAACGGTAACGGTTACGACAGATATGGGGAAACTATAAGGGTTCCTAGTTTACTACGGAACCCCCGAACCCTAAAAAATGAAGTTGAATTAATAGAAGAAGACGGTAGTCGTACCTAAATTAGTATAATTGGAGTGCACTCCCTCACTGGACATGGGGAATATGTGCTCTTTTCGGGCAATCTGCGCCATGCACGAGGAGCAGCACAGCACGCTTTTCTGCAATCAGAGACAATGAGTATAGCAGCGGGCGAGCGATGCACGACTGCAGCAGTACAGCTACTTACTCGGCGGATGAAGTGCACCTCCATGTGGAGGCGCAGGAGCGCGTCGTCCACCGCGAACAGCGCCAGGCGGTCCGCCGCCGACAGCGCCAGGTTGGACGCCACCCAGAACGACAGCGACACCGCGTCCTCCGGCAGCTTGTCCTCTGCACACACACACCGTCAGCGCCGGCCCCGCCCGCCGGCGCCGTGGCGTGGGCCCTACTCACCCAGCATGATGGTGCGGAAGTATTCGTGTATGGCGTGCCGCATAGACTCGTAGTCGAAGATTTCGTACACGAACAGCGGCCAGGGCGTCGCCGCCGCGTCCAGCGCGCGCAGCCGGCGCTGCACCGCCGCGCTGCGGACATGTATCGCTACTACAGTGTCGCCCTAAAGGGTGTACGAGTGTACAGACTGGAGTACCGGGGCATTACGCACAGATGCGTGGACGTGCGCAGCGGGTCCAGCGAGTGCAGGCGCGCGGCGCGCAGCGTGTCGCGCGCGCCCAGCTCCGGCAGCACCACCACCTCCACCGCGCGCATCCTGCACACACACCCACTCACTACACCGCGCCACGCAGCGCTACACAGCGCCACGCAGCGCTACACAGCGCCACGCAGCGCTACAAAGCACCACCACCTCCACCGCGCGCATCCTGCACACACACCCACTCACTACACCGCGCCACGCAGCGCTACACAGCGCCACGCAGCGCTACACAGCGCCACGCAGCGCTACACAGCGCCACGCAGCGCTACAAAGCACCACCACCTCCACCGCGCGCATCCTGCACACACACCCACTCACTACACCGCGCCACGCAGCGCTACACAGCGCCACGCAGCGCTACAAAGCACCACCACCTCCACCGCGCGCATCCTGCACACACACCCACTCACTACACCGCGCCACGCAGCGCTACACAGCGCCACGCAGCGCTACACAGCGCCACGCAGCGCTACACAGCGCCACGCAGCGCTACAAAGCACCACCACCTCCACCGCGCGCATCCTGCACACACACCCACTCACTACACCGCGCCACGCAGCGCTACACAGCGCCACGCAGCGCTACACAGCGCCACGCAGCGCTACACAGCGCCACGCAGCGCTACAAAGCACCACCACCTCCACCGCGCGCATCCTGCACACACACCCACTCACTACACCGCGCCACGCAGCGCTACACAGCGCCACGCAGCGCTACACAGCGCCACGCAGCGCTACACAGCGCCACGCAGCGCTACAAAGCACCACCACCTCCACCGCGCGCATCCTGCACACACACCCACTCACTACACCGCGCCACGCAGCGCTACACAGCGCCACGCAGCGCTACAAAGCACCACCACCTCCACCGCGCGCATCCTGCACACACACCCACTCACTACACCGCGCCACGCAGCGCTACACAGCGCCACGCAGCGCTACACAGCGCCACGCAGCGCTACAAAGCACCACCACCTCCACCGCGCGCATCCTGCACACACACCCACTCACTACACCGCGCCACGCAGCGCTACACAGCGCCACGCAGCGCTACACAGCGCCACGCAGCGCTACACAGCGCCACGCAGCGCTACAAAGCACCACCACCTCCACCGCGCGCATCCTGCACACACACCCACTCACTACACCGCGCCACGCAGCGCTACACAGCGCCACGCAGCGCTACACAGCGCCACGCAGCGCTACAAAGCACCACCACCTCCACCGCGCGCATCCTGCACACACACCCACTCACTACACCGCGCCACGCAGCGCTACACAGCGCCACGCAGCGCTACACAGCGCCACGCAGCGCTACAAAGCACCACCACCTCCACCGCGCGCATCCTGCACACACACCCACTCACTACACCGCGCCACGCAGCGCTACACAGCGCCACGCAGCGCTACACAGCGCCACGCAGCGCTACAAAGCACCACCACCTCCACCGCGCGCATCCTGCACACACACCCACTCACTACACCGCGCCACGCAGCGCTACACAGCGCCACGCAGCGCTACACAGCGCCACGCAGCGCTACAAAGCACCACCACCTCCACGGCGCGCATCCTGTACACACACCCACTCACTACACCGCGCCACGCAGCGCTACACAGCGCCACGCAGCGCTACACAGCGCCACGCAGCGCTACAAAGCACCACCACCTCCACGGCGCGCATCCTGTACACACACCCACTCACTACACCGCGCCACGCAGCGCTACACAGCGCCACGCAGCGCTACACAGCGCCACGCAGCGCTACAAAGCACCACCACCTCCACCGCGCGCATCCTGCACACACACCCACTCACTACACCGCGCCACGCAGCGCTACACAGCGCCACGCAGCGCTACACAGCGCCACGCAGCGCTACAAAGCACCACCACCTCCACGGCGCGCATCCTGTACACACACCCACTCACTACACCGCGCCACGCAGCGCTACACAGCGCTACTCGCCGCCCGACACTCTACTTGCCTGGCGTACGCAGACAACGGGATCGCCGTCTTGGGCACCTTCAGCAGTCGGAAGCGATGGATGGCGCGCGCCTTGAACGTGACGGATGTGGGCTGGTCCTGCGTCTCGTCGATGCCGGCCATCATGACCTCGCACAGCACTCCGTACCCCGACAGCATCACGCCCACCTCGCTGTCGGTCACACTCGTGTCGCCACTACGTAGCTACTCAGCTTTTAAGTAGCAGAATTAAGTACTCTAGTACTAGTTTAGAGGTCAAATTAAACATAAAAAAAAACCTAGATAGACAGAACAGAAGATAGGAAAGAAGAGTGTAAGTTACACTATTCCATTTTTATACTTCTTATAAAAAACTGTATTTCTCTGACAAGCATAACAAACTTTGGTTGGGTGGACAAAGCTTAATGATAACTTTGTTTTTTTTTTTACTTTCTTTAACTATGGCCTAATTATATTTTTGTTTTATGTACTAATATTATAAAGAGGTATTTGTAAGTTTGTATGTAGGGGGGTAATCTTTGGAACCGCTGGTCGGATTTCCAAAATTCTTTAACTGATAAATAGCTACAATATTCCTGAGTGCTATAGGCTATAAAACATCACGCTACGATTAAATGGAGACGAGCAGCTGGTTAAACCGCGCGAGAGTAGCTCGTTTCTAATATAAGTAGTATATAAACACACATGTCAATAATATACTCATAAGGAGTTGGATGGAACAAAACCAAAAAAATCAATTTGCGGTTAAGAAGCATTAATTATTTTCAGCGTTTTTATACTAATATTATAAGGAGGTAAAATTTGTTAGTTTGTAAGTTTGTATATATAGGGGTAATCTTTGGAACCGCTGGCCGGATTTCCAAAATTCTGTTCCTGAGTGCTATAGGCTATAAAACATCACGGTACGATCTGTAGGAGCCGAGCAGCGGGTGAAACCGCGCGAGATTAGCTAGTAATTGATAAAATGTAAGTGTTAATTTGGAGTTACTCAGGACAGAGCAGGCCAAAGAGTTTGTCGCGCTGGATGGCCTGCACCAGCAGCGCGGCGTCGTGCGGGCGCGGCAGCAGCATGGGCACGGTCTCGCCGGGGAACAGCACGCCGTGGTGCGCCAGCGCGGGGACGCGCCCCACCCAGCCCGCCTCCACCACGCTGCGCCCCCGCACGCACGCCAGGCCCGCGCCCAGGTACTGCAAAATGTTTCCTTTCTGAAGCCTTAGCATATCCTAATAAATTGCAGTACAACTGAACATTTGCTAAAGACTAGATAAGTTTGCTTTGTTTTGATTAGCAGATTTTACGATGGTTAGTCCTAATCTCCAAGTGTAGTTATAATTAGGTAATTACCAATGAAAAATATCATACATTTTGAAAAAAATACTGAATATCTGCAGTGGCTAATCAAGAAATATTAGATTATAAAAATCACAAACTGAATGTGAAGCTGCTATAGAAATATCGTAGAAATGTTCTTCCTCGGAGTCCGCCTCCGAGCGATTGCGTTCCTCGTTATCAAGTTCATCATTGGCTTCGTGCCCCAGGTGTACGATGCCGCTGCCATCCGTACTGCCGTCGTCGTGCTCGGCATCTCGAATCGCAATCTGTTCATCTTCGAATGTGATATCACTGCCGTCGCTCTCTGAAATTCACAAGAACATCTGCTGATATCTATTCATATGCAAATTAAAATGTTTTGTATTCTTGATTGAAACATATCAATCCTGAGATAAAGGGATTTTACATACCGTTGCCGTCCATTATGTTTAAAAACAATCTTTCAGTGAAGTGATATTGCTATTTTAAGAAATATGTTTAGTAGAAAAACAATTTTACTATATTTCTCCACTTTATTATTATTTATTTATATATAAATATAACACACACATCCTTGTTGGTTTGTTGAAATTGTCATTTTGATGTTTTTGTTTTTGTCATATGTCAAGCAAGCGAGAGACGTCACTAGACTCTGCGTACGTCTGTGGTCAAACTAGACGCAAAATGTGTGAAGTCCAAACAAAAACGAGTCCAGTCCGCCAGGAGTCAGCAGAAGTTATTTCTTCGTTTCGCCATTACTAATTTACTTACTTATTCTAACAAAATAAGGTTTTTAAAATATGACATGAATCGGATTCGGTTGTTGACGTATACGTACGATTACTTTAGATTTTTCATGTTCAAGACAGCAGAAAACAAAGTAACAAAATTTGTAAATACCTAACTGAATATCTTTGAATGATTTTTTTGTTGTTGTTAGTACTGAGGACTAGCAAAACAATAGTTCAAAAATTTACGTAGGGGTAAAAATTTATATATTTGAACGCATACGTGCACGTTTTGTTATAGGTTTGCAATATGTAATTTTTATGTAATCTGTTGACTTTTGACATTCACAAAATCGCGATCGCACGTCTCGTGAGTTAAAGTAGACTGTTATTGTAAAGTATCGAATTGTGTGTAAGAAATGTGAATAAACAGTGCATATTGCATAGTTGCAATAAATAAGAGCATCAAAATGTATCGTAAAATAGTGTGGTGTTATATATTTGTATTGACATTATTGGAATTATCACTGAACACTAAGCTGACAGCTCAGGGAAAGAGCCATGGTAAAATCGATTTATAACATTATATTACGAAAAGATAAATTCTCCCTGTGTTATATATTTTCTATGCATTTATAATGAGTATAAAGGTTTACGATGTAGTCATGAGGTAGGGTGCTACTTCGAGATAGAGAATACCAACAATAAGTTGGCAGGTACATCGTGAAACTTTAGTATGCGGCACGGTGTTATTTTAGATCGCAGTTGAGACGGATTTGTTTGTCGTTTTACTGTATCTATGCTCATGAATGGTTTTCTAGCGTCTTTAGTGGGTGGTGTAGGTGGAGTGCCAGTATCTTATCATTAATCTATAGGCTGCTTAATGTTTAAAAACAAATAAATTCGATTTTATTAAACTTATATATATATTGGTGTTTTCAGGTGTAACAGTACATGATTCCCTTATTGAGGGAATAACATTCCAGGTGAGCTTTTGTTATAAGTGTAGTTAATTAAACACACATGTAGGTAGTATCACATAATCACTGCTTTTTGTGTCATGTTCCTGTATTGTGCAATTAATACATATTATTACATTATATTGGAACCTCAGTAATGTATGAGTTTTATATTTCACTTTTGTCTACGTTTATCAGCTTTGAATACTTTTTAAATTGTTTACTCGCATTACAGTTCAGTACAATCAATCAAGGTTTAAGGTGTCCACATAGTTTTACTGGGTCTACACAATCCAGATACAAATTATCCTTGTCATAACCGAATATGCTCAATAATAGAAGCACTAATACTAACTAAGTCTTCTGTACTACTTTGTACTTGTGTACTGGTACGCATATAATAGATATGTATGCATATCTGCAAACACATTAACACATGTTGAAAACAAGTTGTGCATGATGACCCATAGTTCTAGCCTGCATAAATCTCAATTTAGACAAAAGAAAATGGTTCAAACTGATTGAAATTAGAACATTCATTTCACTACAGGGAACTATTTACCTTTTGCCTGCTGGTATTCTAAAAAACAAAAAAAAATATAATATTGTGTCTCATTTACATGTACATTCTGGCAAACTAAGGATTAAGCAATTTCTTTATTATTAGATATAATAAATTATTTAATACTTCTTATCTTCCTAAACTGCCTTCATAGACTAAAAAGAATTGAAAGTTCCGAACTATTCGCAAAGTATCTCATTTATTTCCAATAAGTAAACTGAGTACAATTTTTTTTTTAATAAACTTCCTTATAGAGAAAATATTTTCGTCTTCTTCTGTCATGCGATTTGGTCACTGTCGTGATGTTATGATTGTGGACTACTCGAATTTTTTTTTTTAATATAAGATTTAAAAGATCTGGTAACTTTCTCGTGTATTTAGGCTCCAAGTACACAATAATCTAATGCATGTATTGTGCTCATTATTCACTGAAATTGCATAAAATTAATAGTTTTGGTGATGGCAAGGAATGGGGAAAGGACTCAGGTGCGGAGGGCGACGGTGCGGGGGCGCGCGGGGGGCGCGCGGTGGCGGCGGGCGCGCTGCAGCTGTCGCCGCCGGCGCTGGACTTCGGGCGCGCCGCGCTAGCCTCCGCGCATGCGCTCACTGTCACGCTCACCAACACCGCCAACACTACCATGCATCTCGCCTCCGTCGCCGGCACCACGCCCGACTTCCACGCTTCTTTCTTCGAATCTAAGGTATTGGTCGTTGCTTCAAATTTAAGCTCTACAGTTAGATTTGCAATTATAATGAATATCTATAATTCTATACTAATATTATAAATGCGAAAGTAACTCTGTCTGTCTGTCTGTGTGTTTTAATATTGTGCTGAACCACCAAAAAATTCTGAACCAATTTCTGGGAAATTTGGTACAGACATCGTTTGGAACTCAAGAAAGGATCTGGAAATCTGCAAGAAGTCACTATTCCACGCGAACGGAGTGACGGGCAAAAGCTAGTATATAATAATATTAAAACTGTCTAGAAGGAGTGTCTAGTGCGAATAGGGATAGAAACTGAAATTGAGAAAAAAGTTGCTTTTCTGACATGAAATATTTCGTTTCATACGAATGTGAATACACAAGTACGAGCTGATAGCAACTACAGGGTTTATAGCAGCAGACAGGCAAACCTCACGCAAGTGGCGGTGTCGTCCTGAAATAGAACATGTCATTGCGGTTTCTTATCTGACACACATACATCAACACTAAGTTAGCATGTCGTTTGTGCGCCACGCAACGTTCGTATTACATGGATACCGATAACATGAAGCCAACCGGGGCAATGAGGCCTACCACTTTCTGGATCACCAGATGGCACTAGTATGTACAACGACATGGCATTACGACCTCTTTGTCCTATTCAAAAATAAATAATTTTATGTGATATATCGGCTAACGAGCATATGGATGACCTCATGATAAGCAATCATTGCCTCCCAGGTACATTCGCGACATCAGAAGAGTTTACAAGTGCGTTGCCGGCCTTTTGGGGATTAGCATTTTGGAGATTTAGGGATTAGGGAGGGAACGGAAACGGGAAGAATTAGGTCTCCAGCAACTTCACTCGCACGGCGAAACTCAACGTGTGATTATTTAACGCCGGTTTTCTGTTAAGTCAGTGTATGTAATCACTCTAGTTGAACCGACCCATTCGTACCGAAGCATGGCTCTCCTACATTCAAAAGTAACAGTTGCAGTGGTTAGATTAACGGAGTCCACCAATGTGCCAATAAATGTACCATCAATCTAGCCATCATTGTAAAAAGATCTACCTAGGAGGCATTTATAATAGAAACCAAAAAATACAATAAAAAAACGTTTTATTAAATACATTACGACAAGCGCAAAATAATTATCGCTGGCAACTTATGTCATAATGGATCAATCGCCCCTGATTGTTTATGTGTTAAAAGAAATATTACTAGTTAAAACAGTGTAATAAATTATTTGTAACAATTGCGACTCATTTAAGATGAGAATAAGCGCGCTTCTATACATTTGCATTGAATTTGTTTTGTATTTTTCAGTTTTTATTAAAGTAGGTACGAAGGTATTGAAGTGTGGTCACTGCACCTAGTTAGGTGGCGGCTCCAACTACTCAGGTAGTGTAACGGCAGTGTATCGTCCGCAGACGCTGGCGCCGCGCGGCAACACGACGTTCACCGTGGTGTACCTCGGGCGGCGCGAGGGGCCCGTCGCCGCGCACCTCTACATACACACCTCGCTCGGCGTGCACAAGTACCCGGTCAGTGCGGCTGCAATAGCTACTACAATAATGTGCTGTTCGTTAGTGTATTTACTAGCATTTTCATACGCACGTCACACACATCGATAGAAAATACCATAATTTTGTTTCGATAGAAGGTGTAATTGAACGCAAATGCGCGTGCGCAGGTGTCGGCGGTGGGCGTGGCCAGCGAGTGGGGGCTGTGGCCGCTGCTGGGGCTGCGCGTGCCGCAGAACGCCAGCGTGGAGCCGCTCGTGGTGCTGCACAACCCCACGGACAGCGAGGTGCAGGTCAGCGAGGTGTACTCGTCGGCCCCCTGGCTGCGCCTGGCGCTGCCGGGCGGCGGGCGCGCCGCGCCGCGCGCCGCGTGGAGCGTGGCGCCGCACTCGAGCCGCGCGCTGGTGCGGCTGCGCGTGGCGCCGCCGGGCGGCGGGCCGGCCACCGCCTACGTGCGCGTGCGCGGCGCCGCGCTGCCGGCCGGCGCGCTGCTGCTGCCGCTGCAGGCGCGCGCCGCGCCGCCCGGCGAGTACGCCGCGCCGCCCCAGCTGCGCCTGCTGCCGCGCGGCTCGCGCGACGCGCCCGACACGCTGGAGCTGCGCGCCGCCAACAGCGCGCCCACCGCCGTGCGCCTGCAGCCGCAGCTGTGGGCGGCGCGCTGCGGGCCCGCGCCGCTCGACCCGCCGCCGCCGCCGGACCCGCCGGCCGCGCCCGCCGCGCCCTCCGCGCCCGCCGCCAACGGCCAGACTGACAAGGGCACCGCTAACGGCAACGGTCAGAACATTCTACTTGTTGCTTCTCCACTCGAGATACAAAATTATTATGCCTTTAAACATCTTCTAACAGACAACTTGGATAGTTTAAATATTCATATTCTAATAAAAATAATAAAAAAAAATCTAAATATTTAAAAAGAAATATGACATTTAAGTATTGTTGAAATGAATTAAGGGGTAAAGTATTTATTTATCCTAATAATAATTTTATTCTACAATAGGGTACAAAAGTTGAAGTTTAATTGTCCGCTGAGGCTACCTGTGCTGAGCACTCATTCTGTAAATTTCAATATAAAGAACAATAATAAACTGATATGATACTTGTTGCAGCTTTATCGATGCATAAATTTCAATCCAATATTGTGCAATATGTGACATGTGAGAATGTAGAACAACTTTATCCTCAAATTAACTTTTGGGTTGTAATGCATAATTATGTTAAATTTAGTGTCTGTAAAAGCATTCGATATTTAAAAATATATGTAATGAGAATATAATTGATTGCACGGTTGGCGCGGTGGCTGGGCAATTGGTTGCCGTGCAACGTGTCGCGGGTTCGATTCTGTACGGTACAACTCTATGTGATCCACAAATTGTTGTTCCGGGTCTGGGTGTGATGTGCATGTGGAATTGTATGTTTGTAAACGTACCCATGACACAGGAGAAAATTCTAATGTGGGGTAACGTTTTTTAAAAGACAAATGTTAAAGTTGATAGATATTGGACTACAAAGTATTGTGTCAGGCATGGTGTTTACATATGTTGTGGACTATGAATATACTCATTATTTGAAAGAAACATGCTCAGAGCCCCGATTGTATAGAGCTTTATATTAGCAAAATAGTAAAAAAATGGGGTAGGTATTTCTGTCGAGTTAGTAGTACTCGTATAATGCGAGTGGTCACACTAGTCGTCCGTGGTTGGTGAAGTGGTGCGGTGTGTTGGCAGGCGGCAAGTCTGCGGGCGTACAGCTGTCGCTGCTGGCGCCGCAGCTGGAGCCGCTGCAGCCCATGACGCGCGCCGCGCTGCTCACGCTGGACTGTAAGTAGGCGGGGCGGGGCGGGCGCGGCCGGCGGGCCCGGGCCGGCACTGTAGCGCGCTGTTGCAGACGCGGCGCTGTGGGAGCAGGCGGCGGCGGCGGGCGCGGGCGCGGCGGGCGCCTGGTGCGCGGGCTGGCTGCGCCTGGGCCGCGCCGCGCTGCCCTACGGCCTGCGCCTGCTGCCCGGCACGCTGCGCCTGCAGCCGCTACAGCTGCAGTACGTATACTTGCTCAATGTACCATTCACACACCATGCAATTTGCGATAACGAAACTAAAACACTACTTTTTGCATAAAAATATCCAAGCTAATACTGGATCAAAACAAAACACGATTTATACAATTTTAAATCAGATCAACAATTGCTGTATAATTTTAGATATTTTTTATATTTTGCAAAAATTATTCATATCCTTTCGTAAATTACATTTCCACAATAATTACGAACTAAACAAAATAAACTCATTCTCAAAACAATAATCAACTAATCCAAAAGAAGAAGTTATTAAACACATGTTCAACTAATTAGGTACAGTTAATACACCAAAAATATTTATAATTGTTTAAATACTTAGTCTTGAAGGAATTAAGAATAGAAAATTTGAAAATTAAGCCATGAGAATGGGAGATTAGGCGATAACCTTACTCACACAGCGAAAGCCAACGTAAATGTTGCTTTGCCAGTTAATTCCTGTGAGGCCATGACATCAGTCCGGTCGAGCCAGCGCATTCGTGCCGAAGCATGGCTCTCCCATACTAAGAGTAATTAAAAATTTGTAGAATTTGCGTTTGATATTAATAATAAATAAATGTTATAGCTTTCAATTGGAGCGTTTTTAATTTTGGCGCTTAAAATAATTACACCTAGAACGATAGCTCCCTTCTAAACGGTCCATGAAGTGTGCATAAAATTCTTGTATTAAAAGTTGGCGTAACGCATACATTGAAAAAATAATGCTGCCATTACATTCAATTTTCCCTTGGAGAAATTGTATCTTTTACAGAGCTATTTAAAGCCTCATACTTATTTTTTTTTATAAAGAAGTATTAAATTTGCTTCTCCTGGTGCAAAAGATCGATAACTCATAAACTATAAACGATAACTTATTTTTAAGCATTTGATTGCCGACAAAAACTGTTGAAGGCTAACCCTCCGCTAACGTCGGACACCATTGTCCGACATGGCGTTTTCAGTGTTAAGTATTTATAAATTTGGAATTATATGAAATGTCAATAAAAAAGTGCCCAAAAAAAATAAGCTAGTAGTAGATACATAATTGTCAAATAACATTTAGTGCCTTTTATTTATTGCCTTATTGAAACGTATTTCACCTTAAATAAACTACAAAATGTAGGAGATTGTTTCCCCATAACGGCAATATTTACATGATCTGTCACGTAGCAAAATATTGAATATTTTTCTCATTTTAATTAATATTTTACATAAAAATATAAGTTCAAACTCTTAAAACTTATCAGTGCAATATTATGTTGTTAAGTTCCTTGTGCTTTTCTGATGTACTGTGACATATGTCCCTGCGCAATCCGTCATTATTAATTAAAATATCAGGAGCAGTTTTCAACAAGACAACCTATGTTGGCACTGACATGCCGCGTCATGAATTACTAGGTTTGAGTTGCTTCGCATTGAAGATGCATACTCGTTTACTAGGTGTTTTTATAATTATTCTAAGTTTTTGCGTCAATTAGAAAAGTGTGCCTGTAAACTCATTTAATAATAAAAGTATGGGTAGAAAGAACAGTTGTGACGCATCAACGCAAAAAGTAAGTAATTTATTTGACCCAGCGACGGTGACCCTATTCGAAAATAGTAAGTCATTTAAACCATGGTCTACAATGGCATGGCAAATTTGAAAACTAACATAACTCAAAGTACACATAAAAAACGATCCTATAAAAACAACCCCACTAGATGCTTTTGCAAAGAAAGACAATGAGTCAGAGCATAGAGCGCAGTCAGTCACTGACGGCACTCGATGGCCACACACCTAACCACAACCACCCACCTCCGGTATGAAGCCAATAAAAACGTAACAACTCGACGCACTGCTACTAAAATCAACTTCACTACCGATTCCAAGCTGTTTGGAATCACACTCCATTACAATTTTACAAACATTTAATAATTTGATTGCATCGATTCCACGACCAAGTCAAATGGTTTTAACTAACAAGAAAATTACTTGCATTGAATATCGATTTTTCGTTTGTTTTTTGTTTGAATTTTGTAAAATATATTGATATATCCCAGCATTTTAATTATCATAATTATACATTGTCCCTAATTAGTTGTCCATTAATTAGTATGTGAAAAGAAACTAGCAGTGAGGTATTAATTAAGAAATAGCGTTGGCAAGTAGTTATTTCGTTTCCTGGCCACAAAATATCTAGAATACTTGTCAATTTTCTTATTGTCGACGGTAACAGCTTCATAGCTTCGCTTAGAAATGGGTTGTGGGCCTTAACGAAACGCTTGAGTTTGCGTGATATAGCGTCTCTCATTAATTGGCCATGACGGAATATTTCGCGCGCGCATTGAGCGAGATTGGTGATTATAACGTCGGTGAGTTCGTGTTTACAGTTTCGTGACGGCCAACCGCGAGGACGCGCTGCGGCAGCGCGAAGTGCGCGTGAGCAACGAGTTCTCCGTGGGCGTGCGCGTCCACCGGGTGGACCTGCCCGCGACGGGCCTGCGCTACTGGGACCTGGAGTCGCTGGCGCCGCTGGACCTGGCGCCCGGCGCGGACGCGTTGCTGGCGCGCGTCCGCCTGCGTAGCCAGGCGCTGGCGCCCGGCGCGCCCGAGTCGCTGGCGGAGCGCCTGCAGCTGGTCACCAACCTGACGGACTACTCGCTGCCGCTACTGCTGTACAGCGGCCGTCTGCGACTTGTGAGTGCTCTAAATACTGTCTCTTGGCCAAAAATATTCAGCCCTTATACATTCCGCTCGTTTACGGGAGTATGGAAGAAAGATAAATCTATTGTCGAAGAATTATTTTGTTATAATTGATCGGTCATCTACGAAGGTTTAAAAAGAATGACTCACGCTGCAGCTAGCAACAAAACGCCTAGGTGCAATGAAACGTATGACGGAACGTTTGTGATATCTTGTAATTAATTAAATTATAAAATATTTATCAGTTGCAAAAACATTCCAATATCTATTTACTTCAAAGTCAAAGTAACTATTGTGGGCCTATGTAAGTTAAATATTTTAACAATAATTACGTTAGGTAGGTAGTGGAAGTCATACATTGTCAATATTAATACATTTTAAAATATAGTGGAATTAATAATAATTTAGGAAATGTTGGATCGCGTAGTATGCTTTGTCAATTAAAAATATTCGTAATTTCATTTTGAATACTGGAAGTAACTTTGTGTCTAGAATGTCATTTCATAGAGCCATTTAATGTGGTACAATGGGACGATGTTACATTAATTTGTAAACGGGCAGCAGAAAAGTAGAATGAATAATATATAATACAATTGGCTGTCAGTAGTTTATGTTGGCTTCTATTTTTAGTTAGATTAAGCTGTAAGTCCTCCAGAGTGTAATAAATAAATAAATAGTAATGGAACGGCGAAGGGGCAGTAAGATGAGTGCGGAGTGCATAACGAGTGTGGGCCCTCGGCGCAGGAATGGGAGTGGCCGAACTCTGAGGACGGGTCGCTGCGGCTGGGCGCCGTGGGCACGTCGATGACGCGGCGCGTGGCGCTGCGCCTGCAGAACCCGGCGCCCGCCGCGCTGTGCGTGGATGTGGCGCTGCAGCTGGCGGGCGCGTCGCTGGCGCTCGACGCCTGCGCCGGCACGCGCGCGCCGCCCGGCCACGCCTGCCGCTGTCTGCCGCCCGGCGCCGCCGCGCGCGCCACGCTCAGCGTCGTGGCGCCCGCCCGCGAGGGGGCGCTGCGCGGCGCGCTGCTGCTGTGGGCCGCCGCGCCGCAGGGGGGCGCGCCGCCCGCGCTGACGCGCGCCGCGCTGGACCTCAGTGCGCACGAGGGCCGCGTGGCGGCGCTGGCGCTGCCCGTGCTGCGCGCGGCGCCGCACGCGCCGGCTCGCGCGCCGCTGCAGCTGGAGTCCAGCATGGCGCTGCGCATGCGCGTCACGGCGGTGTCGCTGCCGCCGCGCGAGGGCCTGCAGTGGCTGGGGCGCCAGCCGGCGCCGGAAGTGGGCGCCGGCCGCCACGTCGTGGGCGACCTGCTCTACGCGCCGGAGACACTTTGCGACCCGCACTGCTACACGGGATTGGACGTCACTAGCGCCGGTATACTACTATTTATACAAACGTATAACAATTGAATCCCGATTTGAAAAAAAGAGTCTCAAAAAATGTCTTATTGTCACATGTACGACATAATGGTTGGACAACTCGCTGCTGCAAGTGTCGCGATATCCATTCTTACGCAGAACAACAATTTGTGTCATCCATAAATACTACAAATGTTTTTCTAGTTTGTATTTATAAAAGTCAAAACCATTAATTTCAATTTCACCTATAGAGGTTCTTTTACACAATCCCATACAAAAGTTCGCTTCAAAACTGTCGCCAACTGTATTTAGGTACTTATACTTGAAATAAACATGCATTAACACGTTAAACGCCATGGGGGACAACGTATGGGCCACACTGATTTTCTGGTTGGGGCCAGGTTAAAAATCGTTGTTCACCCGATTTCGAATATACGTTTTTATTAATTAATAGGCAAGAAAATGTGGTAAATAATATGAAATATATTGTAGAAATAAAATTAGTGATTCTATTTCGTTAAAATACTACTGTTCACTCAACAGTTGTCCCCCACGGCCTCAGCAGTAAATAATTCGCTTGTTCGCTTGCGGGGGCCGCGGGGGTCGGGGTGTCGGTCATCCTCGTGCATTTCCGACGCCAATCGTGTTGCGATTCCCGCGCGCTCGCGCCTTGTGTCAGTGACAAACTGAGGTTGTTACCAACTGTACGTTGTTATATCGCTACTATTTCGCTAATTTGCGTTTGTTACGTAAATTGATTCTAGTTTTATTTGATACGTTTAGTTTGAAATGGATATGTTCGAAGATTTTGATATAAGTCAGGACGATTTATCGCAATTAGATCAAATTGAAATTAATTTGTTGAATAATAGTTTCCATATAAGCTCAGATGAAGAAGACAATATTCATCCAGTTTCGCGTAACCGTCGTCGAATTATGGTGATAGATAGTGAAGAGAGCGAGTCCGAAGAGCGTCCAGTTCCAGCTACCTCGGGGCAGACGACGCCGCGTAAACGCACTTGGACTCTACCAACAGGTAACCAGAGAAGTATTATACCGTTTACGGAAAATCCTGGCTTGCCTACCTATCTACGTTTGGCTATGAGTAAAAAATCACCAATTGATTTTTTACTCCCTTTTGGTTCCGGATGACGTTTTTGGGCAGATAGTTGAAGATACGAATCAATTCGCTATTAACACCATCACAAAGCGCAATGCTTCAAAAGCAGCACGAATACGTAATTGGTCACCTACTAATGTGCATGAGATGAAAAGCTTTTTTGCATTAATTATGTTTATGGGATTGGTGAAACTTCCTAAACTGTCCGACTACTGGTCAAAGGACGAAATAACAGGTCACCGTTTTGCATCAACAATTATGTCTCGTAATCGCTTTGAATTGCTTCTGCAAATGCTTCATCTTTCCCGGCATGACGAATCTCACAGATCTGATAGATTACACCGCATTAGACACTTACTTGATACCATGAACACCAATTTTGCAAAGCATTACACACCAGGCGAAGATTTATGTATCGATGAAAGCGTGGTGCCATTTCGTGGCAGAATCATTTTCCGACAGTATAACAAACAGAAGCGCCACAAATATGGCATTAAAGAGTTTAAATTATGCACACTACCGGGCTACACTTACAAAATTAATATTTATGCAGGAAAAGCAAATGATAACGTTAACACTACGCCAGAAAACGTAGTAATGTCACTTTGCAGTGGCTTATTGAACAAGGGACATACCTTGTACACAGATAATTGGTACACAAGTATTGATTTAGCTAGGAATTTATTGAAAAATGAAACGCATCTAGTTGGCACGATAAGAAAAAACCGAAGGAATATCCCAAAAGAAGTAACTACTGCTAAATTGAAGAGAGGCGAGCATATAGTCAGAGAAAGCAACGATGGGATAACAATCATGAAATGGAAAGATAAAAGGGACGTGCTTGTTCTTTCGACGAAACATTCAGACCGTTTTATGACAATCACAAAGCGAGGAAAAACAGTTTTGAAGCCGAAAATCGTTCTCGACTATAATAGAGCGAAAGGAGCAGTGGATTTGTCCGACCAGATGGCGGCATACTCCTCGCCACTAAGGAAATCTGTAAAGTGGTATAAAAAAGTTGGCATAAACCTACTCCTAAATACTGCGGTTGTAAATGCACTAATATTATATCAGATAGTAACTGGAACGAAAATGCAAATAGTTGAGTTTAGGAAACAGCTGGTGAAAGGTTTGTTGATGAGAAGTGAAGAAACTTCAACAGATGCTGTTACAAGGCCAAAAAGAATGAGACATAAACTTGCAAGGAAAGACGGTTCTAGTAAAAATAATCGAAGAACATGTCAGCAGTGCTATAAAGAAAATACACAAGTGATGGGGCGAAAGTTGGCCAAAAATAAAACAAAAAAAGTTGTTACTTTTTGCGACACTTGTCCAAATAAACCATTTTTATGTTTTGACTGTTTCCATAAAATTCACTAATTATTAGATATGTATAAATTACGTTGATCTCAATTTAAAGTCTGATTTCATTTTGCTTTCTTTAAACTTCAAATAATAAATTATACGTCTGATTCACAGAAAAAAAATGTTGTTTCATTCAAAAAAGTGTCCCCGATAAAGTCAATTCAACTATGTTCTTATATCATGCTCATCGTGAAACCTTACATTCTGGCTAATTCAATATCTAAATAGTAATAATGTGTGTTTATTCTGTTCAAAAGAACTATTTAAAACACAATAAAAAGCTATTTTGTACGAAATAAGATAATATACTATACCTCAACCTTGCAGTGAAAATATTGTCCCAACATTACGTAACTTATTTTTTAAAGTTATATTTTTTACTAAAAACCAAGTAGAGTGCATTTGTCTACAGGGCCGTGGGGGTTCCACGTACAATACATTTTAGCTTGGAAATCTGTGTCCCACGGCTCTGGTAGCGAAGTTTGAATTCACCTCTAGCTCGCGGTCATAACGGGGTCCCCCACGGCCCGAACGGAACAACTGTGTGGTGGCCCAAATGGTGTCCCCCATGGCCCAAGGAGAAAGTCTCAAAAATCAAGGCGGCGTTCAACGTGTTAATGTAAATTAAACCTTAAATGCAACTCATAGAGTTGTTTTCACAAAGTGATATACAAAATCTAAACATTTTTTACATAAATCATAAGAAATTGAACCATATTCGCATGTTTTTAAGTCGAATTTACAATGTGTCAAAAATGAGCAATAAAATTTAACGACTTCGGCTCACCGCTAGGACAAAGAATGATTGGAGTCGAAATGTCTCGTAATAAATATATTTCTTTCAATTTTTTTTGATAATTTATAAAAAAAAAGAAATACGAAAATTTACTTATAGTATTCTTTTCTATAGGTTTGTTCATTTATTTACCAATGAAACTAATGCATATAGTTATAATTTTTTTTTATTATTTTCGTCCCCCTTATCCTTCCTAAATTTGGAATATTTTTCAAAGTATATATGTATACTTTGAAAAATATTCCAAATTCGAAGTCAAATAAAAAAGATGTAAAATAATAAAAAGAATATATATCTAAAGTAAGTACTGAAAATGTTGGCGTTATTGTTGTAAATTTTTCATATCGCAAGGGTTTTTTGATGAAAGCTAAAAAAAATGTCTTTACTGCAGTTAAAATTAAATCCATTATATGTGCCTATTCCATATTTTAATAAACACAGTAAAGAAGTATAATATTAAATAAAAACTATTTTTTAATAAAAAAAAACAATAAATAAAATTAGAAACAATAGCGTCTCCGCTAAACGGAACAGAATCAATCCACGTAAACCGAACAACTGAAGTGGTCATGCTAGAGAATGATTTTACGTTTAGTATAAGTGTCTTTATAAACTGTGTGCATTATTATAACCCCGGTTTTTGAATACGATTTCATTTGGAAAAAGTTTTAAAGTTGATTTCTTAATAAAACATCAATATTTAAAATAGAATGATGACAATTATATAATGATAATATTATTACTTAACGAAAATACGAAATTCCATCCTTTTTTGCGTCTTAGATGTGTGTTTTTGCAGTTTTTAAACGAGCACTGAGGCGTGTTTACCGTCGGAGTATTCGAGTGGTACTAAACTAAAACTACACCGCGATGTTGAGTTTGGTGGACTTTCAGTTAGGACATTTTTTTGTCACTGATTGTGTATCTAGTTCTTTATTAGTGATCGATGCGTTTGACGATAAAAATGGCATGGTTGAAGTGTGGGAGGCTTAACGCACCTTCGACTGAAAAAATGTTTTCGTGACGACAGAGGGCGCAGCGTGGCTACAACGTGCGAATGAGATAGCAGACGCGGACGAAGGGGATGACGACGAAGAATCCGCCGAGCCGTACGACGCGGCACTGCGCGGCGACGCGGCGCTGCTGGCGGCGCGGCGCGCGCTGTTCCAACGCGCCGCGCCGCGCAACGTCACGCTGCACGTGCACACCTCGCACGCCGTGCAGCTGCCGGCGCGCGCGCTGCTGGCGCCCCACTGGCCGCGTCTGGCGCCCGTCCGCGCGCACGCGGGGCTGGCGCCCGTCGGCGCCGCGCTGCCCTTCTCGCTGCGCCTGCGCAACCCGTCCGCCACGCGCGCCGTGCTGCTGCAGGCCGTGCTGCGCGGCGCGGCGCTGGGCGCGCCCGACGCGGCCTGCGCCGACTGCCGCTGGCCGCGCCGCGCCTTCGCGCTGCACGAGTGGCGCGCCGCGCGCGGCGCCGTGCGCGACGTGGGCGGGGCGGCGCGGCGCCCGGGCCGCGCGCTGGCGCTGCTGGAGCTGGCGCCGGCGGCCGAGCTGGAGCTGCGCCTGAGCTTCACGCCGGCGGAGGCGGCGACGCTGGGCTGCTACCTGTACCTGCGCAACAACCTCACGGTACTGGAGCCGGTGCTGCTGACGGGGCGCGGCGCCTACCCCCGCTTCGAGCTGGCGGGCCGCCGCCCCGGCGCCGGGGCGCCCCTGCTCTTTGAGGTAATGTACATGATCCTACTCTGCCTGTCAAAGTTTCGCAAGCGCCTACACTTGGATGATAGTTGACTATTTGATTGACTGCATTACGTTGATATAGACAGGGAGACCACGAAGAAATGATAAAATGGCACAAACTTCGGCGATAGAATGTAATGACACAGTATAAACGAGTGGTCACTTATATCCGCGATCTTTTTGAAAAAATGCCAAAAAATTAGGACGGGGCAAATAAATGCTTCATTTGTACTGCCTGTGACACTCAATGGGGTGGAGCCAAAGTAAGCTCAGTTTGTGTACCTAGGACATGTTGTTAATGAAGACCTAACAGATGACCTAGATATAGAATGGGAACGCCACTGGGCCTCTGGTAAACGCTGTGGTTGTTTCACGCCGGTTTTCTGTGAGGCCGTGGTATTACTCCGGTCGAGCCGACCCATTCGTGCCGAAGCATGGCTCTCCCACACTCTCACAAACTAAACAAAAAACTTGAAATTACAAACTAAGTGCGCTCGACTGCTAGAGAGAAAAGTCGCGCGGGGAAGTGTCCCGCCCGCCACCGCGTCACTACATCCCGCCGATACCACAATATCGGTATATCAATATATACTGTTACGTGCCTGACGTCACGTTCCTGACTATGCGGGCTTGGGTTACGGGATTGGACAAAATTAAACACTAATACCGGTTTTCAGACTTTCTATTGTCAACAGTGTCCACCGAGTTAAGTTTTCGGCGTTCCTCTCCAGCAGAGTCCGGGCGACTGACACAAACTTCCGTTTGCCGCTCACAGTTCACGCTGACTTTCACTTAACTCACTGCACTTCACTATTTCACTGCACTTCACTATGTCACTCACTTTTCTTCTTTTTCACTTCTTCCTTTTCTTCCGAATCGCTTTGGACTTAGAACTCAACTGCCAGCGGTGAGCCGTAGTTCCGCTTATATACCCCCGGTCAGGTTCTGGAACATTCAATTTCGTTATTCTTTTTGATCGTCATGCCTCCAGAACCTTCCAATAATTTCGTTATTCATTTTTATTTATTCTCCTTCTCGCTCTTTAATTTTTCATTTCTTTCACACAAATAATTCCAGAAAGTTCGACAAAACTTCCATCAACTAAAAAACTTCATGTTTACGGCGGGACTCGAACTCGGAGTCTCTGTGGTGTAATCCACACGCCTTCCGATTACACCAACTCGTGTTGACAATTCACGACGAAATTTACGATCTCTAGGCAACGTTTGACAACCATCCATTGACGTCATGATGTCAAAGTGTTTGAACCACTTTTCCGTCACACTGCCCCCCTCTTAGATTCGCTCGTCCCGAGCATCGTTGCTGCCGTAATACCTTGCCAACCTGTCTATATGGACAACTTTCAAAGGGCTCCTTGAAGTCTTCCGAATTCTGTAAGTAATGTCATTGATCTTCGTGACTATCTCATAAGGACCTTCCCAACTCGGTTGCAGCTTCGGAGATTTTCCTTTCCTTCTGACTGGATTATAAAGCCAGACCAATGACCCCTCTTCAAACCCAACAGAATTGGCTCGTCGATCATAGCGCGTCTTTGCGCGATCACTAGCTTGAAGACCGGCCTCCCCGATCTGCTCATAAATGTCCAACATTTTTACCCTTAACTCGCTTATGTAATCGCTAAACTCGGTGCGAGAGTCACCAGGAGGACAGCCCGATACAAGATCTGCCGGTAATCTCAATTCCCTTCCAAAATTTGCAAATGCAGGCGTCTTTGCGGTACTTTCATGTACAGCAGTCCGATAGGCAAGCAAGAAGAGAGGTATGTAAGTGTCCCAATCTCTCTGATGGCTGTCAACCACCTTTGCTAAGTGTCGCTCCAATGTTTGGTTGAAACGTTCGACCATTCCATCTGACTGTGGATGATAAGGGGTCGTTCGAGTCTTATGGATTCCCAAAAGTTTACAAGTTTCCTGAAAAACTTGGGATTCAAAGTTCCGTCCTTGATCACTGTGCATCTCCAAGGGCACTCCGAATCGGGTGAATACCTCGTTTACCAACTTCGTGGCTACAGTTACTGCCTCTTGATTCGGTATGGCAAAGACCTCCGGCCATTTTGTAAAATAATCCATAACCACTAAAACGTAGCGATTGCCCGAATCAGTGATTGGAAATGGTCCAGCGATGTCTAAGGCTATTCTCTCCCAAGGCATACCAACATTGTAGATTTTCATCGCCCCTCTGCTTCTTGTTTGTGGACCCTTGACAGCTGCACAACTAGTGCATTTCCGGCACCAATCTTCGACGTCATATTTGCAATGCAACCAATAAAACCTCTCCTTGATCTTCACCAAAGTCCTCCTAATTCCCAAATGTCCTCCAGAAGATCCATCATGGAACGCTTTTAATACATCCCTTATTTTTGAACGAGGCACCACCAAATGCAAATGCTCGTCCTTGCCGTTTGTTGATTCCCATTTCCTGCACAGAAGTCCGTTATGCAGCGTAAGGCTTTTCCACTGTGCCCATAAACCTTTCGTTACCGCGCTATATTGGGCGACGTCACTCCAACTTGGCTTGTTACCACTTCGTAGCCACTCCAGTATTGGTTTAATATCTGCATCTCTTTCCTGTTCTAATTTCATCGCATCATCTCCCCATGCCTCGTCAACAGTATCAGTCCTTATCACCTTAAGAAAAGCAGTTTCCTTCTTGGCACAATGCTTGCAATCTTCCACGCATGGGCGTCTCGATAATGCATCTGCGTTGCCATGAATTCTTCCGCCGCGATGTTCGATTTCAAAGTCAAATTCCTGAAGTTGTTCCAACCATCTGGCTACTTGGCCTTCGGGATCCTTAAACTGAAGCAGCCATTTCAAAGCAGCGTGATCAGTTCTGATCAAAAAATTCCGTCCCAGTAAATACTTCTTGAAATGGTGCAGAGTTTTGACTACGGCCAGCAATTCCCTCCTGGTCACGCAATAATTCCTCTCCGGCTTGGATAGTGACTTGCTGAAGTAAGCAATAACCTTCTCCTGCTCACCATCGCGTTGTGAAAGGACACCTCCTATTCCAATATTGCTGGCATCCGTATCAACTACGAATATTCCTTTCGCGCTGGGGTATCCGAGAATTGGTGTGTTACAAAGCCGTTCTTTTAGTTCTCGAAAGGCTTGCTCACAATCCTCGTCCCAGATAAAGGCACGTCTCTCCTCTGTCAATCGATGCAAAGGCTTGGCAATGTCCGAGAATCCTTTCACAAACCGCCGATAATACGAGCACAATCCAAGAAATGCCCGAACTTGCGTTTTGTCTTTAGGTGTTGGCCATTCCTTAACAGCGACAGTCTTGGCTGGATCAGTCTCAATTCCTCTCTCAGAAATAACATGTCCTAGATAATTCACTTCGCGCTTGAAGAAAGAGCATTTCTTTGGACTCAACTTTAAATTTGCTCCACGCAGCTTGTCGAGTACCTTTTCCAATTTCCTTAGATGATCGTCAAAATCCCGTCCAACAATGATGATGTCATCGAGGTAAACTAGGCAGGTTTCGCCCAGCAGTCCCGCCAGCACCTGTTCCATCAAACGCTCAAAGGTTGCCGGTGCATTGCATAATCCAAATGGCATCACCTTAAATTGCCAGAGTCCCTTCCCAGTTGAGAATGCGGTCTTTTCCTTGTCCCTGGGATCCAAATCCACCTGCCAATAGCCGCTTTTCAGATCGAGCGTTGAAAACCATTTCATGCCACTCAGTGTGTCAAGTGTGTCATCGATTCTTGGTAAAGGGTAGCTATCCTTCTTGGTTACATCATTCAATCGTCGATAGTCTACGCAAAACCTCGTTGAACCATCTTTCTTCTTGACAAGCACGACAGGTGAACACCAAGGACTAGAAGAGGGCTCTATCACGTCATTTTTCCTCATATCGTCAATCATTTCTTCAACCTCTTTCTCACGAGCGAATGGTATACGTCTGGGCCTTTGACGAATTGGCATTGTATCACCTGTGTTTATTTTATGCTTCACCAAACCAGTTCGGCCAATATCACCATCGCTTCTTGAAAACACATCAGAGAATCGAAGAAGTAAATTTCTAGCTTTCATAGTCTCCACTTTTGTCAGACTTTTGTTTTCGTCTAAGATTTTCGTTACAAAGTCTATTCCCGTACTGTCCTTCTTCACAAGATTCTCCGAGCATTTTCTTATCCAGGCCACTTCTTCCAATACGCCCACAGGCTCTCCTTCTTCAATCGTAATTTTTGAATCACTGAAGTTGAATACCGGAATGCAGTTGACATCAGATGACCCCACGACAGTTCTTGTCGGTAGCCATGAGTTTACGTGTTCCGATTTATCAATCACAGCGCACCTTCAATGCGATTGGTACGAGAGTCTGTGATTTTGGTGCAAGAACAGTTCTTCTTAAACAGCAAACTTTTCCCAGGGTTCCACCCTTCATCGGAATTTCCTCAGTTCCACATAGTAATACTCCAGATTTTAAGTCGATGTTACACTGGTGCCCTTGCAGGAAGTCAAGTCCCAGGATGCAGTCATCCAGAATTTTGGCCACAATAACCTCATGTCGATAAACACGTTCCCCAATTTTGATTGTTACATGCAGTTTTCCACTTATCGGTATGCACTGGCCGGTAGCTGATTTCATTTGTAGGCCAACAATTGGTTTAAGGTGTTTCCTGATGTTTTGCTCGAGCAGCCGAACATTTATCACCGTCCTTGAAGCTCCAGTATCTAATGTTAGCTGACTGTTTTTCCCATTTACTTGACCGTCTATCACCAGAGTATTTCCATCGTTGGTTTGCTTGATGTAGATTGTTGGGGTTGTTCCACTACCAGCCAGCGATGAAGTTCCGACGGCGTGGAGGTACCTGCTCCGTTGTCGTCATTTCCCGCAGACGTAAGGTACGGGAGTTGCCACGCACGGCTTCCACTTCCAATGCATGGGCCAGAGCTTCTTTCATGTTCTTGTGATGGCCCAGATGAACAGCAGCTCGTACTTCTGGGTCCCGAATACCGTCAATGAACGCTTGGAGAAGGAAAGCTCGACGTACAAGTTTCTCGATTTCCACGGACCATTGCTGTAGGCTCTCATTAGCACGCTGAGTACGCTCTTTTAATTGCGCTCTGTACACGTGCTCGAGGTGGCTGTCTCCAAAACGTGCGTCGAGGAGGGCACTAAAGCTGAGATCCCCACTTGCGCCGATAGCTTCCAGCACTGAGAGCGCTTGATCACGGAGGGCCAGGGTGAGGGCTGACTGTGCTTCCTTCTGAGTCCAACCATAAGCCTCCATAAGTATCTCAAACTGTAGCTTGAACGCGGTCCAGGATGTTGTTCCGTCGTAATGGGGAATCTTGAGCCCTTTCGTTGCGCTTAAGGCCGCATTTGGGGCGTCAAAAACGGCTACACGACGGCTTCGGCTCTTCAAAGGGCTTGGGTTTGTCACTTCCTGCTTGATTTTGGAGATCTCTTCTTCCAGTCTTTCCTCTATCGCCATGACGCGATGTTCCAACTTGCCTAACCCTTCCTCCACTTCTTGTACCCGTTCGACAGCCTTTTGCAGTCCCTTCGTAAAATCTTTATGCATCTCTTTCAGCTCCCGTAGCTGCTCCGCCTGACAGTGTGCTTGCACCCGTAGCTGTTCTGCCTGACAGCGTGCTTGCTCCTCTTGGCGACGAGCTTGATCTTCTTTCAGCTCCCTTAGTTGTTCTGCCTGACAGCGTGCTTGCTCCTCTTGGCGACGAGCTTGATCTTCTTTCAGCTCCCTTAGTTGTTCTGCCTGACAGCGTGCTTGCTCCTCTTGGCGACGAGCTTGATCTTCTTTCAGCTCCCTTAGTTGTTCTGCCTGACAGCGTGCTTGCTCCTCTTGGCGACGAGCTTGATCTTCTTTCAGCTCCCGTAGCTGTTCTTCTTGGCGGCGCGCTTGCTCTACCATCATTTGCTGCAGCTGTATGCTGCTCTTCCCTCACACGCTGCGCTTCTGACATTGCACGGGTACTCACTCCTCTTACGTCCTGCGGCACTAGCGGCATTTTTCTCCAATCCCACTTCTGACACCAAATGTTACGTGCCTGACGTCACGTTCCTGACTATGCGGGCTTGGGTTACGGGATTGGACAAAATTAAACACTAATACCGGTTTTCAGACTTTCTATTGTCAACAGTGTCCACCGAGTTAAGTTTTCGGCGTTCCTCTCCAGCAGAGTCCGGGCGACTGACACAAACTTCCGTTTGCCGCTCACAGTTCACGCTGACTTTCACTTAACTCACTGCACTTCACTATTTCACTGCACTTCACTATGTCACTCACTTTTCTTCTTTTTCACTTCTTCCTTTTCTTCCGAATCGCTTTGGACTTAGAACTCAACTGCCAGCGGTGAGCCGTAGTTCCGCTTATATACCCCCGGTCAGGTTCTGGAACATTCAATTTCGTTATTCTTTTTGATCGTCATGCCTCCAGAACCTTCCAATAATTTCGTTATTCATTTTTATTTATTCTCCTTCTCGCTCTTTAATTTTTCATTTCTTTCACACAAATAATTCCAGAAAGTTCGACAAAACTTCCATCAACTAAAAAACTTCATGTTTACGGCGGGACTCGAACTCGGAGTCTCTGTGGTGTAATCCACACGCCTTCCGATTACACCAACTCGTGTTGACAATTCACGACGAAATTTACGATATCTAGGCAACGTTTGACAACCATCCATTGACGTCATGATGTCAAAGTGTTTGAACCACTTTTCCGTCACAATACAATATAGTGATGACACTTGATCGACGAGGTTGCGCATGCGCAGGTGAGCTCGTGCGGCGGCACCGTGCGGCGCACCGTGCTGGCGCGCAACACCGGGCCCGTGCCGCTGCGGCTGCGGGACTGGCGCGTCGCCGGCCAGCCCTGCCAGGCGCGCGGCTTCCGGCTGTCGCCCTGCGCCGCGCTACAGCTGGCGCCCAACGAGAGCCGCCCCCTCACGCTGGCCTTCAGCCCCGACTACACGCTGGCGCGCGCCGCCGCGGACCTCACGGCGCGCACCGACACCTCGCGCGCCGCCTTCCTGCTGCACGCCGCCGCGCCCGCGCGCCTGCTGCCGCGCTGCGCCGCCGCCGCGCCGCGCCCGCCCTGGGAGCCCGCCGCGCGCGCCGCCGCCGCGCTGCTGGCGCTGGCCGCGCTCGCGCTCGTGCTGGCCGCCGCCGCGCTCGACGCCGAGCGAGAGCTGCGCCGCGCGCGCGCCCAGCGCCCGTCGCCCGCGCCGCGCGCCCCCCTCGACCTGCGCGCGCTGGCGCACGACCCCCCCGCGCCCGTGCCGCGCCGCGTCGCGCCCCGCCGCCGCCGCCCGCCGCGCCGCGACGCGCCCGACCCGCGCGCCGAGCGCCGTGCCTTCGAACGCTGGCGCGCCGATGTACTGGGCCGGCCGGACGACGACGACGAACGCTCCAGCGAGGACGCCGACCGAGACAAGGCGCACGTCGACACCGACCCGCTCCTAGACACCGACAAACCGGAACCTCACGATCGCCCCCGCACCGGAACCGACGGCTACGAAGCCGATCCCGAAACTGAAGATCGTCCGCAAGGAAGCGCAGGGAGCGGAGACGACGACGCGGCATCCACCGGCTCCGGCTCCGCGTCCGCGTCGTCGTCGTCTCCCACCGTCGACGACCGCGACGAAGTCGAAGAAGGCGAAGAAGGCGACGAACCAGAAACGTCACTCAGTCACGACACGAGCGCTGCTGCCGGCGACGAGTCCCCTGCGAGTGGTACGCCGCGAGCGCACGCGGCGTCGGGCGCCGACAGCGCGGCAGGGCCCGGCGGCCGCGCGACGACCACGCGCGCCGTCCGCCTGCGCGCCGAGCGCTCGCCCGCGCGGGAGGCGCGGCGCGGCGCGGCGGCCCGCCACCCGGCGCGCAAGGACAAGGCCAGCAAGCGCGCGCGCTCGAGGCCCGCGTCCCCGCCGCGCAGCCCCGCGCCGCGGCCCCCGGCGCCCGCGGCGCTGCGCTGGGGCGCCTCGTGGAGCTCAGTAGTAGCGCGCGCGCCGGCGCCGGCGCCGCTGGCGCCCATCGGCGAGCACGTTCGGCGCCGCGATCCCGAACCGCGAGCGCTAGCGGGGGCGGGCGACAATTCCCTGTTCTACTTCAATGGCGACACTGCGCAGTCTCTCGCTTGCCACGACTCTGACTTCTCCTGGCGCCCCCCGCCTCCCCTGGAGCGTCCCAGTTTCTCGCCCACGCACGATTTCCTCGGTGAGCTTGCATCTTATTCTTTTTACTTCTCGAGTTTAGTTAATTTTAACTTCAAGTAAATTTCGAAATACTTCATTAGTGATCACATACGTATTTATATAGTCTGTATTCTTCTACTATTATTTTTTGATGGGATGACTTGTTCCAGTATGCAAGTTTAGATGAGTACACGTGGTATGTTTATACGTGCAGGTTCGGTACCGGACGAGGCGAGCTCCGTGGGCCCCGTGGGGCCGGTGGGGTCGGGCGCGGGGTTCCGGTCGCTGAGCTCTGTGTGGGGCGCGGGCGCGGGGCTGGAGCCGCGGCGCGAGAGCCCGGCGGCGGCGGCGTGGCTGTGGGGGGGGTACGGGGAGCCCGCCGTGCGCCCGCCGCCCGGCTTCGGCGCGCCGCCGCGCCCCGTGCGGCCCTACGACCCGTTCCGCTCGCTGGCGTCCATCTGGGCGCCGGGCGCGCTGGACTGGCGCCCCGACCCCGACCCGCCCGAGCCGGACCAGTAGCCGCCGCCCTAGTCACGCCCGCGCCGGCGCCGCTCCGCTCGCACCCCCTCGTCTACTCGATTGTCTGTTCAAGACTGAATTAAACTTACACTATCTCAAATGATGATCAACTACTGGTTTTATTACACTGACCAACCTTTTCGATCCCCTAGCTGGCCCAACCCTGTTGTTCAATAGATAGAAAGATAAATAACCAGGTAAGTACAAGGCGACGCCCGATGAATTACCCAATACCGAAACCATAAATGGAATAAGGCTACGACGTCTGCCATTGTAAACCAATTACGTTATGGGTAGAGCTCTGCATCGGCACGAATGGGATTAATTCCACGGCCTAACAGAAAATCGGCGTAAACTACGCTTGCTTTGAGTAACTTTATTGACACACGATCAACTTGTAAGTGCCCACTACTGAGCAAAGGCCTCTTCTCACACGGAGAATATTAACTTTTAAACTTTCGCGTTTCATCTTAAGAACATTATATTTACGCGGGTATTAACGCGGAAAATTATAATTTGAATACCTTGGTAGGCTTGACGTTTCGAACCGGTTGCACAGGTCGTGGTCACAAGCAGACTGAAGACGCGATGTCACAGCTCCCTGCATTCGGGTGATGAATCTTCATCTACCCCCTTATTTTCATTTTCTACCATATTAGGCCGTCTACACACTACGCTGATTATATCCACAGATGTGTTAACCGACTTTGAAAGAAAGCGAGGTTGTGTTTTGCGAAGCACTGGATTCCACGTCGACGACAATTTAAAGCCGTCCTCCCGATTGAAATTATTTGGGCATTTCTTTATTTCAACCGCTTCACGCACAAGTCTTGTATGGTAGTGGCGATCAGTGGAGAGAATTTGCGGTCGGTGGAATTCTACCCAGTGATTAGAACCAGCCTGGAGCAGGTGTTCTGCTATCGCTGATTTGTTGCTCTGTCGGTTTTTGACTGCGGCGATATGTTCTTTGAGCCTCTCAGCAATGGTCCGCTTCGTTTGCCCAATGTAGGAACTACCGCAGCTGCAGTTGATCTTATAAACACCTGGGCTTTGTAGCGGCAGTACATCCTTCGCCGTGCCTACCTTATCATGAAGTTTAGCCTCAGGTGTGTAGATCGTCGGGATCGAAAACTTTTTAAGGACGGATCCTATCTTGTCTGTCACACCCTTGATATAAGGCATGAAGGCAGGTTGTCTGCTCACGTTTGGATGTCTGGCTCTCTTCAGCGGTCGCAATAGTCGCCCATCCCCTACACTATATCCGTTCTTTTTAAGTACCTCCTGAACATGGTCTAGCTCTTGCCCCAGATGTTCAGGGTCACAGAGGTCATATGCTCTGTTTTTTAGTGATATCATCACGGATTGTAAGTGTCGGGGGTGGTGATGTGACTTTGCATGTAGGTACCGATCAGTGTGAGTTGGCTTTCGGTATACACAGTGCGATAAGGACCCATCTGATCTCGCGGTTATTTTAATGTCCAAGAATGACAACGACCTGCCCGTCTCCAGCTCATAAGTAAAACGCATTTTTGGGTGGATGCTGTTTAGGTGATTTACATATTGACGTACTTCTTGTTCACCTCCCTTGATAATGCTGAAAATGTCATCCACATACCTTTTCCAAAGCCTGATGGTATTTGGGCCGAAAATAAGGAAATAAGGGGGTAGATGAAGATTCATCACCCGAATGCAGGGAGCTGTGACATCGCGTCTTCAGTCTGCTTGTGACCACGACCTGTGCAACCGGTTCGAAACGTCAAGCCTACCAAGGTATTCAAATTATAATTTTCCGCGTTAATACCCGCGTAAATATAATGTTCTTAACACGGAGAATATGCCGAATATTCGGTTTCACCAGCGCGATTGGAGCGCCAATCGTACCGAGCACTATGTCTCTTGACATCCATAAGTCGAGTGGGTCTGACGGAATCCCACCCATTGTGTTAAGGATGTGCGCTCCACAGTTTCTCTTTCGGCTCTCTTTAGGCGCAGTCTCTAGGAAGACAATGTTGGTCCACCCGTTCCCTAAAAAAGATGATCGGAGAAAACCGTCTTGAAAATAATGGAGTCATCTATTAACTGCCAGCTCCTTCGGTACTTGGAGGCTTATCAGTAATTTTACACATTACATCCAGACCCGGAACAACAATTTGTGGATCACACAGAGTTGTCCCGTGCGGGAATCGAACCCCATTTGCGCGGCAGCCAGTTGCCCAGCCACCGCGCCAACCGTGCAGTCAATTATAGGCTTCTTAGTGACCGATAGTATAGTTTCCGTAAGGGCCGGTCCGCTGGTGATCTAGTTTATCTGAAACATCGTTGGACACAAGCGATCAAGTACAAGGGGAAGCGATGGCAGTCAGTTTGGCTTAGGCTTCTTACGAAGCTACCTTCCTGAGAAACTGTGTAAATGGGTATCCAGCTTCCTTGCAGACAGAAGCATAAAGGCCGCGGTCGACGGTGAGTGCTCTGATTGCTCGCCTGTAAACGCTGGTGTGCCTCAAGGCTGCGTACTATCGCCCACTCTGTTCCGCCTCCATATCAATGATATGTTGCAAATTAAGGACATTCATTGTTATGCGGATGACAGCACGGATGATGCCTTTTACGCCGGCCGTGCTAACATTTCTTGGAAAAACGTCAATGAGGGTCGAATTGGCTTGTGTCTGAAATCGAGACTTCTTTAGAGAGAATCTCAGATTGGGGTAGACTTAACTTAGTCCAATTTGAGGAAATCGTCACGTCATTTCATTTTGGTTCCAACTCGCTAAGTTGTTCCCTGTTTGTGTAGGTGACTACTAATACTTTCGCAAAATAAAAATAAATTCCTTTTTTTCTTAGCCGTGACACCGGGCCAGAGGACAGACGGCACTCATCAAGTGTGAAATACTTACGTTCCCGCGCTTCTTAAAAGTATTATAGTTTTAATTACTAAGCGTGTGTCATTCATATGTGAGCATTAGGTACTATCATATCTATAATATAAATTCAGTGTTAACTTATTAGGGTCCGAAGTTCGGGTTCGACCACCAGCAGTCCAAGTTCCGGTTCGAATATCGACATCTTCTCTTTCTGCTTGCACTTCTTCACTTCACTTTCTTCACCATCTACAGCCCTGCGGGGCGTCTTCCAGCTGGCAGTTATTCTCCGGTCTCCGTGACGACGTGACCGCTACAGTTCCAGTAGCCAGTCAGGCCAGTAGAGAACCAAGCGCGTCTCCCTCCGTAGACGAAAATAAAATATAATTATTGTTAGCGCTGCGTTTCAATTGTCTCTCTCCTAGATAACCAAAAACGCCCTTAACGCGACAGTGTTTTGAAGAATTTTTCGGTTTGATCCCCGCCGCATCTTTCACAATCGACATAGTGTGACATGGGGTGGGAGGGGTCCTAAGTTTTGCGACGTGACAGGATATTCCAAAACCTGTGACGTTACACTAGGGGGGGGGGAGTGATACTTACCATGAAGTCATTTATTACGAGACGAGATGGAGCTATAAAAGGTATATAGCTCCATCTCTCTTTCTCGCCCGGAAGATTGACGCTTTATCACAGGATGCTGTTGGTGTCTTTTACGACTTCTTCTCGAAATAAGATAATTGCGGGATTAGACACACTAAACCAGAAATGGTGTTGTTTACGGGTGACACATGTAACTTTTAAAACCGGATGACGTACCTGAGTAAGTAGCTCCATACTTCATGTAAACAACATTTTATATTTAGTTTTTTTGCTTTTGTCATAGGTCGGCAAACGAGCAGACGGATTACGTGATTTAGCATATCGGTCGCGACTCAGTCTCATACATTCACCATGGTAAGCAATCTGCGCCGTCCATGAGCACTCGTAATATCCGTTTGTTTCCGGCTTCTAGGGGATTATTAGGGATACAAGGATAAGAATGGAGAGGATGTTTTCCTGCACCATTTGCCAGTGGTGTCTAAATAATCTTAGAAAATAACTCGGAAAGTCACATTGCTACTTGCCAGGTTTCGAACCCGCACCTTATGCGTGAGAAGCGGGCGCCTTCGCTTCGCTACAAGGCCACCATCACACATACAGAATAACCTACACCATTGGTACTCAACCTTTTTTATATACGTTACAGTAATGGTGTCGCGGGCCACAAGCAAAAATTACTGTAGGAGAGCCACGAGAATGCCCGACCGGAGTGATATCAACCCTCCCTTTTCTTCCTTTCCTCTCCCCTTACCCTCAAAAGGCCGCCAGCGCGCCTGTGGGGATTTGGTCTTGAAGGTGTCCATAGGCGGGGATAATCCTTACCATCATTCATAAATATCTCTCTGCATCACCCTAAGGTTGACTGGTGAGAATGCCTACGGCATTAAGTCCGCCTATGTAATGTTTTGTTGCATAAAGTTTAAATAAATAAATAAATAAATATATAGTTAACAATTATCTTTAATTGCCGACGGGCCATTGATAAAGGCCGAGGGTTGAGTATGGCTGATCCAGACAATATAATTAAGTAGAGTGAAATACTAATATTGTAATATTAATATTTTATTAACAGATCACATATGTATGTCCTAGTTGTTACCCAATAATGTATTCAGAGCCAACAAACAGATTACTGCAGATGGTCACCAATGTGTTATGCCGCCCATTAGATAAGTTGGTATCCCTGTGAACAACTCTTGCATAGCGCACTGTCAAATAGCTGTAAACGACCATCAAGTGGCACTTCAGCATATAATTTCTTTTCCAATGTCGAAATACATTCTTAATATCTGTATTTTGTTGAGTAGTCTTTGGGTGAGACAACAAGACCGCGACCCTTCCGTGCGCCGCGGTACACTGTTTCTATGATGTCAATCATCTCCTGCTTGTCCTCCAGAGGCCAGTTGATCTTGTTGTTATTTCCTGTTCCCAAGTCAATCATTATGTGCTTATTGCGGAAGAAGAACATCACAGTGCATGGGTCATACAGCTCATACCTGCACAAAAACAATAAACTGTTACCAAAAAAGAAGCTGGCTCAACACTAAGCACATTATTTTACGATACATTACTTATTGATGTATTGAAACAAATATTAAAATAATAATACAAAAATAATTGAAAAGTACAATTCATTTTTGGAGTCTGAGAGACTTCTCCCGCTCAGGGTAAGGTGAAAGAGTGTTAGACTCTAACTGACTAAAAACCCCCATTTGCGCAAGGCTGCGGTGCCATATTTGACTTAACCTGCAACCCTGGCTGCTGGTTCACTATCCTATACTTCTCAGAGAGTGTTTACACATGGTATACTGTAGCAAGCACCCAATCGATACAACAACAATACATGTTATGTAGTCAGACAGCATATCAAGCTACTATAAAACAGATATTATGCTGCTCATTGTCTTGATTTTATAACAGTTGAGAAAATTGAGAGAGTATACAAATTTAATATAATTTTCTTTTTACTAATTGCAGAACATTGAAATATAATGTTGTACATAAAAACAGCCAAATTGAGAATCTTTTCTTTTATTAAAGCCTATGTTTGTAACTACAAATAACAATAGAATTATACATTAATGCTGTTGTTGTTGTAACTACTAATTTCTCATTTTTTAGTGCCAAGCTCTATGTGGAATTACTGTAAGTACAACAACATAACAACACTATTGTATGTAAATAAAATAATAGATTATTACTTACATTTTATTAAAATCAGGAACCTCTGTTATATCCACCAGGTATATAACAGCAAAGTTTTTCACCTTCTCTGCAATACTATACAACACTTCGTCCATCTTCATGCAGGTTGGGTCCCAGTCATGACCAAAGCGTATGACCTAAGCACAAACAACACAGTATCTGTTAAACTTATTGTTCTAGCTGGCAGATATAGCAGATCCAGACTAACCACAAATTAGATGCTTTAATAATAAATGGTGTTTATTGAAATGAGTTGTTCTAGCAATTTCTATAGTCATTAGAGGTTACAAATATTATATTGTCTTACCACTACTCTGTCTTCTTCTGACAAAATAGCTTGATCTACTTGCCATCCATTATGTAAATGCCCAAGCATGTAACTCATCGTAAAGGTTTATAAATCCTATTTGGAAACCAACAGTTAGAACAGTAGCCTCTATTGCTTAAACTAGCAACCAAATAAACTTTGTATATGAAATAGGATTATGTATTCACAGAGATTATTTGAAACTTAAAATACTATTGCAGATAATAAGAATTTTTCGCTGCTTTTATTTTATTGACCAACGAATCGGTTAAGGTACTTTAGATATTGGCTTGATCATTAATTTAGTCAGAATTGTCAAACTCAACTCTTACTTGTCAATTGTCATTTTAATTTTGTCAAGTATATCAACTCATTGACATAGGAAATATATGGACTTGAAATACCTACGAAAAAAAGGTGCCTACCTACAATCCAAAATGTCGCATAAGATGGCTGCCGTTGCTAGGGTTGTGCCGACTAAGTATTTAACGAGTATCGATACAATTTGAGTAAAAGTTCTACGTAGGTATAGTTTTAGGGATTAGCCAGTTGATTAACGGTATTTTTTTATGGGAAATCATCTAATGTCATCTCCGGCCTTTTTCGGGACAGACCGTTACTGACTAAAATCAACTCCTGTTCCTACTTTGCCGTCGGCCTAGCTAGAGCCCGGAACCCGGGGTTAGCTTGGTCTCTTGATTGGCTAATGATTTTCTCAAGTCGAATTTGTATTCATATAATACTACGTAAAGCGTCTTTTAAAAAAAATAGGACTGTGTTTATGAACAGCGTTTAATGGAATGGTGAAATAGAAAAAGATAGTGTTTGTTAAATGTTTATCTTTATATATGTGGAAAACCTGTGGGTATTTGTGAAGTGCTCGCGCACAATTTCGGCGCGTCTGATTAAACGATGATATCTTCGAAACTACGTTAGCACAAAATAGATATGTAGTGAAGTCAATCTTATTGTATATATCTCACTTTTTATTATTACGCTTGGTGGTCGCACTGGGATCGTCGCCAACGCCGCTCTGTCAATCGCGCCCGTATAATTATAAAACATGATAATTTGAACTTCTACTTATGTAACTAAAACCAATACCAAAATACTGACGTCTTACTTTAGCGTTACACAAAACTGCGGAAACATCCATTGTTAAAATAGATTATTTAGTATATGTTGAATTTTAAATGGGAGATTATATCGATACTTTTGTGAAATGGTACGTAACTATGCCATATTGACATATTATTGTAAACAACAATTTTTTACTAAAACTGTCTCACAGACAGAAATAAAAGTAAATATATATACTTTGGCAATAGATTAAAGTATCCGTGACATTTTTTTCTATCTATGTGGATTATTCTAAGTAATATTTGATGAAAACTGTTTACTAACCTATACAAAGACAATTGAGGTTGATTTTTGTTCTTTTACACTGCACAATACAACACACAGGCATATTGGTTTTTTGTTTCACTATATATATTTGAAGTTTAAAAAAATGGTTCTTTGTAATTTACTGAAAAACCGCAATAATTTAAAACATAAACTTCCGTTTGACAGGACAACTACCATGAAACTCAGGTACTCTGAGCGCTTAAGATGGCGGACATGGCACTTACCTACAACTTTGCTAATGTCAAAATGATTTGTTTCCATATTAAGCAACAACTTAAATATTGTTGTCCCTTTTGTCTAATACAATTATTGCCTTAGAAAGAGTGAGAAAAAATGATATTTATATAGTTAGTAGTAGCATAGTTTGTTTCATATTTCCCTCATATTTGTATAAGCATGTATACTTCTATAGTAACACGGCGCCTCTATATATTTTCTATCTTAATGTATCAACTGCATTGATCAACTGTCACCTGTATCTGTAAGACCATATATTTTTAGTCTGGCAAACTGGCAAAGGAACATTCAAGCTGAAAGGGGCGGTTAACTAATCAGGAGTAGATATCACATCACACATCATCAGCCTATAAGTGCCAACTGCTGATCAAATGCCGGTTTTTGCACCCCGCTTGTTCAAGGGAGATTGGCGATTTCGAACGTAAAATTACATATTGTTACGTGCCTGCCGTCACGTTCCTGACTATGCGGGCTTGGGTTACGGGATTGGATGAAATAAAACACTAATACCGGTTTTAGACTTTCTATTGCACTTTGATGACAGCGTCCACGGAGTTAAGTTATCGGCGTTCCTCTCCAGCAGAGTCCAGGCGACTGACACAAACTTCTGTTTGCCGCTCACTGTTCACGCTGACTTTCACTTAACTCACTGCACTTCACTTTTTCACTGCACTGCACTATTTCACTCACTTTTCTTCTTTTTCTCTCTCCTCTATCGCCATGACGCGATGTTCCAACTTGCCTAACCCTTCCTCCACTTCTTGTACCCGTTCGACAGCCTTTTGCAGTCCCTTCGTGAAATCCTTATGCATCTCTTCCAAGCGACGCGCTTGCTCCTCTTGGCGGCGAGCTTGATCTTCTTTCAGCTCCCGTAGCTGTTCCGCCTGACAGCGTGCTTGCTCCCGAAGCTGTTCTGCCTGACAGCGTGCTTGCTCCCGAAGCTGTTCTGCCTGACAGCGTGCTTGCTCTTCTTGGCGGCGCGCTTGCTCTTCTTGGCGGCGCGCTTGCTCTTCTTTCAGCTCCCGCAGCTGTTCTGCCTGACAGCGTGCTTGCTCTTCTTGGCGGCGCGCTTGATCTTCTTGGCGGCGCGCTTGCTCTTCTTGGCGGCGCGCTTGCTCTGCCATCATGTGCTGCAGCTGTAGCAGAAGATCCACCTGCACAGGCTTGGCTTCTGCATCGCTGGTTTGAGCTGCAGCACCCTCTTCCCTCACACGCTGCGCTTCTGACATTGAACGGGTACTCACTCCTCTTACGTCCTGCGGCACTAGCGGCATTTTTATCCAATCCCACTTCTGACACCAAATGTTACGTGCCTCGTCACGTTCCTGACTATGCGGGCTTGGGTTACGGGATTGGATGAAATGAAACACTAATACCGGTTTTCAGACTTTCTATTGCACTTAAGTTACAGCGTCCACGGAGTTAAGTTATCGGCGTTCCTCTCCAGCAGAGTCCGGCCGACTGACACAACTTTGCCGTTCACGCTGACTTAACTCACTTAACTGACTGCACTTCACTATTTCACTGCACTTCACTATTTCACTCACTTTTCTTCTTTTTCAAGCTGCAGCACCCTCTTCCCTCACACGCTGCGCTTCTGACATTGAACGGGTACTCACTCCTCTTACGTCCTGCGGCACTAGCGGCATTTTTCTCCAATCCCACTTCTGACACCAAGTTTTTCAGGAAACTTGTAAACTTTTGAGAATCCATAAGACTCGAACGACCCCTTATCATCCACAGTCAGATGGAATGGTCGAACGCTTCAACCAAACATTGGAGCGACACTTAGCAAAGGTGGTTGACAGCCATCAGAGAGATTGGGACACTTACATACCTCTCTTCTTGCTTGCCTATCGGACTGCTGTACATGAAAGTACCGCAAAGACGCCTGCATTTGCAAATTTTGGAAGGGAATTGAGATTACCGGCAGATCTTGTATCGGGCTGTCCACCTGGCGACTCTCGCACCGAGTTTAGCGATTACATAAGCGAGTTAAGGGCAAAAATGTTGGACATTTATGAGCAGATCAGGGAGGCCGGTTTTCAAGCTAGTGATCGCGCAAAGACGCGCTATGATCGACGAGCCAATTCTGTTGGGTTTGAAGAGGGGTCATTGGTCTGGCTTCATAATCCAGTCAGAAGGAAGGGAAAATCTCCGAAGCTGCAACCGAGTTGGGAAGGTCCTTACGAGATAGTCACGAAGATCAATGACATTACTTACAGAATTCGGAAGTCTTCAAGGAGCCCTTTGAAAGTTGTCCATATAGACAGGTTGGCGAGGTATTACGGCAGCAACGATGCTCGGGACGAGCGAATCTAAGAGGGGGGCAGTGTGACGGAAAAGTGGTTCAAACACTTTGACATCATGACGTCAATGGATGGTTGTCAAACGTTGCCTAGAGATTGTAAATTTCGTCGTGAATTGTCAACACGAGTTGGTGTAATCGGTAAGGCGTGTGGATTACACCACAGAGACCCCGAGTTCGAGTCCCGCCGTAAACATGAAGTTTTTTAGTTGATGGAAGTTTTGTCGAACTTTCTGGAATATTTGAGTGAAAGTAATGAAAAATTAAGGAGCGAGAAGGAGAATAAATAAAAATGAATAACGAAATTATTGGAAGGTTCTGGAGGCATGACGATCAAAAAGAATAACGAAATTGAATGTTCTAGAACCTGACCGGGGGTATATAAGCGGAACTGCGGCTCACCGCTGGCAGTTGAGTTCTAAGTCTAAAGCGATTCGGAAGAAAAGGAAGAAGTGAAAAAGAAGAAAAGTGAGTGAAATAGTGAAGTGCAGTGAAATAGTGAAGTGCAGTCAGTTAAGTGAAGTTAGCGTGAACGGCAGGTTTGAGCTGCTGCTACAGCTGCAGCAAATGATGGTAGAGCAAGCGCGCCGCCAAGAAGAACAGCTACGGGAGATGAAAGAAGCTCTGGCCCATGCATTGGAAGTGGAAGCTGTGCGTGGTAACTCCCGTACCTTATGTCTGCGGGAAATGACGACTACGGAGCAGGTACCTCCACGCCGTCGGAACTTCATGTGCTATGGATGCGGAGAGCGTGGGCACATGCGGAGCAACTGCCCGAAGAAGGTGAACCGCCAGGACGCGGCGGTCTCAACTTCTGACCAGCAGGGAAACTAATTCCAGCCAGGGCTGCGGGGTGGGCGCTGGCCGGTAGTGGAATAACCCCAACAATCTACATCAAGCAAACTAACGATGGAAATACTCTGGTGATAGACGGTCAAGTAAATGGGAAAAACAGTCAGCTAACATTAGATACTGGAGCTTCAAGGACGGTGATAGATGTTCGGCTGCTCGGGCAAAACATCAGGAAACACGTTAAACCAATTGTTGGCCTACGAATGAAATCAGCTACCGGCCAGTGGATACCGATAAGTGGAAAACTGCATGTAACAATCAAAATTGGGGAACGTGTTTATCGACATGAGGTTATTGTGGCCAAAATTCTGGATGACTGCATCCTGGGACTTGACTTCCTGCAAGGGCACCAGTGTAACATCGACTTAAAATCTGGAGTATTACTATGTGGAACTGAGGAAATTCCGATGAAGGGTGGAACCCTGGGAAAAGTTTGCTGTTTAAGAAGAACTGTTCTTGAACCAAAATCACAGACTCTCGTACCAATCGCATTACCTAGGAGGAGTGAAGGAAGTTTACCTCGAAGGTGCGCTGTGATTGATAAATCGGAACACGTAAACTCATGGCTACCGGCAAGGACTGTCGTGGGGTCATCTGATGTCAACCGCATTCCGGTATTCAACTTCAGTGATTCAAAAATTACGATTGAAGAAGGAGAGCCTGTGGGCGTTTTGGAAGAAGTGGCCTGGATAAGAAAATGCTCGGAGAATCTTGTGAAGAAGGACAGTACGGGAATAGACTTTGTAACGAAAATCTTAGACGAAAACAAAAGTCTGACAAAAGTGGAGACTATGAAAGCTAGAAATTTACTCCTTCGATTCTCTGATGTGTTTTCAAGAAGCGATGGTGATATTGGCCGAACTGGTTTGGTGAAGCATAAAATAAACACAGGTGATACAATGCCAATTCGTCAAAGGCCCAGACGTATACCATTCGCTCGTGAGAAAGAGGTTGAAGAAATGATTGACGACATGAGGAAAAATGACGTGATAGAGCCCTCTTCTAGCCCTTGGTGTTCACCTGTCGTGCTTGTCAAGAAGAAAGATGGTTCAACGAGGTTTTGCGTAGACTATCGACGATTAAACGATGTAACCAAGAAGGATAGCTACCCGTTACCAAGAATCGATGACACACTTGACACACTGAGTGGCATGAAATGGTTTTCAACGCTCGATCTGAAAAGCGGCTATTGGCAGGTGGACTTGGATCCCAAGGACAAGGAAAAGACCGCATTCTCAACTGGGAAGGGACTCTGGCAATTTAAGGTGATGCCATTTGGATTATGCAATGCACCGGCAACCTTTGAGCGTTTGATGGAACAGGTGCTGGCGGGACTGCTGGGCGAAACCTGCCTAGTTTACCTCGATGACATCATCATTGTTGGACGGGACTTTGACGATCATCTAAGGAAATTGGAAAATGTACTGGAAAAGCTGCGTGGAGCAAATTTAAAGTTGAGTTCTAAGTCTAAAGCGATTCGGAAGAAAAGGAAGAAGTGAAAAAGAAGAAAAGTGAGTGAAATAGTGAAGTGCAGTGAAATAGTGAAGTGCAGTCAGTTAAGTGAGTTAAGTCAGCGTGAACGGCAAAGTTGTGTCAGTCGGCCGGACTCTGCTGGAGAGGAACGCCGATAACTTAACTCCGTGGACGCTGTAACTTAAGTGCAATAGAAAGTCTGAAAACCGGTATTAGTGTTTCATTTCATCCAATCCCGTAACCCAAGCCCGCATAGTCAGGAACGTGACGAGGCACGTAACAATATGTAGTTAGTGTAGGTACATAAGTTTAACATTGGTAAAGCAGCAGCATCAGTATTACGATACGTGATCTTATGAAGAATATATAGTTTAAATACTTACTTTTTTTTTATAAATCAACATCATCTAAGTCTGGAAATTCCTTTTTCTACTAATTCATCCGCATTAGATAGTAACTGACGAAATATCTTTCAATCAATAGGTACGTCCTAAATTCATAATTTTGAGTGCAAAGCTGTACATAGATTACCACAATAAGCGGAGTTCGTTTTATTCTGCAAAGCGCGCCTTTTCGCATAATGACTTAGGCGCCGACCACCCAAATGATGGCAAATGGTAAAGTCCGATCAGCAGTCCAGCACTAATACTAGTTACACCAGCACAGATCGGGCCCAACATGGCCAATACTTAGCCTGGCTTGCAACAGGAAAAGGAACGGGGGCTCTTTAGTCTATAAAAGACTGACACTCCGTCTCGCCACACCCTGGAAGAGAAGTAATTTAATTAATTGTGTCTCCACAAATAAAGGGCTAGCATATCTATAGGCGTACCACAGAGCTACATACCTATTAGGTTCTTTCCCCTTTTGACGGTCTAGTTTTTGGAGGCGGTTTGACATTAAAACAAAACTTAATCTTTACTAACTTTATTACACTCAAATGGAAGGAGATTCACTACACCTTAACTAAACAAGCCAGCTAATGGGCTCAATGTGAGCAATACCCTACAACTAAATGAGGGCGCCAGGTTGGGTTAAGTCCTTAGGTGATATCGAAGGGTACCCCTCCAATCCCCTGTAGCAACGGCAAGCGTGCAGGTTTCTTGTAAGAATGAATTAAAGGCCGTGACCATAGGCTGGAACAAGTGCTGAAAATTCACTCAACGCAACGGTTAAAATAAAACACACTAATGTCTTATTATTTTACTCTTACTTGTCTTGTCTACTTATTTTTTGAAACTCAGCCCTCTGATCCTGAACAAATTACACCGTAAATATGTGATCATCTCAGTTATTTTCACAATTGCTTTAGAACGGCACACGTCTGTCTCGGACCACCCTGAAGAAACGGTGGAGAATAAGGTGGCGGTGTGCCCTGCTTGGGCTAGACACCGCCGTGTCCTGTGGAAAGTAATCAGCGGCGGCGACCTCTCGCGCCCAGTCTTAGAAGAGGCCATGTTGCATAGCGAAAGGAACTCGGAAGCCGTCTCGTCTTTCTGTGAAGCAGTCATGTTCGTAAAGAAGGAGGCCGACCGCGTGAGAGAGCTGTCCTCCTTCTTACGCCCCAACGGGGGTTTTTAGTCGGTCAGTCTGACACTCTCTCTCGCCTTTCCCTAGGCGGGAGAAATAATTTCATTATTTTCCCCTGCCAAAAAAAAAACGTCTGTCTCAGCGACGTTGAGTACCTAATTTAAACTCCCAGTTAATGTTATTTATTACGATTTTAATAGCAATGGATTTAACAGAAAGTAGGTACCTGATCGATTGTGACGAGCGGTTTACAACTTGCAACGCGATACTCCTTATACCTTATATAATAATAAAATAGTACTTCTACAGCTTTGACATTTTTTTTTTACAAATAGAGAAAGTAAGATAAGGAACCATCCATGCAATAACCATTTCCCGTGATTGTGTAACTATATAGTTTATTTGCTTCAGTCCTTATACATATTCTTAGCCTGTCGTCTAAAATTATGTAATTACAACCTCATTTACTTCAACATGAACCGGATGGTATACTACTGGTGCACTGTTGCACATCGATAAGTTTAAAATAAATAGACGAACAAAGAATCACGACGACGTAAACAATGATATCAAGAAGGTTCATAAACAAAAATCATTTGAAACATTATAGCCAGTTTACTTGCCTATCGTACAGTTGTTTAGCGCGTGAACGGACAAGCGACACTGTATGTACCTACTTGTAATAATAACTTCACATGTTGTTTTAGCGCATCTTTGCACTTAATTAGCTACTTATAGTAAAAATAGTATGCTAATCTTCATTGAGAGCACGCACAAATAAACCATACAAATTGCCCCTAGTATTTGTATCGAGGTCTAATCTAGAATTTGCATCACTGTAATAGTATTGAGATAGGTTGTTTACTAGCGAGCGCGCAGCAGAGCGCGGCCGCCGGCTCGTGGGGGGAGGGGCTCTGGCGCCACGCCAAGTCGCAACCGGAACGCGGTCACTCACCAAAACATACCGATTTCTCGGGAAAAATAAGAAATCGCAGCGCACTGCTCGCTCGCAGACCTCGGCGATACGTGGACTGCGTCGGGTATTACAACACGACCTACTGTTACCGATAAGGTATAATAATGTTAAAGCGGAGCTTGTCATGTGACTCGACGTTCTCGATCTGTTGCTGACACACATTCGCAGGGCCCGCTTGCTGCGCCGCGCAACACTGCGGCCGCGCGACCTGTGAGGGGTGCCCTCTGTCCTCGATTGTGAGTGACACGTGGCGAGGGCTGCGCGGTCCACGTCAACAAACTACAAATGGTGGGGTAGCGCCTAAATCAAGGTCCCTTCAGTTGTAAATAAAGAGGTATGAAAGTGCCATCGAAATGTTGCAATAGCCTAGCAGGCCGCAGCCATCAGTATCATTAACGGAGAACATTATTGGGTATTTAGGGAAGCGAGCAAGCAGCAGCTAGCATGCTTGCGTGAGCAGCCCATGGACACGGTGTACCCGCCCTCAGCGTCGGCGTTGGCGCGGGGGCGCCGCCTGCGCCGCGCCGAGCCTCGCCTGCGCCAGCGCACCACGCCAGTCACCTTCGCCGAGATCAAGGTATGTTCCCGATTTTTGGAAATAATAGGAAGTTTGTTGAGTACGCCCTTTTATTGGTTTTTCGCATAATATCAACATAAGCAGCTTCTATGTTGGTCTAGTGTTTAGTTGAGTAGTAGTGACTAGCTACTACAAAATAGTACTTTGTTGATTGGATTTGCTTTTTAATTAACTACCTATTTCTTATTCTGTGGTCATAGTAAATATCCTGGGAATGTGAGTGACATACTTGTGCATTTAGTAAAAACCTGAGTGCCGGGGCTGCGGGTGCCGGCAACATTTACCACGACAGGAGAAGGAGCAGGAGAATGTTTGTAGCCTAAAGACTCTGATACTCCCTCTCGCCCCGCTCGGGGTGGGACCAATTAGACGAAAATAGTTAGGTTATAATTATTATAAAACTAGCTCTTACCCGCGGCGTCGCTCCCGTCATTTGACTACCTACCCTACTCTTACTACCTTACTTTACCTACCCTACTTTACTTACCCTCCTTTACCTACCCTACCCAGCAATCCTACTCTACCTACCCTACTCTACTTACACTACTCTATGTACCCTACTCTATCTACCCTACTCTACCTACCCTACACTACCTACCCTACTTTACCTAACCTACACTACCTAACCTACTCTATGTCCTTCTCCTAGCTCTAAACTACCTCCCTGCCAATTTTCAGCTAAATCAATTCAGCCGTTCTTGAGTTATAAGTGGAGTAACTAACACGACTTTCTTTTATATATATAGATGTATAAGATTCTTCAAAACACCTTAATAAATTATGTAAAAGTTTTACATCGATACGATCCACCTCTTTAATTATTTACTAACATTAAAATCTCGTTAATGTTCTTTATATACTGTACTTACATGTGAATGTATTTCAACTCCTCTTAAACGGCTTGACCAATTTAAATTTCTGCATGCGGTTGAGTGGCGCACTGGATGGTTTATATTTACAAAGCTGCCTGGCAGATGGCTCTGATTGCTTGAAAAAGCACTTCTTCTCGGAAACGGCCCTAACGATTCGCTGAAATTGGATAGGTATGTGGGGGTTTTCGGGGACAAGAAATCGATTTCTTAAATATCTGAAACCTTTATCGCTAAAAGGCCGGCAACGCACTCGTAACTTCTTTGGTGTTGTGTCCATGGGTGGCGCAGATTGTTTACCACCAGGTAATCCGCCTGCTCGTTTTCCGACCGTACCATAAAAACTGTTTAATTTGAAGACTTTTATTTGCCTTGCACCATCAGGCGGCCTCGCGCAATGTAATGCGGCATGCAGTAATGATATTTAACCGCTGGCAGTTGGTGCCTGGATACGCCAACTTTGTCTATTGAGCCTAACGGCTATGCTGCTAGGGCATTGGCGAACAGCCCACTGGCTGCGCTGGGGACTTTAACAAATATCGTCCCTGATGCAGGAGGTGGACGAGGAGAGCGCTGAGGCGGAGGCGGAGGCGGGCGGGGAGCGGCGGCGGCAGGCGGACGTGCTGGAGGAGCGCCTCGGGCGGCAGTTCGCCGACTTCCGGCGCCGCCGCGCGCGCCGCCACACGCTGCGCGAGCACGAGTCCCCGCCGCCGGCCGCGCCGCCCCCTCCCCCCCTGCCGTCCCTGCCGCGCGCCGCCAGCGAGCCCGCCGCGCTGCACCGCCCGCCGCAGCCCTCATAGAGTCCGTCCGCTCCAGGGCTGGCATCGCGGTCATTTGCGGGTAGCCAGATGTCGAGGGGTTAAATTATGTATTAAAACACAAAGAATCTCCAATTCAATGAACTCTTATCGTTAGGTATATAAAGAGAGTTTCCGGTGAATCAAATCGGAACATATGAGGTAGTTTCCTACCTAAAACGGAAACCGGTTAGGGTTTTTAGGGAAATGTATCTTCTTGAATCGTTTCGATCACAATCTGATCATCATCATGATGGTCATTCATTGGTGTCGTCTACGGGTAGGGTTACCATATGTATGACAGGCGCGGCCGGCATTGCTCTGAAACAGGCATTTTTGGGCACCCGGTAATTTTGGAATTCGACCATCAGTTAGGAAATGACCTCATCCATTGATTTGACCCGTACTTCCAGATACACCAGCACAGCAGCACTGATATCCAATCACAGGATTATGATAAAATAAAACACGACAAGTAACTGTATCAAGTGTTGTATTATCAATGTACAATAAAATAAATAGCTGTAGACCCGCCTCGCGGGTGTCGGCCTCGTCAATAAATACAACTTGTATATGGCAACACTAGCTCTGTATCTGTACAGCGGCACAGCCGTGCACCGCGCGTAGGTGTCAACCTATCGTAACACTCTTATGTATATTATTTATAAAAAGTATCAACAATTTGCCCTACTCAATTGTCTTCGTTATATCAGGCTTATTTATATTACATATAACTTAATTATAAACAGTCACAAACAGTTTCATATCCGTATTGTTCTAAATTGATTTGGAAGTAGTGGACGAGTGGTCCAGCAGGCAGTGAGCCGGAGTAACAATACAACAATATCTTACTGCAGTAGTTGGCACCTCGTGTCCGACGCTCGGCTACGGTAACTAACGAGTAACAACATACAAAACTATTCATATAATCAATAATTTATTATCGTAGGGCACTGCTTAGTCTAACTCGGGCGGCAACGTCTCTATGTAGTATGTGTATGTACAAGTTGTCGCTAATCTAGGTCCGTACACGGTACGGCGGTATACATTCAACTGTAAATATAATTGTAGCAATATAATCGACTCGTAAATACTCGTATGTCAATATTTTTCTAAATAAATAATTATTTTGTCGTAATACTTTATTTGTCAACCTCGACACCTATGTATCTTACTTACGCGGAGGTCGCTCGCGGCGACTTCCTAATACTGTACAAAATATTAATCATAATGTGATCCGTTCAGTAAAGCTAGAGTCTGAGAGGGGAGGGGAGGGGGAGGGGGAGGGTGGACGGTGCGGAGTCAGTCTTGTGCGGAGCGCGGCTCCTCGTCCGGCGCCAGCTCGGCCTCCGCCGCCGACGGGATCGTATGCAGCAGGCGCGGCGCCAGCGCGGCCGGCGAGCCCGGCGGCTCGTCGCCCGACACGGCCGGCTGGCGCGTCAGCCGCGGCCGCGCCGGCGCCGGCCCGGCCGCCGCGCTGCCGCCCGACCGCGACGTGCGCCACGTGCCCGTCGACGCCGTGGCGTTGGAGCCCGACGAGTCGTTCCGCGACGACGACAGGTTGGAGTCCTGCGACGTCTTGCGCGCCACCAGCCAGGACGCGGCGCGGCGCGGCGGCGGGGGCGGCCGGCCGTACGCGCGCCACGAGTCCGACCGCGACGACGAGAACTCCACGGACGACGACACCGAGCCCGCGCGCGCCGGCGCGGCGGCGGGGCGCGGCGCGGGCGCGGGGGCGGGCGCGGCGCGGCGCCCGCAGGCGCGCAGCCAGCCCAGCAGGCGGCCGCGGGCGGCGGGGGCGCGCGCCCGCTCGGCGCCCAGCAGGCGGCGGCAGGCGCAGGCGGCGCCGTGCTGGCCGCGCGACGAGCGCTCGGCCAGGCTGTTGGTGTTGGCGGGCGTCTGCCGGTTGCTGAAGTTGGACGAGTGCCGGCAGCGCCCGATGCCGCGCGTCACGCGCGACTCCTCGATGGCCTTGCACACGAGCGCGCAGTCCTTCTTGAACTGCTTCGTCAGAATGGCGTACAAGAACGGGTTGCAGCAGGAGTTGAGCGGCAGCACGAACACCGTGAACACCTTGGCTTCCTCCAGAGACACGAGCTGCACGCCGAAGGCCGCGGTGAGCGCGAAGAAGGCAATGGGCGACCAGCACAAGAAGTCGGTGAAGACGAGCAAGGCCATGCGCTTGGCGATCCTCGAGTCGTTGGAGTTCCAGGCTTGAGAGCCGCGGATGGCGCAGTACATCTTGAGGTAGCAGCCCAGGAGCACCAGGAACGCCACGCCGTTGATGACGAGTAGCGTCACCACGTAGCCCAGTGCTACGGGCGTGGACGTCTCGAAGGGCAAGCACACCGCAAACTTGCGGTAGTCGGAGACGCCCAGCAGGGGCAGCGTCGCGGCCGTGAGCGAGAAGGCCCAGCCGGCCGCCATGACGGCCGCCGCGTGCCGCAGGGACAGGCGCTTGTTGAGGTGCATGGCGTGCGTGATGGCGTAGTTGCGCTCCAGCGTGATGACGGCCAGCGTGAACACCGACAGCTCGGACGACAGCACGCCCAGGAAGCCGGCCAGCTTACACCCGCCCGACATCTGCCAGGCGATGGCATGCGCGCGGAACTCGCCCAGAGTGCCGGCGTCCACCACGGCCAGGAACCCTGCCACAGCACGTCCCGTGACGAGGATACAATGCTCATTGTTTACTGGCAGACGGCAATGCAGGGACACTCACCCAGATATATGCCCATGAAGAAGTCGGCGGCGGCGAGGTTGGTGACCAGGAACCGAGGCACGTCGATGCGGCTACGGCTGCAGATCAGCACAAACACCACGGTGCCGTTGCCCAGCAGGGCCAGCAGGAACACGGCCCACACGCCGCAACGCAGCGTCCACCAGTCAAACAGGTCCACACACGGCAGGAAGGGACCTGTGCAAATGCGCGTCAGGGTGGGCCGCCCCGGGCTGGAGCGGGCCTGAGGGGTAGGGAGGGAGGGGGGGCGCACCTGGCAGCGGCAGGCAGTGCACCCGGCGCGGCAGGTCGCGCTCGCCCAGCTCCACGGCGCCCGCGCCCGCCCAGCCGTCCAGCGCCGCCTGCAGCCCGGCGCCGCCCAGCTCCGACACGTTCACTGCGGACACGAGCACTATGTAGTGGCGTGCGGGGAGAGGGGGGGGGGGGGGCACAGAGGGGGCTCGGCACGTACAGTAGTGCGCCCAGATGTCGGTGGCGTTGGCCCAGGCGGCCGGGTCGATGTGCTGCGGCGGCAGGATGACCAGGTCCGACGGGGACTCGGCCGCCGGCTCCGGGCCCTGGTCCTCCATGAGCGGCAGGAACTCGCAGCAGTGGTACGCGTAGGACAGCACCAGCGTCTGGATGCGCGGCAGCGCGGCGGGGGGGTGGAAGCGGCGCAGGCGCGGGTTGTTGTGCGCCTTCAGGTGCAGCAGACGCTGCAGCCCCGCCGCCGGCAGCCACGGGAACTCGTTGTTGCCCACGTTCCTGCAACATAAGTAGTTGATGCGGACCTGGCTCGATCACTACAAGTCACCACAAGCTAGTGTAGTACGCACAGGTCCTCCAGCTTGGAGACAGGCACGAAGGCCTCCATGTCAATGTGCTCGATCATGTTGTCCTCCAGGTTGCTGCAACACATCAAGCAAATTTACATAAAACAGTGGTAGTACAATACCCCCAAGCAATGTTGGTACAGGCTGCCAACATCAAATGCTGAAAGGTACATTCGTGAGTCCTTTAAACCTCACGTGATACGATACGCGGACTATGTCGGCCATGCATAGCCCATGCGGCCGGCATCGTCAGGGAAGATTAGAGCTCGTTACCCAGTAGCCCAGACGATGCAGGAGTTGAAAACTGCCATAGAAGAGGAATGGAAAACGATCCCTCAAAATGTCATAGAGCGGTTGATAAACTCTATGCTTAATCGTATGAGAACTGCGGTAGATGCCCATGGAGGCAACGCGCGTTATTATATTAAACTTTTATTTGATAAAACTAGTTGTAGTAACTCCTTGGCGTCGATTGCTTACTAAGAGGTATGTACTGTGTACAATACAGCCGCACATTGTCATTTTAGCACTATCAGCAATATTTAATCGTACTAACTTCCACAACTGGACGTTCAGTTTACGCTAACCTCCGTACCGGTACGCACGTCATTTAATTTTAAACTCATTAGTCTATGCAATCATTAATTCTAAGTGAAGTGACTCAATACACGTTATCCGTTAAACTACAAATCCAGTTCAAATATCACTATCATCTATCAATCAGCAAAAACGTACGGTGAGAACCGAAGATACATCTTTTTGGTCCTTCCAGCCTGATAAACCAGTGAAATCAAAGTTCAAAACAATTACATCAAAACCTCTATCAGTTTTAGCTGAGCTTCTGTAGTTCTTCAATGGCAGGATTGTTTGCGTTTGATGTTGTTTCTGAATTGAGTAGGGTATAGGTCGGGGCAGTGTGACTCACAGCACTTGCAGGTCGGGCGTGTGCGTGAAGGCGTCGGCGGGCACGCGGCGCACGCGGTTCCGCGCCAGCAGCAGGTCGTGCAGGCGCCGCAGCCCGCGCAGCGACTGCCCGTCCAGCGCCGCGATCTCGTTGCCCGACAGGTCCCTGCGACACACCACACACGTCACAGCTCGCTACTCGCCCTCCCACACACGCACACCCGCCCCGCCATACTCACAGCACGCGCAGCTCGCCGCAGCCGCGCAGGTCGGGCACGCGCCGCAGCATGTTCAGCTTCAGGTCCCTGCACCACCACATTATGTCATCATACTACACGTACACAGTGATGCTGCACCCGCCTTACTTTGGATTACGGATACAGGCCAGAGGGCAGGGCCACACCTTCCTTGGACCTCATCTCACTCGACGCGACTAATAAATAGCACAGTATAATATATATATGTATAATAGTCTGCACATTTGTTTGATAATATGCAGACATAGCAGCTACTGTTACACAGAACTATGTGGTTGCTCGACTGCTTCCTTGTACACCAAGTAAACTGTATACCTACACAATATTGTTAGCTACTCGATAGCAAACTGTACGTAATATTCCTGTAGTTAAAACCAGAGCCATCCAAAGCTAAGCGTGCTGGGGTTCTTACAAAATGTCTTCGTTCGTCGGGAATGTATGTGTGTAAAGTATCGCAATGTGTGTACTGACAGCGAGCGCAGCTGCGGCGCATGCGCGCAGAGTGCGGCGGGCAGGTCGGCGAGGCGCGCGCGGTCGAGGCGCAGCGTGCGCAGGCGCGCCGTGCCGTTCAGCGCCGGCAGCGCCGCCAGCGCGCGCGCCTCCGACAGCACCCTGCAACACGTATACACGGCACTGCACTGCCGGCCCGGCGGGGCGGACGTGTGTACACTTACCTAGCTAAACCGTAATAATTATACAAAATACACACAAACACGAGTGTCCCATTTACGCCAAGCCATTTATTTAAACAAATCGGTATCTAGTTGGAAGAGGTCCCGCAGTTGCAAAATTGGTCCAGAGACCACGTGAAATTAACGCATAATTATCTTAATGCACACGTTACTTTAGACGTGCACACTTAATAAATGTTGCTGACGAACCGGACTGCTGGCTGCCAGTGTTACTGTAGCGTTACACCCTAACATTATTCAATATTTTAACAATAACGAACTACACTTTTACTAAGTATTCTAGGTATAACCCTATTAGTATAAATCGCTTAATATTTCAAGTTGGGACTCGCACCCATTCGGTCAATCATTAAGATGCGACTTGAAATGGTTGTGGCGGTCAGTGAGTCATTGAGTCAGTCAGTCAGTGGGTCAGCGGTAGCGGATCCGGATGCCATTCGTAGGTCGCGGCCGCCGCTTAACAACCGACCTTGCTTTAATTTGTTTTTAGTAAACGGGAAGTGTCATAAACATGGAATTGTAATTAACGAGTTATGTTAGTACCGAGGTCACGCTGACCGTCTCCGGCATCGACGTGGCTCTCACAAAGACGTGTACGTACAGCGTGGTGAGGTGCGGCAGATGGTCGAGCGCGTGCGCATGCAGGCGCGGCAGTGGGTTGGCGCGCAGGTCGAGCCGCGCCAGCCGCCGGCACGCCTGCAGCGCGCCCGGCGCCACCTCCTCCACGCGGTTACTGGCCAGCGACCTGCACACGCCAGCCCGTCACTACGTGCTCTCCGCACTACCTCGTCCCCTCCCCTCCCCCGGCACTCACAGGTCCTCCAGCAGCGGCAGCAGGCGCAGCGCCGCCGGCACCTCCGATAGCAGGTTCTCCTCCAGCCGCCTGCACACACACACACACACACACATCATGATTTATCAGTTCCTTACGGAAGGAACGCTCCAAGCGGAACATACAATAAATTGATGTCGAGGTTACATGACTACTTGTTTTATTTTTTTCCAAAACCATGTCCTTGCGCTCGTCTGTATCTACATCCACGAGACGTCTTCGTCTGCCGCTCGTCCACCTTCCCGGTGCACGTTTAGTGCTGCGCCAGCCGGCACGTGACCTCCGTGTAATTATACAACTAGGTACATGTATGCCCACCAAGAGCCAAGTCCATGGCCAGCGTGACCTAGGTGGGTGACGTGTTACTCAAACTACTGTCCTTCTTCGGGTTTTTGACCTTGACAGCGACGAGCAGTTTCCGGAGTTGTGTTGTTGATGTATCATGTAAGTACACGTCTTTGGGTACCTAAATTGTTTATCACTTGAATTTGGTCGCTGGCTCCTATCAGTGGATTTATCGATTTTGAAAATGTCGTTAGTATCCCTGTCCTAGCCCGGGAGTGTAGTACAGTGGCTACAATACTCACAGCACTCGGAGCGCCGGCGTGTTGGCGAAGGCGTGCTCCTCTATGTACGCGATGCGGTTCCGCTTCAGCACCCTGTGCACAAACAGGCCGACATCATTCCATGTAAAGCATACTGATACACTCAGAGATAGCACATTGGCTACTTTTTACCCTGACACTGCGCGCGACTGTAGCCCCGGCCTGGACTGCGCTAGCAGCAGCTAGTGTGCAATGGCACAATGTATTTGTTTTGTAATTTGTAAATAGGTTGTAAGAGAGCATTCACATCGACATTATATACAAAATCTCCATGAACCCGGCGTTTCCTATGACTATGAAGTCAGGCAGCTAAATCAAAATCGGCATCTTTGATCTAGAGTTACCTAGCCAATGTTTTCCCGAAGTTTCCCAGTTATGTATACAAAGATGTTGGGAATTCGGACGCAACTCTTTCCTCCTGTAATATTATATAGTATTATTTTGTAGTTAGTAGTGACATTCATCTATACTAACGGCTTATAGCAGTGGCAGAATGGATTTCAAGGGTTCGGTACTATCGTGGACAAATATTATAAAGCTATTAATCCAGGGTATTATTTCTAGATTGCCGTAATACTTTTAAGTAAGGCCGGATAATAGCAAACGTGGGACAATACCCGGTTGGCCACAGGTTCACGTTAATCCCTATTACAGGGGACTTGGAACATCAATTCGCGGCTGTATGAAGTGAAGATTATGTTCTGTAAGCGTTACGTTGCGCGGCACACAGAGCTTAGACTAGTGAAGCACTGAGAACTCATCTTGACATGCTGATGTAGGTATGTACAATGTACATACATAGAAGTAGTCTGGGTTTTTGGTACAAAAAATATTCCTCACAATACTTTTTGTTTGCTAACAGATCTCTTGTTTGTTCATAAGTAAATAGCGGAATGTGCCCCAACGCACGCGTGTATACACATAGGTGTACTAATGTGGAGCAGAGATGTGCCGTCTGGCTGACTGGCTGTACAGATTATCTATCTATACTAATAATAAATCTGTAGAGAGGTCAATTCTGTACATTAAATATATTTTCAAAATAACTACCAGGGGTTGATAACACATCGCTACTGATGCCAAAAATGCAATCAGTAAAATTTTTGTCCGTCTGCCTGTCTGTATGCTCCTTATAGGTACAAAAACTACTAGACGGATTTTAACAAAACTTGGTAGAATTATTCTTTATACCCCTGCGCAGGTTATAGGATACTTTTCATGACGCTACAAATAATAGGAGCAGAGCAGTGAAGGGACATGTTGGGATAAAGGGAGAAGCTACTCTCTTTTTTAAGTTTCCGTCGCGTGTGTAGCCTTAATGGTTAAAGTTACTTAGAAATTTGTATGACGGAAATATTCTACATAAAAATATTTAAAAAAATATATTTTTACAGCCTATGTCTATCTTTTATGATTAGCTTACAATAGCACGTGTAACTCCTGATAGCTTAGCAGTTCGGATAATAAGCCATCGCGCCGTCGCATGTGAACACTGAATCATGCTATAAGGATTATTTTTGTGTAACGGTTGCCGCGCTCGACGCGACGCGGTATAAAATAAAATATAATATTATAGGTTTTATGCAATATTTGTTGTACCTTACGTATTAGTTAGATCCGTACCATTCTATCTATAGGACGGACGGATAGCGGAGACTTAGTAAGTAATAGGATATTTACCCGTTGGAGATGTTCCCATAAAAATGAGACGATTAATAACAAATTTTATGTATTCTTCGATTTGGTTCTTTTGCTATAGGCTGTTTTTTATCAACACAGCACGCAGGCGAAGCCGCTGGCGGAGGCTAGTCACTAATTATTTGTGGCGCTTTTGTTTCTATGTCTTGGCTCTAACTAATGTTCCCTGCAATAGTAA